ACACACAGACACACACAGACACACACACAGACACATACAGACGCACACACATTTATAAACACATAATAACATTCGTTAAGGAATGGGGCAACACAATACGAAAATAAGAATAAGCGAGAGAGAGAGAGCCGGGCGCGCACAAAACCCGACTTAGCTCACTCGTGCAGCATTCGCACAGAATCCGAGAGGGAATCACGAGATAATCAGATACTCTGCGTGGTTAATAATCATAATGGGAGGGGGGAGGGGGAGGGGGGGAGGGGGGGAGGGGGGAGGTCTGACCCCCCCCCCCCACAATTGTGAGCCCCCCCCACACCCCCGGGAGAGAGTGGGTGGTGGTTGGTGTTGTTACGTAGAGCGGGGGGGGGGGGGATTGAGGGGGAGGGGGGATTGGGAGGGGGGGGGAGATAGGGGGGGATAGGGGGGGGGGGTCGGGGGGGGGATAGGGGGGGATCGAGGGGGGGATAGGGGGGGGGGGATAGGGGGGGGGGATAGGGGGGGGTCGAGGGGGGTAGGGGGGGGGTCGAGGGGGGGGGATAGGGGGGGGTCGAGGGGGGGTAGGGGGGGGTCGAGGGGGGTATAGGGGGAGGGGTCGAGGGGGGGATAGGGGGGGGGTCGAGGGGGGGATAGGGGGGGGGGTCTAGGGGGGGATAGGGGGGGGGTCTAGGGGGGGACCGGGGTGGGGGGGAGCGGAGTCTGGAGTGGGGTGGGGGGTGATCGGGGGATCGAGGGAGGGGGCGATTAAGGGGGAGGGGGGAATCGGGAGGTTGGGGGATGGGGGGTGGAGGGTGTGTGGTGGTGGGGGGGGGTGTGGTGGGGGGGGTGTGTGGGTGGGGGGGTGTGTGGTGGTGGGGGGGGTGTATGGTGGGGGGGTGTGGTGGGGGTGGAGGGTGTGTGGTGGTGGGGGGGGGGTGTGTGGTGGTGGGGGGTGGGGGTGTGTGGTGGGGGGGTGTGTGGTGGGGGGGGGTGTGTGGTGGGGGGGGGGGTGTGTGATGGTGGTGGGGGGGGGGTGCTGACCGTGGTGATGGGTTAAGGCAGCGGCCGTGTTGTGTGCGCGCGTGGGTACAAAAGCGATGGGGGGGGGGGGGGGTTGGAGCGGCTTCCCTGTTGCCGCTCTCACGTTAAGTGGCTCGCGCTGAACAAGAAGAGGCGAGCGAGCAGGAGGAGGAGGAGGATGGGGAGGAGGAGGAGGAGGATGGGGAGGAGGAGGAGGAGAAGGCGCCGTTTGTTACCGCGTGAAAGCGGCAGGTGTTGTTGTGTTGGGCTGGAGGGCGAGGTGACGGAGATTGCCGTAGCCCAGTTAAAGCGGGGGGGGGCGGGGGGGCACTACCCCCCCCCCACCCAGACGGACCGCCTTAGCTCGCCTTTTGTGAGCGCGATTGGTCACGGGGGAGGAGAGGAGGGGGGGAGGGGGGTGGCCCCTCCCCCTCTCCTCCTCCTCCTCCTCCCCCCACGCGCGCGTCCCCACACGGCGAGCCACGGAACGCGCACGGAGAGAGAGGGAGGGAGGAGAGGTGAGAGAGGGAGAGAGGGAGAGGTGAGAGGGAGGAGAGGGAGGTGAGGAGAGGGAGGAGAGGTGAGAGAGGGGAGAGGTGAGAGGGAGGAGAGGGAGGTGAGGAGAGGGAGGAGAGGTGAGAGGGAGGAGAGTTGAGAGGGAGGAGAGGTGAGAGGGAGGAGAGGTGAGAGGGAGGAGAGTTGAGAGGGAGGAGAGGTGAGAGAGGGGAGAGGTGAGAGGGAGGAGAGGGAGGTGAGGAGAGGGAGGAGAGGTGAGAGGGAGGAGAGGGTGAGAGGGAGGAGAGGTGAGAGGGAGGAGAGAGAGGAGAGGTGAGAGGGAGGAGAGGTGAGAGAGGGGAGAGGTGAGAGGGAGGAGAGGTGAGAGGGTGAGAGGGAGGAGAGGGAGGTGAGGAGAGGGAGGAGAGGTGAGAGGGAGGAGAGGGTGAGAGGGAGGAGAGGTGAGAGGGAGGAGAGAGAGGAGAGGTGAGAGATGTGAGGAGAAGGAGGATCGGTGTTAAATCTTTCATTTAAAAAAAGGGGGGGGGGGACATAAAGCATTTGAAAAACAACGAAATGATGAACGAAGCAAAGTGCCGACTACACCGAGCATCTTCTTGTTTCCTCTGATCGTTAAAAAAAGACAGAGGGGCGAGAGAGGAGAGTTGAGAGAGGTGAGTGAGCGAGAGAGTGAGCGAGAGGTGGGGGTTTACATAAAGCAAAGTTATTATAAAAAAAAAATACGAAATGATCAACGAAACAAAGTGCCGAATACACCGAGCATCTTCTTGTTTCCACTGATCGTAAATAAAAAAAATTAACCCGTAAAAACAAAGTTTTTCACTATAAATCCTTTTATTTTATTATTCATTTCTGTTTTTCTTGAGTAAGAGTTTCATTTTTATCACATTGGTATTTTAAATTAAATATGAAATATTTTTTTCCCTAAAAAGTGGAAAATTTGGAAAAAAATCACGAAAATCAATTGTCACGCACAACGAGTCTGTGTGCAAAATGTCAGCTCGATTGGATCACGGGAAGTGGGTTAAAAAACGACCGAAAGATTTGCACGGTCGTAAGCGCGCAAGCAAGCAAGTGAACTTAATATAAAGGATTTAAAAAAAGAGAGAGGTGAGAGAGAGGCACGCAGACGTCACACCGCGTGAGTCGTAGGTGGTGGTGGTGGTGGAGTTGGGGGCATCAGCGGTGCGATTTTCAATGCGAACGGCGGGCATACACTTACAAAGACAAATGTTCCCCCCGCCTCCGTATAGCCTTGAACAGACTTTTGGGGCAAGTGCTGTTGGCGAGTAGCAGCACCTGTGAAGAAGGCTGGCACGGCGCACGAGGGGGTGGGTGGCCATCACCACGCCCGGCCGCCTTTGTCTCCCCAGTGGCGATGTTTACTACACACCGCACCGGGTACTCGCTCATTTGAGGCTGAGTGGACACACACACTAACTCACCCACTCACCTACCCACTCACCCACTCACTCACTCATCCACCCACTCACTCACTCACCCCCCACTCACCCACCCACACTGCAGATGTAGATGCCACTGGTTCCTCATGTTCTGCAGATGTAGATGCCACTGGTTCTTCACGTTCTGCAAATGAAGATGCCACTGGTTCTTCACGTTCTGCAGATGTAGATGCCACTGGTTCTTCACGTTCTGCAGATGTAGATGCCACTTGTTCTTCACGTTCTGCAGATGTAGATGCCACTGGTTCTTCACGTTCTGCAGATGTAGATGCCACTGATTCTTCATGTTCTGCAGATATCAATGCCACTGGTTCTTCACGTTCTGCAGATGTAGATGCCACTGGTTCTTCACGTTCTGCAGATGTAGATGCCACTGGTTCTTCACGTTCTGCAGATGTAGATGCCACTGGTTCTTCACGTTCTGCAGATGTAGATGCCACTGGTTCTTCACGTTCTGCAGCTGTAGATGCCACTGGTTCTTCATGTTCTGCAGATGTAGATGCCACTGGTTCTTCATATTCTGCAGATATCGATGCTAATTCCCTTTGGCGCTCGTGTTTCCTCTCTACTCTCTTGAAATACCTCCCGAGAGGTGTCTGCACAAACAAAACCTGTTTGTCTTGGTGTGTCTCTCTCTGTGTGTCTTTGTGTGTCTCTCTCTGCATGTGTGTCTTGGTGTGTCTCGCTCTGTGTCTTTGTGTGTGTCTCTCTCTGCGTGTGTCTGCCTATGCTGTTCCCGTGTTTTATCATTCATTCTTACTTGCTTGCTTGTTTGCAACCGAAACGTCGTATTCTATTCAGATTAGATTTTATTTTCTACGCGACTTTACCGAAAGAACCAAAGAGTAGCTCCTGCAGTCATGCAAGCTTCGAATCCAGTCGTTTGATTTGTATCACGTTTAACACGCGGTAGTCGTGGTCGGCTCTCACCACCAATATTATCCATCAGAGGAGGTTTTTTTTTTCGTGGAAGAAAAAAAAACTCCGAATCAAGCGGACGAAGCCGATGATTTTGCCAGCCTTCATGAAACGATGCAGTGATTTCCAAAAATTAAAATCGCGACCTTTTGTGGATTTGTAAAAATAAGTATAACCCGTAAAAACAAAGTTTTTCACTATAAATCCTTTATATTCGTGGCGGCTAGAGTCATCTCGTCCTCTGGCTTGAGATGGCTGCCACCTATGGGTCAGATGATTGTCTGCCAGTATTAAGCAATTGGTAATTAAATATTTAATTTGTTCTCCCTAAACAGTGTAAAATTTTTGAAAAAAAATTGTCACGAACATTAATTGTCACGCACAACGAGTCTGTGTGCAAAATGTCAGCTCGATTGGATCACGGGAAGTGGGTTAAAAAAACGACTGAAAGATTTGCACGGTCGTAAGCAAGCAAGCAAGCACGCAAGCAAACGGACTTAATATAAAGGATTTAAAAATAAAAGATCGTAGTCGTGGCGTGCTCGTTCGCTGTGGTGTACGTGGGAGCGGTGGGGCTTTGGAACGGTGCGTTTATGTAAAGAAGACGGGTATCGCGTATCAGGGGCCCTCGTTATAATGGAATTATAGCCCTGATAATAGCCCCTATTAGGGCAATGAAAGGGCCGTGTTTATTCCCCATCGAAAGGCTGCATCACGCCCGATTAGCGATGCACTGCGTCGGGCAGGGCTGTGGGGAGAGGAGAGGATTAATATTTCGAGTCGGTTGGGATTTACTCGTGGATGTGATGGGGAGAAGGAAGGAGGGGAGGGGTGGAGGAGTGTGATGCTGGTGATGGCGGGTGTGTGGTTAAGTCCACGGTTGACACAAAACACTCTTTGTGGATGCACGCACGCACGTGGACACACACACACACGTGGACATACACACACACACACGCGCGCGCAAACATAACCTCACCATCCCCCCCCCCCCCTGCCCCATACACATGCAGGTCTATATATAAGTGGAGCGAACCTTTATTTCGACTTGTGGAAGTAAATCGGGGAGTCTTGGGCTGCAATACTCGTTGGCATAACGGTATCACCTCGCACGCGTCCCGCCATAAAAGCCACGGGCATTGCCACCGGCCGAACGAAGTAAAACATTTTTTTTTTTTAAAACAACATCGCGCAATATTTCGCGTTATTTCCCCGTGGCCACTGCGTCCGCCTCGGACGATGTTCCCCGTGGCCCTGGCCTCCGGCCAATGTCGCCGCCACTGCCAAGCCCACGAGCGGCCAGTGGCCTCGCGGGCCAAGACAGTGGAGACGTCCCGTCCTTACAGCTTCCTCATCGCCGACCTGCTCGGCCATGGGGTGGCCAACGCGACGCGGCAGGGACCGGCGTCGGGACCAGGGGCAGAGATGGGATCGGTGTCCGGTGAGGCTCACCCTGTGGTGGCGGCGGGGGCGGTGCTGGAGGTGGACAACCCGGTGGTCACGGGCCGTGGGGTGACCACGGTTGGGCCACCAGCCTCGTCGCGGCTGGCGTTTGGGGTCGATGCCATTCTGTCCCGAGTGGAGCGGCCTTCAGGTGATCATCTCACCTGTACACCATGTGACTCGCCATCCATCATCGCACCTGTAATCCATCTCACCTGTGACCCATCGACTCACCTGAACTCCATCTCACCTGCCTCCCATCGACTCACCTCTACTCCATCTCACCTGCCTCCCACCAACTCACCTCTACTCCATCTCACCTGCCTCCCATCAACTCACCTCTACTCCATCTCACCTGCCTCCCATCAACTCACCTGAACTCCATCTCACCTGGGACCCACCGACTCACCTCTACTCCATCTCACCTGCCTCCCATCGACTCACCTCTACTCCATCTCACCTGGTACCCACTAACTCACCTGAACTCTATCTCACCTGGGACCCATCAACTCACCTGAACTCCATCTCACCTGAGACCCACCAACTCACCTCTACTCCATCTCACCTGGGCCCCACCAACTCACCTCTACTCCATCTCACCTGCCTACCATCGACTCACCTGTACTCCCATCTCACCTGCCTCCCCTCAACTCACCTCTACTTCATCTCACCTGTGACCCACCAACTCACCTGTACTCCATCTCACCTGTGACCCACCAACTCACCTCTACTCCATCTCACCTGGGACCCATCAACTCACCTGTACTCCATCTCACCTTGGACCCATCGACTCACCTGTACTCCCATCTCACCTGCCTCCCCTCAACTCACCTCTACTTCATCTCACCTGTGACCCACCAACTCACCTCTAATCCATCTCACCTGTGACCCATCAACTCGCCTCTACTCCATCTCACCTGCCTCCCATCAACTCACCTCTACTCCATCTCACCTGACACCCACCAACTCACCTGTACTCCATCTCACCTGCCTCCCACCAACTCACCTGAACTCCATCTCACCTGCCTCCCACCAACTCACCTGTACTCGATCTCACCTGCCTCCCATCAACTCACCTGAACTCCATCTCACCTGCCTCCCACCAACTCACCTGAACTCCATCTCACCTGCCTCTCATCAACTCACCTCTACTCCATCTCACCTGAGACCCATCAACTCACCTGAACTCCATCTCACCTGCCTCCCACCAACTCACCTGTACTCCATCTCACCTGCCTCCCATCAACTCACCTGAACTCCATCTCACCTGCCTCCCACCAAACTCACCTCCACTCCATCTCACCTGAGACCCATCGACTCACCTGAACACCATCTCACCTGGGACCCATCAACTCACCTGAACTCCATCTCACCTGAGACCCACCAACTCACCTGTACTCCATCTCACCTGAGACCCACCAACTCACCTCTACTCCATCTCACCTGGGACCCATCAACTCACCTGAACTCCATCTCACCTGAGACCCACCAACTCACCTGTACTCCATCTCACCTGAGACCCACCAACTCACCTCTACTCCATCTCACCTGAGACCCACCAACTCACCTCTACTCCATCTCACCTGCCTCCCATCAACTCACCTCTACTCCATCTCACCTGCCTCCCATCAACTCACCTGAACTCCATCTCACCTGAGACCCACCAACTCACCTCTACTCCATCTCACCTGCCTCCCATCAACTCACCTGTACTCCATCTCACCTGGGACCCATCAACTCACCTCTACTCCCTCTCACCTGCCACCCACCAATTCACCTGTACTCCATCTCACCTGCCTCCCACCAACTCACCTCCACTCCATCTCACCTGAGACCCATCGACTCACCTGAACTCCATCTCACCTGCCTCCCACCAACTCACCTGTACTCCATCTCACCTGCCTCCCATCAACTCACCTCTACTCCATCTCACCTGCCTCCCACCAACTGACCTGTACTCCATCTCACCTGAGACCCATCAACTCACCTCTACTCCATCTCACCTGCCTCCCACCAACTCACCTCTACTCCATCTCACCTGGGACCCATCAATTCACCTGAACTCCATCTCATCTGCCTCCCATCAACTTACCTTTACTCCATCTCACCTGCCCAAATTAATGAATGTACATTTATATGTAATTCATGATTGAGTAAAGTAGATTTGGTGCTTGAATGAGTGGCTTAATGAGCGGGTGGAGACTATAATTACTGGGGGAAAAATGGAGTTCATTAATAATTAAGTTGGTGTATGAATTATCCATTGAATGCATCTATTGTGTGATTGGCTGAATGCATGATGGGATTATCTAACGAGCGATTGAGCAACTGAATGAACTGAGCGACTAAATTAATTACTGACCAGCCGAGTGAGCAATTAAGTAAAGAGAGGCAATGTGAGGAGGAGCGAGTCACTCAGCCGATGGGTTCATGAGTCGGCGAATATGTGAATGAGTAAATCGACGATTGAATGAGTGAATTAACCGGTGAGTGAATATATTATTGAATAAACGACCGTGAACGGATGAACGAACACGCAACTGAATAGTCGAGTGGTCCGAATGGGTGGAAATATTGAATCAACGAGTGAACTCAGTGAATGCACGGATGAGTGAACAGGTGAATGAATGGGTGGATAGGTGGCTCATTCAAGACGTGTCCACCCACGCTGCCCGGCCCCACAGATTCACACTCGCCCTGGAGGGAGCCCTTTGACCCCTTGACCCCGCGTCACTCCAACCCCACCGTGCTCCCTCTGTACCTGGAGGGAGCCTTCTACCCCATCCTGGGCTGCCCCCTTCCACCAGGTGAGCACCCTGACTTGCCCTCACTCACCAGGTGAGAACCTTGTACACTCAATTTCACACAGCACCCATCGTCTCACCTGTACACTCAATCTCACACAGCACCCATCATCTCACCTGTACACTCAATCTCACCCACCATCTCACCTGTACACTCAATCTCACACCACCACACACCATCTCACCTGTACACTCAATCTCACACCACCACCCACCATCTCACCAGCACACTCAATCTCACACCACCACCCATCAGACCCCCTTGGGGGGACCTCTGCTTAAACGTAACCCACCCCCGATGGTGACCCCCTCCTCCTTCCCCGCCCTCCCTCTCTCCCTTCTCTCGTTGACTCTGTGCGGCAGTGCCTTGCCCCTGGGCCGTGCTGGCCCGCGCAAGGCCCCGGCGCTCCACGCCCAAGCGCGCCGTCTTCTCCGAGGAGCAGAGGCGGGGCCTGGAAAGGGCCTTCCGCCGGCAGCGCTACATCGCTCGGCCCGAGAGGCGCCGCCTCGCGGCCCGCCTGGGCCTCCGTGACGCTCAGGTGAGGCCTCTTTCTTGGGCGGGGGGGGGGGGGAGGTGGGGTAGCCTGACCCTACAGGTGAGAAAATTGTTTTTTTTTGCCTTTTATCTGGCAACAAAACTGACACCTTTTTTTTTACAAGGAGTCATGTTTGCAGAGACCACAATATCTGCAGCCATAATGCCAAAAAAAAACACAACTCTCATAATGTATGCACTGTCCTTGAAGTTGATTGGTCCACACCCAAGACAGCTTTCCTTAGAGCCTAGTCTCACATGGGTTGGACCAGATGACGCCAAAAGGCATCAACCCAGGTGAGACTAGGCTCTAAGGTGTGGTCTTGTCAGGGTTGTCCCGACGTTTCGCCACCATGTCGCTTGGGGGAGCTTCGTCAGGGGAGGGAAAATGCAGCCGAGGTGGAAATTTTTTGTTTAAAAGTAATATGTTGGCCCGGCACGTGGGAGCGGGTAAACGCGCCGGGGGGCGTCGCCATGCCAAGGGACACACGGCGCAGCACGACTCAACCACGCGGCCTAACGTAATCTCCCTCCCTCTCTCCTTGCCCCTCTCTCGCCTTGCCACAGGTGAAGATCTGGTTTCAAAACCGCCGGATGAAATGGCGCAACTCGAGGGAGCGTGAGCTGCTCGGCACCGCCGGGGGCGGCTTGGACGATGGCGATTTCCGCACGGGCGTCGTGGAAACATCAGGCGGTGGCGGTGGCGGCGGTGGCAGAGAGGAGGAAGGAGAGGAGGAGGCAGCGAGCGGCTTCACCGACACGGAGAGGGCTCACAACCGCTCCCCGCTCGCTCCGTGACAGAAGCACGGAGGACAGCAGGCGACGGGGGGAGGAGGGGGGGAGACGCGGGAAAACCAGGAAGTCGGAGGGCGGAGGGAGGCGCCTCCCGCGGCGATGGCCAAGGATCTCCCCCTCGCGTGTGACCCACAAAGGCCGTCCGGAACGCTCTTCCCTTCCGATGTTGGGAAGACACTGTGAACTGTTGACTTTTCTATCATCACCTCGATTGAAAACTCATTTCTTTAGAACTTAATTTTTGCGTTGTTTGTTGTCCGCCCGACGCCCCCCACCGCACCTCCGATTAGTACTGTTGGCTACGTACGGTGCGGAAGAAGTTCAATATACATATATATATAGACTCGCACAGAGATCCATCGACTCACACAGAGACCCACAGACTCACACAGACCCACAGACTCACACAGAGACCCATAGACTCACACGGAGACCCACAGACTCACAGAGAGACCCATAGACTCACAGACACCCATAGACTCACACAGATCCATCGACTCACACACAGACCCACAGACTCACACAGAGACCCGCAGACTCACACAGAGACCCATAGACTCACACGGAGACCCACAGACTCACAGAGAGACCCATAGACTCACAGAGACCCACAGACTCACACAGAGACCCATAGACTCACACAGAGACCCACAGACTCACACAGAGACCCATAGACTCACACGGAGACCCACAGACTCACACAGAGACCCACAGACTCACACAGAGACCCATAGACTCACACAGAGACCCATAGACTCACACACAGATCCATCGACTCACACACAGACCCACAGACTCACACAGAGACCCACAGACTCACACAGAGACCCATAGACTCACACGGAGACCCACAGACTCACAGAGAGACCCATAGACTCACAGACACCCATAGACTCACACAGAGACCCACAGACTCACACAGAGACCCATAGACTCACACGGAGACCCACAGACTCACACAGAGACCCATAGACTCACACAGAGACCCATAGACTCACACAGAGACCCATAGACGCACACAGTGACCCACAGACTCACACAGAGACCCACAGACTCACACAGTGACCCACAGACTCACACAGAGACCCACAGACTCACACAGAGACCCACAGACTCACACAGAGACCCACAGACTCACACAGAGACCCACAGACTCACACAGACTCAGACTCACAGAGACCCACAGACTCACACAGAGACCCACAGACTCACACAGAGACCCACAGACTCACACAGAGACCCACAGACTCACACGGAGACCCATAGACTCACACAGAGACCCACAGACTCACACAGTGACCCACAGACTCACACAGAGACCCACAGACTCACACAGAGACCCACAGACTCACACAGAGACCCACAGACTCACACAGAGACCCACAGACTCACACAGAGACCCACAGACTCACACAGAGACCCACAGACTCACACAGAGACCCATAGACTCACACAGAGACCCACAGACTCACACAGAGACCCACAGACTCACACAGAGACCCACAGACTCACACAGAGACCCACAGACTCACACAGAGACCCACAGACTCACACAGAGACCCATAGACTCACACAGAGACCCACAGACTCACACAGAGACCCACAGACTCACACAGAGACCCACAGACTCACACAGAGACCCATAGACTCACACGGAGACCCACAGACTCACACAGAGACCCACAGACTCACAGAGACCCACTGACTCACACGGAGACCCATAGACTCACACAGAGACCCACAGACTCACACAGAGACCCACAGACTCACAGTGACCCACAGACTCACACAGAGACCCACAGACTCACACAGAGACCCACAGACTCACACAGAGACCCACAGACTCACACAGAGACCCACAGACTCACACAGAGACCCACAGACTCACACAGAGACCCACAGACTCACACAGAGACCCACAGACTCACACAGAGACCCACAGACTCACACAGAGACCCACAGACTCACACAGAGACCCACAGACTCACACAGAGACCCACAGACTCACACAGAGACCCATAGACTCACACAGAGACCCATAGACTCACACGGAGACCCATAGACTCACACAGAGACCCATAGACTCACACAGAGACCCATAGACTCACACGGAGACCCACAGACTCACACGGAGACCCATAGACTCACACGGAGACCCATAGACTCACACAGAGACCCATAGACTCACACAGAGACCCATAGACTCACACAGAGACCCACAGACTCACACCGACCGCTCGCGTCCGTTGAGGGGCCGGTTCACGATCTCGGGGGGCTGGCGGTCGGAATGGAACCACGAAGCGTTTACCTTCGATTTTGTTTTTATCATTTTCCACGTCACAATCAACGTCGATGGCACGTCGCGTAAACAACAGCGCGTTGCCGGGGCGGTGCGCGGTAGAGGCCGTCCGTCAAACACTCCGAACGGCACGGGGGGGTGGGGGGGGTGGGAATCGCCGACGGGACAAACGCTCTCGGCGACTCGCGAACAGACGCCCAGTGCTCGCGTACGTGAACCGCGGTGGGGGGGGGACGGGGGGAGGCGACTGTGGGCGTTAGGCAGAGAGGAGCAATAAATTAGAGCGAGATTGCACACGCGCGTGAGTGAGTGTGTGTGTGTACGTGGCGTGTGTGTACGTGGCGTGTGTGACACACACACACACGCGTGCGTGAGTGAGTGTGTGTGTGTACGTGGCGTGTGTGTGTGTGTCTGTGCGACACACACACACACGCGTGAGTGAGTGTGTGTGTGTACGTGGCGTGTGTGACACACACACACACGCGTGAGTGAGTGTGTGTGTGTACGTGGCGTGTGTGACACACACACACACGCGTGAGTGAGTGTGTGTGTGTACGTGGCGTGTGTGTACGTGGCGTGTGTGACACACACACACACGCGTGAGTGAGTGTGTGTGTGTGTGTACGTGGCGTGTGTGTGTGTGTGCGACACACACACACACGCGTGAGTGAGTGTGTGTGTGTACGTGGCGTGTGTGACACACACACACACGCGTGAGTGAGTGTGTGTGTGTACGTGGCGTGTGTGTACGTGGCGTGTGTGACACACACACACACGCGTGAGTGAGTGTGTGTACGTGGCGTGTGTGTACGTGGCGTGTGTGACACACACACACACGCGTGAGTGAGTGTGTGTGTGTACGTGGCGTGTGTGTGTGTGTGTGTGCGACACACACACACACACGCGTGAGTGAGTGTGTGTGTGTACGTGGCGTGTGTGTGTGTGCGACACACACACACACGCGTGAGTGAGCGTGTGTGTGTCTGTGGCGTGTGTGACACACACACACACGCGTGAGTGAGTGTGTGTGTGTACGTGGCATGTGTGTGTGTGCGACACACACACACACGCGTGAGTGAGTGTGTGTGTGTACGTGGCGTGTGTGACACACACACACACGCGTGAGTGAGTGTGTGTGTGTACGTGGCGTGTGTGTACGTGGCGTGTGTGACACACACACACACGCGTGAGTGAGTGTTTGTACGTGGCGTGTGTGTACGTGGCGTGTGTGACACACACACACACGCGTGAGTGAGTGTGTGTGTACGTGGCGTGTGTGTGTGTGTGTGCGACACACACACACACACGCGTGAGTGAGTGAGTGTGTACTCTTAGGTTGTTTCCGTATGAATCCTTGCAGTCACGAAAGCTTCAAATCTAGAATGAGTGTGTGTGGCGTGTGTGTGTGCGACACACACACACGCACGTGAGTGAGTGTGTGTGTGTGTCGCACACCGTTTGCCGAGGAACGTACAATAGGAATGCGTGTTTCTTCGTCTTTGTGTGTCTATGTGTTGAGGCCTCAAGGTGCATATGGCCTGGCACAAGCGCCGTGGTTACGTCACCGCCACTTAGTGGCGAATGGCGGTTGTTGTGTGTGTTGAGCGGCAGTGTAGCTGTTGGCGCGCAGGGCTAGCGGTCGTGGGCCTCCCCTAGGTCGACTCGGCCTCAAATGAGTACCTGGTGCGGTGCGTCAACTTCGCCACAAGGGAGACAAAGGCGGCCGGGCGCGGTGTTGGCCACCCACCCCCTCGTGTGCCGTGCCGGCCGTCATAGGTGCTGCTCGCAAAAAGCACTTGCACCCACAGTCTGTTAAGGCTACACTGTGTGATCTTTGTGTGTGAAATGTCCACGTACGGTCATCTTACCTATTTTCCCTCGAGCAATCGTTCGACGTGTGCAACAAATGTTGAACACTCATTTTTTCAAGGCTGCTCTTTGTTGTGGTTAGTGTGGTGTCCTTCTCCCCCCGCACCTCCGATTAACACGGTTGGCTACGGACGGTGCGAAAGAATTTCAAGATACAGACAGACTCACACAGAGACCCACAAGCTCACACAGAGACCCATAGACGCACACAGAGACCCACCGGCTCACACAGGGACCCATAGACTCACACAGAGACCCACAGACCCACACAGAGACCCACAGATGCACACATAGAGACCCACAGACTCACACAGAGACCCACAAGCTCACACAGAGACCCATAGACTCACACAGACCCACAGACTCACACAAAGACCCATAGTTTGGTGTCCTTCTCCCCCCGCACCTCCGATAAGCACAGTTGGCTACGTACGGTACAAAAGAAGTTAAACGTACGTACACACACATACAAACGTGCACGCAGGCGGAGATGCAAATCCCGTGGGGTCGCAAGACAGTGGGACTCTAGCCAAGGTAACACAAGCGGCGGTGCGTGTCCGTGCGTGTCAGTGTGTCTTCCTGTGTCTTTGTATATGTCTGTGTCTCTCTGTGTGTGTGTAAGTGTGTGTGTGTGTCAGTGTGTGTTTCTGTGTCTTTGTGTATGTCTGTGTCTCTCTGTGTGTGCGTCTGTGTGTGCGTCTGTGTGTGCGTCAGTGTGTGTGCGTGTCAGTGTGTCTTCCTGTATCTTTGTGTATGTCTGTGACTCTCTGTGTGTGCGTCAGTGTGTGTGTGTGTCAGTGTGTGCTTCTGTGCGAGCACCGGCCGGCGTTAATAGGTGCTCGCTAACAGCACTTGCTCCGAGTGTTAAGGCTCTACGGGGGATCTTTGTCTTTGTTTCTGTGTGTGTGTGTGTGTGTCTTTGTCAGCGTGTGTGTCTTTGTCAGCGTGTGTGTCTTTGTCTTTGTCAGTGTGCTAACGTGTGCGTGCGTGTGTGTGCGTGCGTCGGCGTCAGTACATTCACTTGCGCTCTGTGCGAGAGAGATGTGGTGACAGAGAGATACAAAGGTAGCCGGGCTACCTCTCTCTCCCTCTGCGAGAGGCGGTGGCTGGGCTATCACTCTGGCAAGGGAGATCTGTGCGTGGAGTTTGCCTTTCCTTCCCAGTGCCAGTGATGCTTTCCTCGCCCTTGCCATCAGCCGACCTGCCACTGTTAAGACACAGAGATAATAAAGGTTACCCCATTGTCGACTAAACAACAGGCTGTTGGGGCAAGTGCTGTTAGCGAGCAGCACCTTTTGAGGCCGGCACAGCACGCAAGAAGGGTGGGGCTGCCTTTGTCTCCCCAATGCGGATGTTCAAACATCGCATCGGGTGCTCAATTAGGGCCGAGTCGACCTAGGGGAGGCCCACGACCGGTTCAGATAATCGTCGCCGATGTTCGCTGTGAGTGGGGAATCGAACTCTGGTCGCCGGGTTCGTAGCGCGGCGAGCCAGCCGCTATGCCACCATGAGACACAAGTACACACAGACACACACACGGCACGTACACACAGACACACACACGGCACGTACACACAGACACACACACGGCACGTACACACAGACACACACACGGCACGTACACATGCCACGTACACACAGCACGTACACACGCCACATACACACGCCCCACGTACACACGCCACGCACACACGGCACACACACGCCACGCACACACGCACCACGTACACACGCCACACACGCCACACACACACGCACCACGTACACACGCCACACACACACACGCCACGTACACACGCCACGTACACACGCCACACACACACGCCACACACACACGCCACACACACACACGCCTCGTACACACGCCACACACACACGCCACACACGCCACACACGCCACACACACACACGCCACGTACACACGCCACACACACACACGCCACATACACACTCCACACACACACACGCCACATACACACTCCACACACACACACGGCACGTACACACGCCACGTACACACGCCACGTACACACGCCACGTACACACGCCACACACACACACGCCACACACACACATGGCACGTACACACGCCACACACACACGCCACGTACACACACCACACACACACACACGCCACGTACACACGCCACGTACACACGCCACACACACACGCACCACGTACACACGTCACACACACACACGCACCACGTACACACGGCACGAACACACACAGACACACACACGGCACGTACACACGGCACGTACACACACACACACGCCACGTACACACTCCACACACACACACGGCACGTACACACGCCACGTACACACGCCACGTACACACGCCACGCACACACGCCACGTACACACGCCACACACACACGCCACGTACACACGCCACGTACACACGCCACACACACACATGGCACGTACACACGCCACACACACACGCACCACGTACACACGCCACACACACACACGCACCACGTACACACGCCACACACACACACGCACCACGTACACACGCCCCACACACACGCCACGTACACACGCCACACACACACACACGCCACGTACACACGCCACACACACACGCACACGTACACACGCCACACACACACGCACCACGTACACACGCCACGTACACACGCCACGTACATACGCCACACAATTGTACATGTTGTGGGTTTACTCTCCAACACACTGGTGTGGGACTGAACTAAAAACGAATTGCCACGTTTTGTTTACGTGACGAAGCTTTACCAATTATTAATCTGTGTCGGGTGGTGGCGGGTTTAACGACACACATTTATCTTTACGCCATCCAACCCAAAAAAACCAAACCCCCCTCTATTGTGAACTAAATTCCATTTTTGTCACCGAGAAAGTGTTTTCATCGCGCTCTCACCCGCAAGGCCTCCTCCTTCCCCGGGCGAGCGCGCCTCCTCCGCCAACTTACGCTCCATCTCCTCCCGCTGCTTCTTCTTGCGCGCCACCCCCTCGGGGTCTTTAATGCCACGGGCAGACGACTGTAAACAAAAAAAAACAACAAAAAACAACAACAAAACTAAAACAAAAAAAACAAAGATCCCCCTTATAGCCTTTACAGACCGTTGGGGCTAGTGCTGTTCGCAAGCACCTATGAATTCTAGATTTGAAGCTTTCGTGACTGCAAGGATCCATACTCTTAGATTTTTTCGGTAAAGTCACGTAGGTGAAAAAAGGAAAACGAATAAATAAAAGCACGACGTTTCGGAGGCAACACAGGCCCCCGTCTTCAGGTGGAACAGTCACAGCAAATGACTGCATCAAGTGATACAGTAATTTAATTTATTTGTTTTCGTTTTCCTTTTTTAACCTACGTGACTTTACCGAAAAAAACTAAAAGTAAAGCACCTATGAAGGCCGGCACGGCACGCGATGGGGTGGGTGGCCAACACCACGCCCGACCGCCTTTGTCTCCCCAGTGGCAATGTTTACACACACCGCACCAGGTACTCATTTGAGCCCGAGTCGACCTAGGGGAGGCCCAGGACCGGTTCAGATAATCGTCACCGGTGTTAGTGACCGTGAGCGGGAATTCGAACTCGTGCCGCCGGGTTCGTAGCGCAGCGTAGCGCTGACCGCTACACCACCGCTCCCCCACGATCCGGATCCGGTTCGCATGCCGCGTGAAACATTCATCTCTTGCACTCGATTAGTGCGGCTAAGTTCGTCCTCGCTTGATGTTATCTCCCTCGCCGAGTTTGCAGGAGGTCGGGGATTTGATCCCGACTCTGACGCCTGCTGCATATTCAGAGTTTGCGTGTTTCTCTCTCCCCGTGGATTTTTTTTTTTTCCTCCGGGTCCTTCCGGTTTTTCCCCTCCACATTTAAAAACTTTCGTTTCGTGCATTTGGCTGCTATAAATGCCCACGTGATAAGCCACTTGGTTGAGCTATCATATGTGGCCAGGTCGCTTCTAGAAAAAATTAAATACAAAATATTTAGGAAAATAAAAAGAGTTTACATGGCAAGTAAGAGCGGATTACTGGAAAGCCCCACTCGTGTTTTTCACACGTTTCACCGTTACAGGCCACGTAGTGATTTTTTTGAGCCGCTAAAGTCTTGCCACCTCGGGCGGTACCGGACGAGCAAGCCATCCGGTTCTGGGCTCATGCGATGTTCATCCGGTGTAGGGGCAGAGGGGGAGAGGGAGAGAGAGTCACAGCCCCGTGCGGCTGAGCGTCGTCACCTCCTGGATCCTCTTCTCTGCCGCCGCCGCCAACTGCGCTCTTCTTAGCTCCTGCGAGGGGCACGGGGAGGGGGGCGGGGTGGGGTGGGTGGTTGATGGGGGGGGGGGGCAAGAAGGTCAGGGGGTCAGCGTATTGGCAAAATTGACGTCTTTCTCGATTGAAAACGAATTTCTTTAGAAGTGCTTTTTGAGTTTGTTGACCTTCCCATGCACCTCCGATTCGCACGGTTGGCTATGTACGATACGAAAGAAGTTCAACATACGTACATCACAAGCCCAGGCGGACAGGTAGACTGTTGCGATTCGTGGTGTTACCTACTACAACTACTATTTTTATTTTACGAGGTAGGGCCCACTGAGCTGTGTAACTCTTTTTGAGAAGTCACCTGGCCGTCACAAATGACAGCTCAACGAAGTGGCTTTTCACGTGGAAATTTAGGGCCGCCAAATTACTCGAAACGTGCGATGTTGAATTTAAATCCGGAGGGGAAAAAAAACGGAGGACCCGGAGAAAAATCCACGCGACCACGGGGAGAGAAGCATGCAAACTACAAATACACAGCAGCAGGCGTCAGGGTAGAATCCACGACCTTCTGCATACCAGACGAGGTCGTTAACATCTCGCCACAGTGGTGCCCTGCCGACGCATCAATTTGCACGCATCGAATGGCCCTTGCGGGAATCGACGGAGCGGCAACCAAGGGATGGAACTCGACGCGTCCGAGGGGACGCACCGCCGGGTGAGAGATGGAGCAGGTGAAATCGGCTCGTGGATTAATTTGCGATCCGGAGTTTGCCGATTGATTCTCCCCGCACGGCAGTTGAATGAACGGAGCACGTTTCTTAAATCCACTTTCTGCCTCTGCCGACCCGGCGGCGCAAATGGCTCCAGCACCGTCAAGTCGATCGGCAGGTCAGGCGGTGTGGGTAAAGTGTGGCTGTCGCCACCTCTTCCAGAACTTCTGGCCAGCACGGAAGACTAAGAGGTAGCGGAGGCCCTTCCGTCAGCACTGGCGTTGAGCCAGGCAATTGCAAGGCTGCGCCTTTCCCTTGATAACAAAGAAATGCTTCATCCCATCGACCACACACCTCAGATGGATTCACTTACTCTCTTTCACGTGAAAGGGAGCCGGGCGACAATTGCTCCGTTTGAATCGATTAATTCGTGAGGGCTGATGCGGAGAGTTCAGATGCTTCTCACCAAGTCCTGCGTGTCCTCCTGGTCCCCGTTCTGCCCACCCAGACAAGGGAAGCACAGACTCCCCATGGGCAGGCAGGCACCTACGCGCGCACCTGCAGAACACCACGAATAACAACAAAACGTCAAAGTGATTTCCCTGCTTATCGCCCTGAGTCAGTGCTGCAAAGTCTCCATTCCTACGGCGCGTCCACCCACGGGACAACCACTTGCTGACTTTCTCCGCAAAGTGGCAGCTATTTTATCAACCCCACAAGGATGATGATGATTGGACTCAGAATTTATTCATACCGGAGGAATCCGATGAGCTATTAAGCTCTTTTTCACAGATGTCCAGTAAGGGCATGGGGTCGGAATGTTACAACAACGAACAATGCGAAAACACGAAAGGTTAACAAATAATAAAAAAACATACAATTTATACTTGTTTTTTTTTTATCTTACCAGTTATAAAGCCCACTGAGCTATTAACTTCTTTTTCAGACGTGACCTGGCCACAAATGATAGCTCAACAAAGTGGCGTATCACGAGGGAAAAACCGGAGGACCCAGAGGAGAAAAATCCACGCGACCACGGGGAGAGAGAGACACCGCAAACTCCAAATATACAGCAGCAGGCGTCAGGGTTGGGATCGAACCCACGACCTCCTGCACACCAGGCCAGGTAGTTAACATCTCATAGCCATCGTGATGATGATGAGACACCGCAAACTCCATAAATACAGCAGGCGTCAGGGTTGGGATCGAACCCACGGCCTTCTGTACAGCAGGCGAGGTAGTTAACATCTCATAGCCACCGTGATGATGATGATGAGACACGAAAACTCCAAATATACAGCAGCAGGCGTCAGGGTCGGGATCGAACCCACGACCTCCTGTGTACCAGGCGAGGTAGTTAACATCTCCTAGCCATCGTGGAGGACCCGGAGGAGAAAAATCCACGCGACCACGGAGAGAGAGAGAGACACCGCAAACTCGTGAGATTGTATTATGTTTTATTTTTATTATTTTATTATTTCCCTTCTACGTGATGACTTTACCGAAAGAACCAAGAAGATGAATCCCTGCAGTCACGAAAGAAGCTTTAAATCGAAATTTTACCGAAAGAATCAAGAGGCTTGAGTCCATTGGTCAAGTGGCCCACATCTGGCCCCTTGATGGTGGTGCTGATGCTGCTGCTGCTGCGTTGGTTAAATCCACGATTCGTTTCAACTTACGAGGCTGTCGGGACGCGGCGCTCCCGCTTGAACCGTCGCCCGCGTCGATGAATAAACGAGGAGAGAGCTCGGACGCTTAAAACAACAACAACGACGATGACAACAACAACAACGTTAACAACAACAACCAGCCGCGGATCAGCTGTTTACTCGGACGAGCCCGCCCCTAGTCGATTCTTTCGATTCCAAATGTTGGTGTTAATAGCGAATCGACTTTGCCGCACGCAAATCGTCGCAGGTAATCGATGCCCGTTGCGAGAGCGACGCGGAATCGATTCCACCACCAACACCACCAACGTTGTGGGTATAGGCGGCGTAGAGGCCCTTCAGACACATGACGTCACAGCGGGCGAACAAAACGCATCGATGACATCACGGACCTGCACCGCCCCCCACTACCCTCCCCATATGACGTCACGCCCACTCTCGGGTAGACATGACGTCACGCGACCATTAACAGACGAAGGAGAGGGTCGCCCTTTCCCTCAAGTCTCCCATCGGTCAACCGCTCGCACTGATGCCGCGTGTGGCAGCAGCGGTAGCAGCAGCAGCAGCTCCTCGTCGCTCAAACTCTCCGCGTGCCGCGCTCACATGGACGCCGCTCCGAACAGCGACGTCGCGGACGACGGCGAACTCGAGGACGGCGAAATCGACGACGCGTCCGACGGGGCGTACAACCCCCCCGAGCCTCGTCGTCCCGCCGCCTCGCTCGAGTCGCGGCCGGTAGAGCCGCTCAGGCGAGCGCAGGCTTCGCATCGGGGTAGGCCGCGATCGTACCACGGCGGCGGCGGTGGCGGCGGCGGCGGCTTTGGGACACTGGGACGAGGGCATCTTCGTCAGGGGCATCGTCACGGGCAGCAGCAGCATCAGCAACAGCAACCAGGTGTCTTTCGCCCGTACAAGTTCCGCGGGCTGCTACCACGAGCCAAATGGAGGAGCGGGCGCGGAGCGGGGAGGTCTCGAGGTGGAGGAGGAGGAGGAGGCGGCGTTGTCGGGTCGAGGCCTCGCGGCATCGCGGCCGGAGAGGTGGATGCGGGGGAGGACGATGCTCAGCTGCCCTTGAGGATGTCCCGTATCCACCCGTTGTTGACGTGGCACGGTTTTGCTCGCGTGTGAGGCTTTGCGTTAGAGCGGCCCCGGGGTGGGTTGGTTGGTTGGTTGGTGAGGGGTGGTGAGATGCGGCCGTGTGAGGTTTCACGTGAGAACGAGTGGGGGAGGGGGATAGGTGGGAGATTTGCCTATCTTGAGGTGAAATATCGCATAGCTGTGAGTCCCTTATGAGTCGTACACTCGCTACTACATACATGTCAACCCCTTATCGGTGGCTTCTTATTACAAGAACACTTCAGACCGTATATTGGTCACCCCGTGCCTTCTAAAAACCCCAACGTCCATCCTACAAAGTGTCGATCACAAGGGAGAAACACAAATAGACAAACATACTCTTAGGTTCTTTCGGTAAAGTCACGTCGGTGAAAAAAGAATAATGAAATAAAATAAATTATTTTATTATTGTATTATTCTTTTTTCACCTACGTGACTTTACCGAAAGAACCTAAGAGTATGAATCCTTGCAGTCACGAAAGCTTCAAATCTAGAACAAATAGACACTTTTTTTTGCAAGTATTGAAACGGCTGTGCACCGTATGGATCTGAAAACTCTTATTTCCCTGTACAAGAATACGGGCTAAAAACGTAATGGGTTGACAGGATATTGCATTGCGTGAAATACTAAACTTGTTAATATAGGAGTGTGTGAGGTGAGCTGTGGTGTCGAGGAGTAACATGGTTAAGAGTCGAGACTAAATTAAAAACAAAACTAGAAACCAATGGCGGAGTTGTTGGTAAGTAAGGAGTTGTTGGTAAGTAAGGAGTTGTTAGTCAGGAGTTAGTAAGTAAGGAGTTGCTAGTAAGGAGTTAATAAGTAAGGAGTTGTTAGTAGGTAAGGAGTTGTAAGTAAGGAGTTGCTAGTAAGGAGTTAGTAAGTAAGGAGTTGTTAGTAAGTAAGGACTTGTCCCTTGCTTTTTATTCGACACGTTTGCGGCGATGGTGCAGCCATCGATCGAGGGTCTAATTCGAACGGCGTCGTGTGATTGGCATCGCGCTCGCTGAAGGTGTTGATGCCTTCAGGGAAGTCGTGTCCTGTATACGCAACAGCGTACAATTCTGAGTCGCTTATAACTGCTTTGCCGTTACTTATTGCCAATTATGGACTCAGAATATTGTCCTGTCATCTCGTAGAGTCCCTGGCACATAATAATATGCTACACAGTGGCAGTGGGGGTCGCAAAATGCCGATTTATTACGAATAAACCCCAATGATCTGATCGAAATTAAGGATTTGATCCGAAGTAAAATCCACCGCGACCACGGGGAGAGACACACAAACTCCAAATATACAGCAGGAGTTAGGGTTGGGATCGAGCCCACGACATCCTTTATACCAGACGAGGTAGTTAACATCTCGCCGCCACGTGAGAATTTTTCAAGCGAGCAGTGTGATTTACCTAGGCTGTTGGCCGAGACATACGACGGAATGGCAGCCCAGGGTATGGTTACGCTTCCGGGGGGACAGACGAGACAAAATGAGGCTGTACAAACGAGATCCATACAGACGCCGCTAAAGCTAACATAGTAAAAATGATAAAGACGTGGCGGTCATAAATAGCATGGTATAATAAGCGAGATGGTATAGATGGAACACTAAAACTGAGACATTACAAACGAGATGATGCAAAGAAGACGGTATTGCGGATTCTTCTGGTCGAAATAAAGACTCTGATTTTCAATACTTGGTACGCACGCGATTCTCCGTGCAGACAACACGAAGAAGGCACAAAAAAAACAGATTCTTTAATGTAATCAGTTCATACCCCCCCCCCCCAAATTGTAATTCGGTGGGAACAGCAATCGTTACATGCCTATGTGTTATTTTGTCGATTCTCAATAATTTGATACAAATGGCTTGGGAGTTGGCAGCATCTGTCTGTTAGGAATACTAAGAACCAAAATAACCCGAGTGTCGGGACAGAATGAAAAACAATTTTCACGTTTCCCAATAGAGTCCAATTTTCGTTGTGGGTTTCCCACACCGCGATGTCTTGCGTTCTTTTTTAACGACCCATTGTGGTGGGACTTTTTTGTGAACGGATGTGAAAACACAAAGAGGTGACAAGTATTTTTTTTATGGGTTTGAACACCCCAGAGGTGTAATTATACAATGAACTGTGTGTCCTTAAACCGACCTTTGGTGTGGTGTGACGTGACGCACGTAAGACGGTAAAATAAAGAGCACAATGTCGCATATCCAATCGTGACATTCGCCCTGACCAATTAACCGCCCACTTCCGGCACAGTATGCGTAACTGTTATTTTCCATTGACGTTCCCAAATCCGACCTTGTCACATATCCGCCCCATACCTCAGCGAGTTGAATATGTCGGCGTTGTACGGTTATTTGACTTGTGAAGAAACAAATACGTTACGATTTTTTATTTATTTGTGTCGTCGACATGTTGGAGCAAATATCTCTCTGAACTTGAGGTCCCAGATGAAACATGGTTGGCTGAAACCCGATTTTAACCCAAGGGTGGTTCAGAGCAAAGAGTACTGACCTCTGAGTGACCCTGCCACCTCATATCAACATGGGCCATGTCGGGCCAGACTAATTGGGTGGAGGGTTAAATTTCGATTTAAAGCTTTCGTGACTGCAGGGATTCATCTTCTTGGTTCTTTCGGTAAAGCAGCTGCTTGCGTTGTGGCCGAAACGTCGTGAGAATTATTTTATTATGTTTTATTTTTATTATTTTATTGCTTCCCTTCTACGTGACTTTACCGAAAGAACCATGAAGATGGGAGGAGGGTATTTTACTGCAAATAAATAACACATCGTTAATGTTACATGTAAATAACACGAACACATTTCATCAGCTTGTAATAAGTTAGTAACGGTGAACTGAATATTTAAATGCAATATTCACCATTTAATAAAGCATAAGCATTCAATCTTCATTTAAAGCATTCACTTTTAACAAACTGCAGGTTAACATGAGTCATGCGCTAGGGGGAAGAGGTGGAAGGCTGATTTTTACACCCAGGAAAATAAGGGTAATTCTCACGGGCTAGATGAGTTTTTTTTGTGTGAAATGGATATAAAATGACGATTGCGAGCAAGAAGGAGCCCGAGTAAAGCACGTGGATTTAGTGCCCCGAATTCGATACAACACAACTTCGTATAGCTTTCGAATTGCAAACACACATGTGCATCAGTTGTTTACCCCATTACATTGCTCAGCCGCTCGTCCGTCCTCTTCATCAGAGCATCCCGGATAGCCGACACAAGACTTGCGTCGAGCATTACGCCGTCTCATACCGTGCGCAGTTTAAAATTTCAGCTTATCCGAGTTCAGCTTTGGGGGGGGGAGGTCTTGCTGCAGTACGTGTACGTGATGTGTTTTTCCACTTCAAAATGTCACGACGCTTTAACTTGGTGCTCAGAGATGGGCTTCCCCCGCATAATGCCGGCACGTGGCCCGAACCACGGCGCACGGCCTGAGCCGGAGCACGAGGAGAGCTTTGACGAGCTGCTGGAGACGTACCGCCAAATCCAGAAGGAGCTAGAGGAGATCAACCAGGAGGAGAGGGAGGTGGAGGACCTGAAGACCAACGCCTGGTACCCAGGTGGCGGGGTTGGTCCCCCGACCCTGCTTCCGCAGGAGCGCCGCCCTGCCGATCTGTGGTGCCGCGATGAACACCGGCCCTCCTGGCAGGACGGCCACGGTGGCGGCGGCGGCGAACGAGTGTGGGCCGAGCACGCCGAGGACGTTCGGCACTGCCGGGATGAGCGCTGGGCCTGGGACGGCAGACCCGGCGGTGGCGGCGGCGGCGACGGTGACGACAGGCCGCCCTGGAAAGAGCGGCACGCGGACAATCGGCCATGGGACGAGGCGCCGTGGAATGACCGGCACGAAGAGAAGCTGCCGCCGCAACCACCGCCGCCGTGGCACGACCAGGCCTGGCAGGAGCGCCACGACGACAACAGGAGGCACTGGAGCGAGTGGCACGGGGACGAGAGGGAGCGGAAGACGTGGGGCCGCGACGGCGTTCCCTACGGGCCGTGGGACAACCGCGAGTGGAAAGACTCGCATGCCGCCGTCGAGAGGGGCTGGGACGTGGATCCTCACCGCGACGATCGACCGAGGGGCAGCAGTGGCGATGGCGGCGGCGGCGGCGGTGGTGGCGGCGGCTGCACCGTCGGGCCCTACAACCAAGACTGGCTTGGGGAAGGTCCGGGAAGGTCGTGGGACGAGCGCCCGAGAGACGAGGTGCGTCCCAGAGATGATGTGCGTCCCAGAGACGACATGCGTCCCAGAGACGAGGGGCGCTACGACGAGAGGATGCAGAGGCCGCAGAAGCCCGCGGCGGCGCTGCTCAATTCCTGCCCGGAGCAGCATCCCCAGCCGGCGCTCCCGCCCAAGGTGTTCCGTCCGTTCGAGCTGAAGCCGCTGCGGCAAAAGATCCTGAAGCCCGCCGAGCTCGACGAGCTCAACAAGAAGAAGCTCGGACATTCGGAGACGGAGGTCGACGGAGGAAGTGGTACGAGGGATGGAGATGAAGGCCCTCGGATCACGGAGGATGGAAATGGCGCAGGTTTGATTTGCGTTGGTAGAGCGACGCGACCTCTTGGTGTTGGGAGAGCAGCAGCCCGCAGAACCGGACATAGCAGAGCTGCCTTTGAGATCCCATCAAGTGACCTCTGGGTCCGCACAGAGAGTAATATTTGCCACGTGACAGTTAAAGTGACATATTTTTTTTATTAATTCTCAGAGCAAGAATTTTGACATTAATTGTAGAACTTATTTTATAGCGATGTTTTTTTCTATGTGTGTGCAGTCCTTGGTGACTGTTTTGAGACCATCACCTCTCACTGGACTTGAAAATCTAATTTATTCCACAGGTGGATACTTGGATTTGAACCCGGGGTCTAAATAGTACCAGTTCAGAACTGACATCTAAGCTACACAGGTCACGTCCAAATTGAAGACGTTTTAATGGTCAATACACTCGCAGTATTAACCAGGGCGGCCGCTTCTCTCGAACTACGAACCTTTGCAACAAGCATCAAATGTGTTTTACGCTTGGCCGTATCATTAAACCATTCTCATTTAAACTAGACAAAGCGTACACTGGCCTTGTCTTCGCCGTGATGATGATGATCCATAGCAATGAGTGATGGTGTGTGTGTGTGTTGTGTATAGGCTCTAGCAGCAAACTTTGCCAGGCAGCAGAGTCCAGCCATTCCTCCTGCAGCAGCAAGACCGCCGACTCCTCGCCAGACCTGGTCAGTTACTGAAATGTGCATGCGAGCCTCCCCACGCACGCACACACACTCCTGGAGCCCTTAGCCCGAAATGGCTTATCGGTACCACCCAAGGTGGCAAATGCTGCCAATTATTTTCTGGAAGAATTGTATGTCTCGATCGCAACTGTGTACTATGGCAAGATAGCTTTTTTTTGTAATGAGAAACATGACTTTAAATGTCGATTTAAAGCTTTCGTGACTGCAGGGATTCATATTCTTGGTTCTTTCGAAAAGAACCAAGAATGTGAGAAACACGACATTCGTAGACACTATCGGTTTTGGAAGCTGAGCAGGATAATGATCGGAAGGTCATTGGCTGCTGCAGGGCTACGTTGTCTACATTGGGCAAATGCAGCAATATCTATTGTTGTACTGTGCAATGCTCCCTCAATCCGTGCTGTTTCCATCTTCACCCAAACCTGCACTGACTAGCGTGGGGAAGTAAGATAACCCCCCCCCCCCCCATGCATCACCTGCAGCAGTGAATTGACAATAGGGGCTCTACGTGTCTACTTAACAACTCGCTGATTCATCAATGGCGATGTTTATGCTCTCGGTACATGCATGGAATCAATTGCGGAGCCGGGATTTTCAGGTAGGGGGGGGAAACCCCTCCAGCAATGAAAAATTATAGAGGAGTTGTTAGTAAGTAAGGAGTTGTTAGTGAGTAAGGAGTTGTGAGTAAGGACTTGTCCCTTGATTTTTATTAGACGCCTGTGCGGCGATGGCGCAGCCATCGATCGAGGGTCGAATTCGAACCGCGTTGTGTGATCGGCATCGCGCTCGCATGAAGGTGAATGCCTTCAGGGAAGTCGTGCACTGTATACGCAACTGTGTACAATTCTGTGAGTCACTTATAACCGCTTTGCCGTTACTTATTGCATATATGGACTCAGACTATTGTCTTATCATCTCATAGAGTCCCTGGCACGTAATAATATGCTACACAGTGGCAGTAGGGGTCGTAAAAAGCCGATTTATTACTTATAAACCACAATGATCCGATCGAAATTCGGGATTTCAATCGGATCATTGTGGGAGAGGGGGCACGTGCCACCCCACCCCCTCCACGCGTGTGAGAGTCGGATAAATACGGAGGGTAAACCGGAGGACCCGGAGAAAAGTCCACAACCACAGGGAGACGATACAAACGCCAAATATCCAGGTGTAGAGTTGTGTAATTATCGAGGCGCACACAGCGTCAGGGTTGGCATTGAACCTCACAACCTGTGTATACCAGGCGAGGTGGTTAATATTTCGCCACCGCGGCATTATCGAGACTGAGACGGACAAAATTCGAGCGAGACGCAAGCGGGATGACAATTGCGGCCCGGAATCTTGACGTTTCGCGGAATCGCTGGGGATGTGAAAATTCGCTCGCGCATTTGTATTTTGCACGGGGTGGGAGCGGGGGTGGGGGGGGGATATCTCTGGTTTCTCACTTCGGCTTCAGGAATCATGAGCCGTGTCATCGATGCCGAGATCATCACGGCCAGCGCTGTGTTGATGCCTCCGCACGTTCCCTTTTGCTTCCTTCCTTCTGCTAGATCCTGCAGCAGTTGTACAGTGGACGGCCTGCCCCGAAGGTTGGCTCTTAACATTCAAGCTTTGCAGTAGTTGTGTGGCAGTGGCTTGTGTGGTCTTACGGCTGTACGATATTGGCACAGAGGGGGGGGGGGCATGGTGGGCAAAGGAAATCTCGAATTTTGAGTGAAGTCCGTCAGAGCAGGGAAACCGTCGTGGGTACTCGTGGGATAAAAGCCCTTTTTTAAATCCTTTATATTAAGTTCGCTCGCTTGCTTGCTTGCGTGCTTGCGTGCTTGCTTGCTTGCGACCGTGTAAATCTTTCAGTCGTTTTTTAACCCACTTCCCGTGATCCAATCGAGCTGACATTTTGCACACAGACTCGTTGTGCGAGACAATGAATGTTCGTGAAAATTTTTTTCCAAAATTTTACACTGTTTAGGGAAAACAAATTAAATATTTAATTACCAATTGCTTAATACTGGCAGACAATCATCTGACCCATAGGTGGCATCCATCTCAAGCCAGAGGACGAGAGGACTCTAGCCGCCACGCATATAAAGGATTTAGAGTGAAAAACTTTGTTTTTACGGGTTAATTTTTATTTTGATCGCCTTTCAAAATGCCCCACGTTTCAGCGCTTGGTGCCACGGCAGCAATAGCGTGGGGGGAGAGAGGGGAGGATATTCCAATGTCAACCAGGAAACCTGTATTTCTAGTTTGCTTTTCTCATAAGTTCTAGGAAAATCCAAACAAAAAAAATACAACCCCCCCACCCCACCCCCAGAAATGAAGAAAATTTACCAAAAATTAGCCGGAATCAGAATCCTATTTATTTATTTATCCTGGAGAAAATTCGATGAGAGCTAGAAAGTTATTTTTCACAGTTACCCACTCGGTTTAATTTCTGTTTACGTTTAAACGGTGACGTTACCATATTTTAAAATGTCTAAGTAAACTGGTATTTAATTTGTAATGTATACAGCTAACTTTTAGCTGGGCCACCGCCCACCCCTTGTTACATGACCTTTCTATAGATCATTGGTTTATATTTTCCCCCAGACCTTGGCAAAAACAAAATATTCGTGGCTTGAGCTCACTCAATCAGCGGTTGAATCAACAACGCCTCGCCCGTCAAACAGCCTGTGTAGGGCGCGAGTCGGATCCACGTTCAGACTTTGTGTTTTGATTCTGTTCATAATAAAAGATTCTCCATGGTTAGATTGCGTATATCATAATGCCGTCATTAACCTGCCACCTAGCCGACACAGAACAATCAGTGAGGTTTGTCACATGCCAATTAGTTACTACTTCAGCACACGAGTTGTGCGCTGGAGCGTGAACCCCGCAACATTTACAAACGAAACTTTTATGATGAATATAATATCGGTTGCGAAAGCCTCCGTGTCAAATTTGATTCCGTGCCCTTCTACTCTTTGCCACGATGCGCTCGCCGCGGCGATAACCTTTGTGTCACGTTTGTGAGCAAAGGTCGAGAGGTCGTAACGGCCAATGCCCGTCGAAGCTTACTGTGGCCTCCTCGTCCATCGCTTCTTTCCTCCGCCGGATGCCACTGCTGCTGAAACTTTAGTTTCGTTATTGTTACCGCGCTTGCTTAACCTAGAAAAGGCTTTCTTGAGAGGCCCGCGACTTTTTCTCGGGAGGGTCCTGCCAAGTTTCCGGTGGATGATTGCTGCTGTGTTTATCATTGAGTAATTTGCATATTTTCTTTTGCAAATTATGCAAGTCTTGACCGCGGCACTGGCGTGCAAAACCTGCTACTCGCGTGATCTTTAACGTCCACGGTCGTATTTTGACGCGTGGTGGTATTTTTACGCAAAGTGGTTTTTTCATGGTTCGTGCTGCACCACCACCGCAGCAATAGCCAGGACCGTCCGCTGGGATCGGAGCCACGTAACCGTCCACTTGACTTTTTCAGGACCCCCTCTCCCCCCGCCGTCTGGATTTATCGCTGTAGGCCTTTTCCCCTCGGTTGCCAACCTCGTCACAGTGGCGAGATGTTTGGAGTTTGCGTCTCTCATCATCACCACGATGGCTATGAGATGTTAACTACCTCGCCTGGTATGCAGGAGGTCGTTGGTTCGATCCAGACCCTGACACTTGCATATTTGGGGTTTGCATGTTCTCTCTCTCTCTCCTCCCGTGGTCGCGTGGATTTTTCTCGGGGTATTCCGGTTTTTCCCTCCACATTTCGAAACATGCGTTTGGAGTATTTGGCTGCTGCGATCAATTTCCACGCGATACGTTGAGCTATCTATCATTCGTGGCCACGTCGCATCCAGCACCAGATTGCATTGGTTCGATATCCTGCCGTGGCAGCTGAAACAACGGTGCTAATTTCATATATCCCCCCCTCCACCACCACCACCACCACCTGTGCGTGCCCAGCATTATAAATGGGTGCACCACAACAGTTGTGCATTCAGCTGGTCACGTGCGGTGCATTAAATTGTGGGTATGTCTCAGCGTGGTGTAAGCCTCTAAACACTTGTTGGGGGGGGGGGGGCAGCCCTTCCCCCAGCAATTTCGCGAGCGAGTGAATTGCCAGGCTTGCGCGCCTTTACTTCGTATCAACACGAGCGTTTCCGTTGCGCACGCCCCACCCACCCCCCTCCACCTCCTCTCGCACGCGTCCACAGCTCCCCGACGGCGCGGGCAAGGAGAACGAAGAGGAGGAGGAGGAGGATGAGGAGGAGCTGCAGCTTCGGCTGCTCGCTCTCAAGTCCGCCAGCCACAAGTGGCAGCAGAAGGAGCGCCAGGTTCTGCAGTCGAGCCGCGAGAAGCAGGCGCAGCCGCGCGCGCCGACGGCCAAATCAAGGACGGCTCCGGCGAAGTCCAGGAGCTCCGGCGCGACGATGTCCAGGCCGTCGGCGTCGCGAGGGGCGCAAGCCAAGTCCAGGGCCACCCCGGCCAGGAGGAGGCCCAGCCCAGCTCCTCGCACCACCCGCACGAGTGAGCACGGCGTTCAACTTCCCTGGCGAGCTGCCGCCACCCGTGCCGGTGTGCCCGGGGGGGGCCTTAGCGCGGCACCGGTGGTGTTTTTTTTTTTTACGCCGGATGTTTTTGCCGAGCCTAGCGGTGATGCCGCACTGCTGGGTTTCGCAAGAGGGGGGACCCCTCTGTAGGTGCAAACGATGAACTATGTTTCTAGATTTGAAGCTTCTTTCGTGAGTGCAAGGATTCGTAATCTTAGGTTTTTTCGGTAAAGTCATGTAGGTAAAAAAAAATAATAACAATAAAAATTATAGAAGTGATAATAGAAATAAAATAATAAATCACGACGTTTTGGAGGCAACACAAGTCTCCGTCATCAGGTGGGACCGTCACAGCTAAATTTACTGTATCATTTTGCCTCACTTAATACAGTAAATTTAGCTGTGACGATCCCACCTGATGACGCAAACTCCAAATATACAGCAGCAGGCGTTAGGGTGGGGATCGAACCCACGACCTCCTGTATACCAGGTGCGGTAGGTAACATCTCTTAGCCACCGTGATGATGATGAGAGAGAGACACGCAAACTCGAACAAATATACAGCAGCAGGCGTCAGGGTGGGGGTCGAACCCACAGCCTCCTGTATACCAGGCGAGGTAGTTAACATCTCTTAGCCACCGTGATGATGATGAGAGCGACACGCAAACTCCAAATATACAGCAGCAGGCGTCAGGGTGGTTGTGGCTTCTACGCCAGCGAGACACGGCTCTGGTCCTGCAGCCGTGCTGGACTGGCTCTGTTGTAGGTAGTGTCTATTACAAGATGAAATGCGTTCGCAGCGTGTTTTTACTGCAATCGACTCGTAAGGTTCATTCCTTTCCTCAGAAGCTAAAAACAAGCCTGGGCGTCATGCACTCGCACAACTGGTTTAACCAGCCCAGCGTTCGCTGTCTTGTTTCCGAAGTCGGCGATATTCAAATGCCGCATTCTGTGGCAAGGCATTAACCAGAGCGCAAATTCCGATCGTCCTCACGGCGACTTTTTGGCTTAACCATCGAACAAAGGCGGTCACCGCATTGCGTGCTTTCGGATGAGCTTTTGCGGCTGTCTGGAACGCTCTTCTGATATTAGGAAGGCACTGGGAGCCACGCACTTTTAAATCATGAACTAGATAGCAAAACGAATTTCCTTAGAACTGCTTTATAGTTTGTTGTCCTCCCCTGCACCTCCGGTTAGCACGTTTGGCTACGTACAGTGAGTAACAAGTACAGCATACATAAACAAGACAAAGATTCCCCGTATAGCCTTAACAGACTGTTGGGGCAAGTGCTGTTAGCGAGCACCTATGAAGGCCGGCACAGCACGAGGGGTGGGTGGCCAACACCACTCCCGGCCGCCTTTGTCTCCCTAGTGGCAATGTTAACACACTGCACAAGGTACCCATTTGAGGTTGAGTCGACCTAGGGGAGGCCCAGGACCAGTTCGGATAATCGTTCCTGGTGTTGACCGTGAGCGGGAATCGAACTCTGGTCGCCGGGTTCATAGCGCGGCGCGTTAACCACTACACTCCCGCTCCCCACTACACACACACACACACGACTGCTTTCGCCCCCTTTCTGAAGTGGCACGCCTTGTGTGGTCACGGGCCGTTTGAAACCAAGTCGTGGGCCATTTCACCTTGGCGGATAAATTGCACTCCAATGTAACAATCACCCTCTTGACATATTTCTCGTTTCGGCCCTGCGCGCTGGCGTGGGCGTGTGAGCCACGTGAAACGATCGTCGCTGGCCACACACCCGCCCATGTGCTTGCAGGCCTGCGCGCGAACTTGAGCGCTTTATTTATTTAAGTATGCCACGGTGGCGAGATATCTTCCATACTCTTTGGTTTTTTCGGTAAAGTCACGTAGGTATAAAATAGATCACGACGTTTCGAGCGCAACACAAGCGTCCATCGTCAGGTGGGAAAGCATGGTCTGCTGCTGAGGCAGACTGTTTTAAAAGGTCTTCTCGATGAGGGCACGTTGAGGAGGCCACTCTCCTATCTTACAGTTACATGCTAATTTCTCACATTAACATCACTAGCCCCGGCCACTTCTTTATAACACTTGGACTACACCCATTTCAAACCTTTTAAAACAGTCTGCCTCAGCAGCAGGCCATGCTTTCCCACCTGATGATGGACGCTTGTGTTGCGCCCGAAACGTCGTGATTTATTTTATTCTATTTTTCTACCTACGTGACTTTACCGAAAGAACCAAAGAGTATGGATTCCTGCAGTCACGAAAACTTCAAATCAAAATCGTTATCTTCCTTTCCTGGTATGCAGGAGGTCGTGGGTTAGATCCCGACCCAATATCTGCTGTATATTTGGAGTTTGCGTGTCTTCTCGTGGTCGCATGGATTTTTTTTCTCTGGGTCCCTGCACATATAGACACGTGCATTTAGATTATTTCGATTATTTTTGCCGATCGAAATTTCCGCATTATAAGCCACTTTGTTGAACTGTCATTTGTGGTCAGGTCGTTTCTGGAAAATAAGTTAATAGCTCCGGTGGGCTTTACCTGGTAAGATAAAAAACTGTTTCTTTTATTTGTACACTCGCTTTACTACCCGGCTTCACCCGGGACTTGGATTCTTGTCTTGGATTAATACACGGCCTACGTGGAGGGTGGGGGGGGGAGTGCGTGATGTGATGTCAGCAGGCACCACTGCGTGACGCTGCCGCGTGTGGGTGACACCACAGATGTGACGTCACCGCTCACTTGCCGTGCAAAATAACTATTATTGCCTACCCACTTGCCAAATTTCAAGTTTGTTGCATGTTGGGAAGTGCGCTAAACAATTCGAACAGACACACATATTCACAAATTTCCATTTTATATATATAGAAGATTTTTTTGTTTCACTTTCTTGTATTTTGCACGATTGTTGTGTTTTTGTACTGTGTATTGTTGTATAACGTTCTTACCTGCCCTGACTGGACATTTGTGAAAAAGAGCTTTATAGCTCATTGGATTCCTCCACCGTAAATAAATATTTACCCTCATCCACCCACAGATTCCACGACTTGCCAATGCCCTCGGGATTGGTTTGGCAACGGGCTGTGGCGGTCCTCGGTCGTAGCAGCACCCTAAACCATATTTATTTTTCTTCTTGGTTCTTTCGGTAAAGTCACGTAGAAGGAAAATAATAAAATAATAGAAATATAAAACAACAAAAAATTCTCACGACGTTTCGACTGCAACACAAGCAATTATCATCATTATATTTGTATTATTTTATTATTGACTTTACCGAAAGAACCAAGAAGATGAATCCCTGCAGTGACGAAAGCTTTAAACCATTTTTATTTTACCAGATAAATATTCAGATTCCGTTCCCTACCCCCCTCCGCCCCCCCCCGATCTCCACTCCTCGCCAGCGCCGCGATCTACGGTGCCTCCGCGCCCCAGCGCGCGATCCTCCTCCGCCGCCGCCACAGGGCGCACGCGGACCTGGCAGGGGCGGCAGGAGGTGATTGCGGCGGCGGCGAGGAGGAGGCGACGCGACAACGAGGAGGCCGAACGCCGGCGGCAGGAGGCCGACGAGATCCGGCGCATCCGGGAGCTGCCCAGCACCGAGGAGCAGTACGTGCGCTTCATGAAGATTCTGGGCGACCGCGGCGCTGGCGGCGCTGGCGGCGCTGGCGGCGTTTCGGCCGCCTCTCCCGGCGTCGCGGGCACCGGCGGCGGAAAGGTGGGTGGTGCACGTCGCCGGCGCTATTTTCGCCACGCCCGGGAAATGTTTTCGTCGCCTGTCTCGTCTTGGGCAGGGGTCGGCAAACTGCTGCGGCTCTTCAAGGACTGCAGTGGCGGCTCTTGACATTCTTTCGGTAAAGTCGCGTAGAAGGGAAATAATTTATTGTTTTATATCTTTATTATTTTATTGTTTACCTTCTACGTGACTTTACCGATATAACCAAGAATAGGAATCCCTGCAGTCACGAAAGCTTTGAGTCAAACAATGGGTGGTCTTGTTGTTTTGGTTTGCCGACTCCCTGACCATGGAGTCTCCAGTTGACCATGGGAGTCCAGTTTACCATGGGCAGTGGTCGGAGACCTGCGGCTGGGGACCCGCACACATCTCTCTCAGGAACTGCTGTTTCGCGACGTTATTTATCAAGGACCACCATCTCATATTCACCACGTGCATTGCCGCCCTTGAAAGGCTGTTCTTTTTTACTAATTCGAAAAAAAATCGCTCCTCTTGGTTGTTTTGGCTGCCGACGACCCCCAGAGGTCGCAAACGGGTTTTGATTCCTTACCCGTACCCGGCCGCACTAGGGTCGTAAACGGGTACCCGTACCCGGCCGGGTACGGGTAGCCGGGTATCGGGTAGGGTACGGGTATCGGGTACCCGGTTGCGACCTCTGACGACCCCCCTCCCCCTGGTCTCGGGGATGTTTCATGCGTATCAAATTCACCTACGTTGTAACGAAGTGAGAAACGCACTGGGTTGTCTTTCGGTTCGTTCTCCCATCGTCCACGCGCACGCGTCGAGTTCGAGCGCCTGAACTCCAGGGGGCCTGGCAACCCACGTCCTTACTGCGACGTAATTTCACTCGGCCCCAAGACGAGAGATCACTTGAGCACTCGATCCATGCGGAAGACCTCCGGGGAGGGGGGGGGGGGACACCCCCTGTGGGTTTTCGCGTCAGACACCGAGGTTGAGTTGACGCTTGCCAAACCGTGCGATTGACTGGTCACTTCCCCTACCCCCACCCCCCCAAGGCCGGAGACGTGGAGCAGAGGAGGCCGCGGGAACGGCGCGTGTCGGAGCTTCGGGCGAACCTTTTCCAGCACGACAACTACGAGGAGGTTGCTATGGAGGTGGATAGCGAGAGCAACTCGCCCAGTAAGCACCGCGCTCGCCCCTCCTTCCGCCCCGGATACGAATGATTACGTCGGTCATTATCATCGTAATTGTCGCTTCGCCCCGTCACCGTTCCGATGATGTACGTCTACCCCATTGGAACCTCATTTGCCAGAAAAATAAACAGCTGTCTCCCCGACAGACCTGGTCTTCACCTGAGGACGGCTGCTTGCAGTGTGGCCGAAACGTCGTGAGAATTATTTTATTATGTTTTATTTTTATTATTTTATTACTTCCCTTCTACGTGACTTTACCGAAAGAACCAAGAAGATGAATCCCTGCAGTCACGAAAGCTTTAAATCGAAATGATAATTGGTTGTTTACCCTTTTATCTGGCAACAAAACTGACACCTTTTTTTTTTTTACAAGGAGTCATGTTTGCATAGACCACAATACCTGTGGTCTATGCAAACAAAAAACATAACTCTGATGATGTATGCACTGTCCTTGAAGTTGATTGGTCCACACCCGAGACAGCTTTCCTTAGAGCCTCGTCTCACATGGTGTTGGACCAGAAAGGAAAGGAAAAATGTAACGAAATAACTTTATCGGTACCGAGGCTCCCACAAAGTCACGCGTGGAGGGCGTATGTCACAGTTTGGCGCCAGCTGTCGTAGAGTGCGTTCGTGTCGCGACGGTTCTCTGCGGCGGGTAACAACGTCTTTAAAAGCAGCGACGCCTTTGAATAAAATTAACGCTGAACCGCTTGCAACGTTCCGAGATTCAGCAGTGAACGAGGACACCCACCCCGCAACCTGCAGACGTCTTGGAACTTGAAAGGGGTTAATCGTCATGCCACGCTTTCTATGCAGTACATCTCGGGGCGCAATGCAGCGGACTTAGCTAACAGGGCGGACCCCGAGTGGCAGTTGCTCCTGTGCGGCACAAGCAAACCTGCCACTAATTTAATCAAATTTTAGATTGTTGTCGGCACCCGTGGACTTGGCACTTATTTTTTTTTAAATAACAGCTTTAGCGTAAAATGTCAAGCGAATGGCGTGTAGTATTTACGGTTAATAGACCCGCAGTATTAACCAGGGCTGCTGCCGGGTTTGAACCACTCTGACGTCTGCAACAGCAAGCGGAAAATGCGCCACCGCTTGCCCCCCGTGTCAGAGGCGGCTCTGCGATATCCGCTTTCGCAGGTTGTTTCGTCAACGCGCAGGGTTGCACTGACGGTTCAGTGAACGAGTGAGTCGTTGGGTGAGTGTGTGAGTGAGTGGCTGAGTGGGTGGGTCAGGGAGTGAAGGGGAGTGTGTGTGTGTGTGTGTGCATGGGAATGATTTAATTGCTAAATTAAACCATAAATGATGTCAGTGCCCGTGTTTGCAGTGGTGTCCCCGCAACCCTTTGCCGTACATGGGGAAGGACTGTCATCCCTGGGCCTCCCCGTGCAGGCCTTCCCGCCACACAGCCTGCTGCAGGTGAGACTAAAAGACGGACACGGATCCCCCGTATAGCCTGTAACAGCACTGCTGGGGCAAGTGCTGTTAGCGAGTAGCACCTGTGAATGTATGCGGAAGACCTCCGGGGGGGGGGGGGTACCCCTTGTGGGTTTTCGCGTGAGACACCGAGGTTGAGTTGGCGCTTGCCAAACCGTGGGATTGACTGGTCACTTTCCCTACCCCCACCCCCCAAGGGGGGGGAGCGGAGCGTCGCTACGCGCCCGTTGTGTTTGACACCCTCGGTCTTAACCCTCCGTCGATCAGGTGTCGTCCTTCACGGAGGCGGCGGCGGTGACGAGACTCGTGGAGGCCGCCCTTCCGGGTCCCGTGCCCCCCGAGCCCTGCGAGCCCCCTCCCCTGCCCCCCGGGGAGCCCGAACAGCCCCCGAAGCCCCCCTTCGAGGACGAAGCGGAGGAGGAAGAGATGCTGCTGCGAGAGGAGCTGCTCAAGTCCATTCAGATCAAGCGTGTGACCAAGCCAGAGGTGTGTAGACGCCCCCGTCCCTCGCGCTGAATACGAACGTTTTATTTTACCGTGGTGATTTTTATCGGGTAAGGCCGCCCCCCCACTGCTGAGCCCGTTAGCTTTTTTTGCAAAAGCGACCTTGCCACAAATGTTGGCTCAACGAAGTGTCTTCTTGGTTCTTTCGGTAAAGTCACGTAGAAGGGAAATAGTAAAAAAATAAAAAACATAATAAAATAATTCTCAGGACGGCTCTTTGCGTTGTAGCCGGAACGTCGTGAGAATTATTTTATTATGTTTTATTTTTATATTTTATTATTTCCCTTCTACGTGACTTTACCGAAAGAACCAAGAAGATGAATCCCTGCAGTCACGAAAGCTTCAAATCGAAACTCAACGAAGTGGTTCATCGTGTGGACGTTTATAGCAGCCAAATACTCTAAAACGCGCGATTCTAAATGTGGAGGGAATAACCGTAGGAGCCGGAGAATAATCCACGCGGCCACGGGGGGGGGGGGGCACACGCGTACTCCAAATGTACAGGCGTCAAGAGTCGGGATCGAACCCACGACCTCCTGTGTACACCAGCGGCAGGGCAGTTAGCATGGCGTCCCAAATGCTGATCCATGCGGCATCGTTTTACAGAAGGAAGAGGCGGACTCGGAGGTTGCTCCTGAGAAGACATCGTCACCACCGCCACCACCGTTGCCGCCACCACCACCGCCACCACCGCTGCTGTTGTCAGTGCTGGCGACGTCCACGCCGATCAACAGAAACGGCATGGACGCCGCGCCCCGTTCGACCGCGACGCAATCACCCCTCCCCTCGGCCGCTTCCCCCACCACCGTCGCAGCCAGCGTCGGCGTCACCGCCGCCACCACCGCCGTCACCACAGCCGTTACCACGACCGCCGCCGCGGGTGGCGGTGGCAGCTCACGGCTGCAGCAGCGAATCCCGCCCGCCAAGCGACCCAAGATCACGGTACGGAGCCGCGTCGTCGTCGTCGGTGGCGACGGTGCTTTGTAGTTGGTGTGCTGTGAAAGTTGAACGTGGCCACCCAACGGCTCGGGTTCGAGGAACGTGCCTCCCGGAGAGGGGAGCCCCTTGGAGAGCCCCTCCCCGAGTGGTAGTTGGCCTACTCTTCCACTGCCGGCCACGTACGTCCCGATTAGAAGTGGGAGTACTCACACTTTACCCCACCACCGCATGCGATGCTTGCGCTCGATTAACCGTGGTGAGGTGAGCCCCATCTATTACGCGCTTTCATTTAACTCTGTTGTTGTCGTTGTTGTCGTTGTATCCTCAAATCTTGCAACTCAATTTTAACCCACTTCCCAATGTGGTATCGACTGCAAACGTGGTATACTTATGTCATACTGATGACAATACTATATTCTATCATTAAAAATAAAAAAAAACATTTCTTTTTAAACATTATATTTTATATGTTATGTTTCGGCTTGGGTGTAATTGTCCATGCTCAACTGACGTTGGCTGTAATTGGCCACGGTCCCTTACGTTATGGCAAATCTCGGGGCCAATTCCTGGAGTCGTGGAGTTCTTCCATTACTAGTATATTTCATGAAAGCGTGTTTAAAGAAAGGTTTTTTAAAATATTACTCCAGGCGAGGTAGTTAACAACTCGCCACGTCGGTCACTGGTGGCGCAAATCAAAGCGCTCGCGGCTCGTGATAGCCAGGTCACTTCTGAAGAAGAGCGACCGTAGCTCAGTGGTGGGCCTTGCTTGGTAAAAACATATGTTTATTAATAGCTCCGTTGTTTTGCGGTGTCAGCTTCCGCAGCACAAGTCGGTGGTGGTGAGTCTCGGCGGGGACTCAGACTCAGACACGGAGGGCGAGGCGGCGTCCGCCATCGGCTCACGGCTCCTCGGCACCGGCCTGCTGGAGATGATGATCAAGGAGGCGCGACGCACGGCCGACGTACGTGCGCTCGCACACGCACACACGCGTATTACCTGTCCGGCACGTACATACGGACGGGGCAGCGTGGCCGAACGCCGTGGTCGTCGATTTTGGTGGATCTCAACGGGGATGGATTGGACCTTGTGTAAGATGTACGATAGACGTGCCACACACTCGCCCCATCTGTTGGTACGAGTTACGATGTTTTTAACGAATGAATTCTCTTCATTCTAGATTTGAAGTTTTCCTGACTGCAAAGATCTATAATTACCCTTTGGTTTTTTCGGTAAAGTCACGTTGCTTGTGTTGCTTTCCGAAACGTCGTGATTTAATTTACTTGTTAATTTATTTAAATTTTTACCTACGTGACTTTACCGAACAAACCAAAGAGAATTAATTCTCAGTCGGGGGTTTTTGTTGCTGTCAACCGTAGTGTTTGTTCTGCTTTGTCCGCGGTGACCCCGGCGCTCGTTACAGAATCTGAATATTGAATCTGGTACAATAAATATGGTTGAGCGTGCTGCCAAAGCCCATTACCAAACCACCACCCTGACCTTCGGACCATTGGCAAGTCGTGGAAGCTGTGGGTGGACGAGGGTGAATCGTTGCACTGCTCAGAATCAGAATATTTATTTACACTGCAGGAGAAATCTGATGAGCTATAAAGTTATTTTTCACAGATGTTCGGTGGGGGGGTTAGAACGTTTCAACAATAAACAGAACAAAAACACTAAAGGAGTGCAAAGTACAATAAAGGTAAACAAATCGCCCAAATACATAAAACTTAACCATCCCCATCCCACCAGGCAAAGCCAAGTGAGGTATTAACTCCTTTGCCTGATGACGCAATCCATACTCTTTGGTTCTATCTGTAAAGTCACGTCGTTAAAAATAAAATAAAATAAATCACGACGTTTCGATTGCAACACAAGCATTCACCTGATGATGATGATTGCTTGTGTTGCGATCGAAACGTCGCGATTTGTTTTATTTTATTTCTAACTACGGGACTTTACCGAAAGAACCAAAGAGTATGAGGCATTAACTTGTTTTTTAGAAGCGACCTGGCCACAAACGGTTTCTCAACGAAGTGGCCCATCATTTGTGGACATTTATAGGACCGATACTTTTTACATGTGGAGGGGAAAAAACCGGAGGACCCGGAGAAAAAAAAAAATCCACGTGACCACGGGGAGAGAAACACGCAAAACTCCACATACACAGCAGATGTGTGAGGGTTGTGATCGAACCCACGACCTCCTGCATACCAGGCGAGGGAGTTAACATCTCGCCACCGCGACGCTGCCTTGTCTTCGTCCACAGGCAGCTAAACCCAAGCCCAAGTCGAACGCCGCGGAAGAGAACAGGGACCCCCAGAAGACGCCCGAGGCGATGCCGGACGCGCAGAAGCCGGAATACCGCCGGCTCCGGGATGAGATCATGAAGTAACGGAAACCCCTGCCTCCCCCCCTCCCCCGTTCCAAGCAACCCTCGTCGATCAACTGTTGCTGTCGCTTCGGCGAGCGTCGTCGCTTGTCGTCGTCATCGTCGTTTTCACCGTTGCCAACCGTCGTCGCGGTGACAGTCATCGTCGTTACCGTCGCGACTTTCGACACGATAGCCGTCGTCGTCATGAGCTTGACGACGCCATCGTAACCACTGTCGCCGTTACCAAATACCACCATCGTTGTTTTGTGTCATTACCAGCCCCATTGTGATTGTCGCCATCGTCGACGTAATCGCCACGATCGCCGTTAATGTCACCACTGTCACCGTCGTCATCATCAGGTTTAAAGATTGACACCACAATCCTCAACAACGTCGTCGTCATCGGTGTGTTGTCGCAGCCTGACAGCACCCGGAGTGGTCGCTGTCTGCAGAGACGTCTCCTCCGTCTGCCTGTCCATTCCCTTCCTCTACCTACACCACTGGGAGGGAGCTTGACCTCTTTAACCCCATCCAACTAAGTTTGAAAGCATTTGTGAAGTTAGCTCTGCCCGTCCCTCTGTCAATCAATCCACTGCTGGATGAGCGCTCCCCCCCCCCCCCCCCCCCCCTTATGCCATGTCAGCCTTGGGGGTTGTTCAACCGTAGGCCACCAAACTGGTGAAGAACCCGGATGTCGCTCCCCCACTGATGTTAGCCGTGGTCAGGGTTCTTACTTGGAAAGGTTCCCAACTGAAGGGGCCTCTGGAGAGGGGGGGGTTTGACCTACCCTGCCGGTCGGTGCAGATCACTAAAGGGGCTCAGGAATTGTTCACGGGAGATATCACGAGTCGCTGATGTAAGCCGTGGCTCGGCATCAAAGATGAATCGCCGGATTCATAGCGCAGCGTGCTGACCGCCGTCTGTCACCTGCCTGCCCTTTACCCCCCCCACCTCTCTCACGTAGGCGCGAGCGACTGAGGCTGGGGGGCATGGAGATCATGCAGGGTTCCCCGGCCACATCGGACACCGACACGGAGCCGGGGGGCGGAGCGCAAAGCGCCGCGCTCAGCAGCACCATCGCCGACACGGAGACGCAGCTCGGCAGGCAGAGGTGTGGTGTGTGTGGTGTGTGTGGTGTGTGTGGTGTGTGTGGGTGTGTGGGGTGTGTGGGGTGTGTGGGGTGTGTGGGGGTGTGTGGGGTGTGTGGGGTGTGTGGGGTGTGTGGGGTGTGTGGGGTGTGTGGGGTGTGTGGGGTGTGTGGGGTGTGTGGGGTGTGTGGGGTGTGTGGGGTGTGTGGGGTGTGTGGGGTGTGTGGGGTGTGCGGTAGTGTAGCGGTTAGCGTGCCGCGCTACGAACCTGGCGACCCGGGTTCGATTCCTGCTCACGGCCAACACCAGTGACGATTATTTGAACCGGTCCTGGGCCTCCCCTAGGTCGACTCAGCCTCGGTGTGTAAACATCGTCACTAGGGAGATAAAAGCGGCCGGGCATGGTGTTGGCCACCCACCCCCTCGTGTGCCGTGCCGGCCTTCATAAGTGCTGCTCACTAACAGCACTTGCCCCTACAGTCTGTTAAGGCTACACGGGGGATCTTTGTGGTGTGCACATGGCCTGGCACAAGCGTCGTGGTGACGTCACCGCCACTTAGTGGCGAATGGCGGTTGTTGTTGTTGTGTGGTGTGTTAAGTGCGGTGGGTTCTGACACGGAGACGCAGCTCGAGAGGCAGAAGTGTGTGTGGTGTGTACGGTGTGTGCCGACAGGTTGCATCGAGTCAGAGGTGTAGCATGTGTGTGTGGCCGCTGTAACGGTTTGTGTGTCAATCCTGCGCATGGACGGTGCCATATCTTTGTGAGCGCCCTGAAAACGATTGTTTCAGGGCGCTTCATAAATTATTATTATTAATCGGCTCTGCGGGTGGAAGCGAGGCTAAGCGACGGCACGCATTTATCATCAACGGTCTTGTGCGGCTGGATTATTGTGTTCGTTGGCCTGGCCGGAATGGCGCAGCCCCCGTGGTTCGCCCCCCCCGTGATCCGCGCGGTTCAAACAAATCGCCCGAGTCGCCGGCATACGGCAGCAAGAGCAGTTTATGCGAATGCCGCACGCAAGACGTCGCACGTTTAGCGCAGCGCTCCTTCACTCCCCGACTGCGCGCGACGAATGAACGCACGGGATGGTCTGGCCGCGCGCGAGTGTAGTTCTCTCCTCTTGCGTCGCGCTCGCAGGCAGGCGCTGGCCAAGGACTCGTTGCTGCTGTCGCAGCTGGTGGCGCAGAAGGAGAAGAAGGCGGAGGGCGTCCGCCTTGCCGAGGTCAAAGCGTCGCGCCTGCGCGAGCAGCTGCGGGCCACGGAGACGGTGCTCTCGGCCAACTCCACGCTGATGCGCAAGATCGACGAGCAGGTGAGCGAACTTCGGGTTTCAAAAAAAACAAAAAAACATTGAAAAAAATCGCCGCGAAAATATCGTCGCGAAAATATCTGTCTACTTGACAGACCTGCTCTCCACCTGAGGACGGCTGCTTGCGTTGTGACCGAAACGTCGTGAGAATTATTTTTGTATGTTTTATTTTTATTATTTTATTATTTCCATTCTACGTGACTTTACCGAAAGAACCAAGAAAAGAAAAAAAACGCGAAAATATCGTCGCGAAAATATCGTCGCTCTACTCTTTTTTTATCACCAGCTCAGGCCCACTGAGCTGTATTATAGCTCTTTTTTTTTAGAAGCGACCTGGGCCACAAATGATGATAGCTAGACGACAGTAGCTTATCATCATGGGGTAAAGTTACACCGGCCCAAATACTCTTTAAACGCGTGACGTTGATTCTAAATGCGGAAGGAAAACACCGGAGGACCCGGAGAAAGTCCCACGCGACCGTGGGGAGAGAAACACGCAAACTCCAAATCTATACAGCAGGCATCGGGGTCAGGGTCGGGATCGAACCCACGACTTCCTGTATACCAGGGGATGTAGTTAACATCTCCTAGGCACCGCAGTTCACCCGATTCGGGTCTGTGAGGATTGGCAAAAGTAAGGGGGTCCAGTGTGTCTGCAGATATCACGCCGCTCGGTTTAATCACGCGGCGCTTTCGCGGCCAATATTATCTGTGATATTACAGAAGATATCACTTCAAATGTTATCTGCAACATAAACAAAGACCTTTAATGTAAGTATCAAAAACCTCTAGGGCACTTCCCGGCATGGTAGAAAGCTGACATTTGGTACATCGGCGTGTCTCACTGCTGCAGTCATACCCCGATTTACATCTTCCCCCTTCGTCGTTTCGCAAATACGTCGTCACTTTGACTCGCGACACGATGAGCATCGCCTCAAGCCCGCACTCACGTCGCTCACAGTGGCGTCGTCCGTCCTTTCTCGTTATCAGTCACCTATCGGCCTTCGCTTCCTCCACATGGCTTTGATTCACCTCACGCACCCACCTCACCTCACCCACCTCACCTCACCTCACACACCCCTCTCATCTCACCTCACCTCACCCACCTCACCTCACCTCACACACCCCTCTCACCTCACCTCACCCACCCCTCTCACCTCACCTCACCCACCCCTCTCACCTCACCTCACCCACCCCTCTCACCTCACCTCACCCACCCCTCTCATCTCACCTCGCCTCACCCAATCCTCCCACCTCACCCACCCCTCTCACCTCACCCACCCAACCCTCTCACCACCTCTCACCCACCCCTCCCACCTCACCTCACCCAACCCTCCCACCTCGCCCACCCCTCTCACCTCACCCACCCAACCCTCCCACCTCACCTCACCCAACCCTCCCACCTCAACTCACCCACCCCCCTCATCTCACCTCACCCAACCCTCCCACCTCACCTCACCCACCCCCCTCACCTCACCTCACCCAACCCTCCCACCTCACCTCACCCAACCCTCTTACCTCACCCACCCAACCCTCCCACCTCACCTCACCCAACCCTCCCACCTCACCTCACCCAACCCTCCCCACCTCATCTCACCCAACTCTCCCACCTCACCCAATTCTTCCACGTCACCCAACTCTCCCACCTCACTCAACCCTCACCTCCCCTCACCCAACCGTCCCACCTCACCTCACCCTCCCACCTCACATCCACAAAGTAATCCGGGGTGGTGGGGTCGTGCGGGGGGGGGGGGGGGGGTGCGGTAATACTGTACCACATCAATCCGTCGTGTCGTATGTGCCCTTTCTTAATTAAAACCGTCGCTCCCCCCCCCCCCCAGGTGGATCGCATCAAGCAGCGGATGGACTCGAAGGCGTTTGTTGTGGGGCAGCTGGAGGAGGAGCTGGCTCGGGCCCGTGCCCTCGTCAGCAAGCACCTGGGCAAGGGGCTGCCGGTCGTCAGCGGTCTGGCGCGGCCCCTCGCTCGCGTCAGAGACGGAGGATTGCCAGTGAGTCGTCGTCGTCGTCGTCTTTGTGTGTGGGACCGGTGGTAATTTAAAAATTTTAATTTAATAATTTTAATTACCACCAGTCTGGAACACTCTCCCGCTACACATCCGACAAATGGAATCAGTTAACTTATTTAAATCTGAACTAAAGGCTTATTTTTTTGTCCAGGTACACGCTGGAAAATAGTCATTTATATGATGGTCCATATAGAGAAGACGGGGAACATAGACGTTTCAGCGTCATACAGTACAACGATGTATTTGATAATTGGTTCTTTACCCTTCTATCTGGCAACAAAACTGACACCTTTTTGCAAGGAGTCATGTTTGCATAGACCGCAATACCTGCAGTCATAATACAAACAAAAGAACATGACTCTGATAATGTGCACTGTCCTTGAAGTTGATTGGTCCACACCCGAGACAGCTTTCCTTCGAGCCTAGTCTCATATGGGTTGGACCAGATGACGCCAAAAGGCGCATGTATTTGTCTGCGGCACTCTCTGCTGCCGACGTAGCCCCGCACAACGTTCCATTGATGGCGGTCGCCGTACTTGAGCGCTCTTCAGGGCTCCCAACCCTCCTTGGCTTGGGAGCCTCGACGAGATGGGGGGTGCATTCTGGGTGATTTGGGTCATCGGTGACGGTACCCCCCCCCACACCCACACACACCCACACACACACCTCCATAATGTCTCTCTGGGAGGGTCACTGCCCCGTATCGAACTGTCTGATAATTTTCTTGGTTCTTTCGGTAAAGTCACGTAGAAGGGAAATAATAAAATAATGAAAATAAAACATAATAAAATAATAATATAATATTTTTTTTATTTCCCTCCTACGTGACTTTACCGAAAGAACCAAGCAGATGAATCCCTGCAGTCACGAAAGCTTTAAATCGAAATGTCTGATCATTGCGGCAGCTCGTGTGGGGGCACCAGCGATGCCGTCGCGATCCTTGCGGCGGTGTAACTGTCCGGGTGCCCCCCCCCTCCCCTCGCGCAGGTGAGCAAGCGCGTGAAGCTGGACCCGGCCCTCGGGGGCGGCCCCGGCAACCTCCGGCAGGAGTTTATCGCGCGCGAGAAGCTCCGCTTGCAGGGCCTGGAGCAGGAGTACGCCGAGAAGATCCGGCGTCTCAAGGCGGCGCAGAGCGGCGGTGGCCCGGCGCGGCCGAAGACCGGCGCGGCCGTTGCCGCCAGCGCGGCCACCGCCGCCGTCGTCGCCGAAGTGGCGGCGGTCGTCAAAATCGCCGCTGTCGTCAAAATTGCCGCGGTCACCGAAATCGCCGCAGTCACCGCCACCGAGGCGCAGAAGAAAGCGCCGCAGGGCGGCGGCAGGTCGCGCGGCACGCGGCGCAGCGGGCAGTCGCTGTCGACGCCGCCGGCCGCGCCCACCGTCAGCCAACCGTCGCTGCACGACCTCTCGCAGGACAAGCTCACGTTCGGTCCCGTCGAGGAGGGGGACGCCGACGACACGGCGGCGCAGGCGGCACCGGCACCGACGGCGGCGGCGATGCGAGCGGCCGGGGCCTCCGACTTCCCCGACGAGCGCGACCACGCCGCGCCGGCTCTCCCTGACGGCCGGCGGCCTCGTCACGCGACCCAACCTGCCCGGGGCGGACGGCCTGTCGGGCAAGGACGCGCCGACTAGCCGGCCCGGCAAGGACGCGACGCCAAGCCGGCTGCGCGGTGGCCCGGAAGCTCCTGCCGCCGCCACGGCCGTCGGGGCCGCTAGGACCGGGCGCGGCTCTGCGGCTGCGACGCCGGAGGTCGAGGTCGCCCGGCCGCCGGTGACGAGGTCCAGCAAGCGCCGGAGAGGGGCGGCCGTGGCCAGGGGCGTGGGACGCGGGCGAGCCAAGGGCGCGGGGGCGGCGGAGAAGAGCGCCGGTGCCGGTGGCGGCAAGGCGGTGGCAGGGGGAGACCTGGGACTGCTGGCCCAGGCCGAGACCGAGGCCCAGGGCCTTGAGCTGGAGGCGGTGCTCGCTCAGTTCTCGAGGATGCTGCTGCCGGCGGAGGGGCCGACGAGCAGCGAGGAGGTGAAAGTCCCTTGCAGCGAGGCCCAACGCCTCGTCGGTTTAAATGCTGACGTGTCGGCGAAACAAGCAGACCTGTTGCTTTGTGCGGGCCGCGGTGGCTAGGAGATGTTAACTACCTCGCGTAGTATACAGGAGGTCGTGGGTTCGATCCAGACCCTGACGTCTGCTGCTGTATATTTGGAGTTTGCGTGTTTCTCTCCCCGTGGTCACGTGGATTTTTGTCCGGGTCCTCCAGTTTTTCCCCTCCACATTTAGAATATTTGGCTGCTATAAATTTCCACGTGATAAGCCACTTCGTTGAGCTATCATTTGTGGCCAGGTTTTTTTTTCTGAAAAAGAGCTACATAGCTACGTGGGCCTTACCTGGTAAAATATAAAAAAAAAATTGTTTAGTTTAAATCACAACTGTGGCTCTCAAACTCATTGTAGCGAGACTGAAAGAAGGTGTTCAGATTTATTTGCGTAAAAAGTGCATCCAATAAAAAAACCCATTCAATAGTGTCCTGCCCAGCGTGTAGCGTGTATGCAGAACGCGTGGTATCATGATTATTGGTTTTTTACCCTTCTCTCTGGCAACAAAACTGACACTTTTTTACAAGGAGTCATGTTTACATAGACCACAATACCTGCAGTCATAATGCAAACAAAAAACATAACTCTGATAATGTACGCACTGTCCTTGAAGTTGATTGGTCCACACCCGAGACAGCTTTCCTTAGAGCCTAGTCTCACATGGGTTGGACCAGATGACGCCAAAAGGCACACAACTCAAAGACGATGCACCATCAGAGTTTGAGAGCTCGGGGGTAAGCATTTACACCATTGGAACCTCATTTGCCAGTAAAAAAAATATGATTATCATATTTTCACTGGCAAATGAGGTTCCAATGGTGCGTGGTATCATATCCGCTGCGTCTTTTCATCCGCTCGCGTTTCACGTCGCCTCCGCCGTTAACAGTGACAGGGTCGTTACGATCGCTCTGCGTTGTTCACCGCTCTGCCCCCCCCCCCCCGCCTCGTCAGGATGTGGTGACGGGCGTGGACCTGGTGCGCCTGCCTCGCCCGGCCGTCCGGGACTCCGTGGCCGAACCGTTTGGGCCCTACAAGAGCCCACTGCTCGCGTTCAAGACCTACAGGTGGGTCCGCACCGCCACCGAGCTCAATCGGCCCTGGCTCCTTCCCCTAAGTGTTAAAGCCTCCTACTATGTGTTAAACGCATCTATGCGTGGGTGTCTTGTTTATGTGTTGTAGATTTGAAGCTTTCGTGACTGCAAGGATTCATATTCTTAGGTTTTTTCGGTAAAGTCACGTAGGTAAAACATTTTTATTATGTATCAAGTACAGCAATCGTGCTGTGACGGTTCCACCTGAAGACGGAAGCTTGTGTTGCCTCCTGAAACGTCGTGATTTTTATTTAATTTTGATTTTACTTTTATTAATTTAAATTTTTGTTCATGTGTCTTATGTAAATATATGTACGGTGCGTGTGTGTGCTAGTTAATGCGTGCGTCTGTGTTTGTACGCATGTCCGTGTGTGTGTCTGCTGCGTGCCTCTGTGCATCTTAGTTTTGTGTACGTCTGTCAATTTGAGTGCGCTCCTGTGTTGTGTGTGTGTGTATGTGTTAGTGTTGTGTTTGTTTGGCCTGGCACAAGCGTCGTGGTGACGTCACCGCCACTTAGTGGCGAGTGGCGGTTGTTGTTGTTGTGTTCTGTTTGTGTCCAGGTGTGTCTGTGGCATTGATGCGGAGGGCGGTTAGTGCAGCAGCGTTTACCCGCGCTGCCTTACGAACTCGGCCCCTTCCGAGTTCACTTCCAGCTCACGGCCACCAACACCAGTGACGGTTGTCTGAACTGGGGCTCCCCTAGGTCGACTCGGCCTCAAACGAGTACCTGGCGGTGTGCGCAAGCATCGCCACTGGGGAGACAAAGGCGGCCGGGCGTGGTGCCGAACCACCCTGCCCCCCTCGCGTGCCGTGCCGACCTTCGTAGTTGCTGTTGCTCGCGCGCGACAATGCTCGCCCCGAAAGTCTGCTAAGGCTACACGGTGGGGCGGGGAATCTTTGTCTCCGTTGGGTGTTTAGGTTCAGCACGTACTTCCGCACCAAGGAGCAGCTTCTGCTGAGTTCCCCGTCCTTCAGCAACAAGGTGGAGCCGCGCTGGAGCTTCTGCCACTTTGAGCTCACGGGGACGTGCAATGACGAGGACTGCCCCTGGTGAGACGCGAGATGGCAGAACACGCGACGGCTCCCTCCAGTAGTAATAGGTTTTTAAATCCTTTATATTAAGTTCACTTGCTTGCTTGCTTGCGCGCTTACGACCGTGCAAATCTTTCGGTCGTTTTTTAACCCACTTCCCGTGATCCAATCGAGCTGACATTTTGCACACAGACTCGTTGTGCGTGACAATTTATTTTCGTGAAATTTTTTTCCATAACTTTACACTTTTTAGGAAATTTTTTTTTTTTATTACCAATTGCTTAATGGTGGCAGGCAATCATCTGACCCATAGGTGGCAGCCATCTCAAGCCCTTTCAACTAGTACAAAAACTGACAACTTTATACAAGGCAACAAACAGCATCTGAATGTACCATTCAGACGCTGTCTCCCCGACAGACCTGGTCTTTACCTGAGGATGGCTGCTTGCGTTGTGGCCGAAACGTCGTGAGAATGATTTTATTATGTTTTATTTTTATTATTTTATTACTTCCCTTCTACGTGACTTTACCGAAAGAACCAAGAAGATGAATCCCTGCAGTCACGAAAGCTTTAAATCGAAACAAGGCATCATGTTTGCAATAACCACAACACAGGCAGTCAAAATGCATCATCTGGTCCAACACCAATGGAGACTAGGCTCTAAGAAAAGCTGTCTTTGGTGTGGACCAATCAACTTCAAGGACAGTGCATATCGTTATCATCATCAGAGTTGTTTCTTTTTGTTTGCATTTTGACTGCTTGTGTTGTGGTTATTGCAAACATGATCCCTTGTATAAAGGTGTCAGTTTTTTGTACCAGATAAAAGGGTGTAAAAACCTATTACTATATTTTGCTACTGGTAAAGGAGGTCTCGTAGTGTAAAAGTAAACACAGTTAACAGAGCAATATGGTGGCCTAACTTACAAAAAACACGACAACAGCAACAACCCTCCCCCCCCCCATACTCATGCTGCTGCTGATGTGGCTGTTACTGACTGGTACAGGCAGCACATGGCGGACTGTACTCTGGGCCGGGAGGAGCTGTTCCAAGACATCCTCTCGTATGACCTCCCCCTGCTGGGCTGTACAAGTGAAAGTTCCCAGAAGGAGATAATCACCGCGGCCGGTAAAGCACCACGCACGCACGCTCGACAAAGACAAAGATCCCCTGTTTATAGCCTTGGCAGACTGTTGGGGCAAGTGCTGTTGGTGGGCAGCTTCGAGATTGAAAACGAATTTCTTTGGGACTGATTTTTGAGTTTAGTCTGTTGTTCTTAACCCCCCCCACACCTCCGTTTGGCACGGTTGGCTACGTACGGTGCGAAGGAAGTTCACCGTACGTACCTAATGAAGAGATGTCGCACGCCACTGATGTTTAGCTGTTGCTGGGAATGGATCTCTGGTCGCTGGGTCCGTAGCTCCAGGTGTCCTAACCACTCCACCACCAGCCGCACCGCCCTTAATCCGACTCAACTCAAGAAGCAATAGAAAACGGTGGAGACAATCTACACACCATTCAAAGTAAATCAAAAAAATCAAATGGCTAAGTCTCAACACATCCATTCGTCGATAACAGTGTCCTTTAGAATAGGTAATAGGCGACGTTTCGGGCAATGGCTCTTCAATGGCTCTTCTTCAGAGCACGTATAATTAACTGTAAGTGGGTAAACGCAACCTTACGTTCTTGTCACCTAATTTGCACACCGGGTCATCGACGGCTGACCGCTACGTAGGAGTACCGCGGCCGCGCCGCATCAGTGGCTCGGTTGACAACGTCTTCACTGCATGGTTTATTCTTTTTTGGGGTGGGGGGCGGGGGGGGGGGTCTGGTACGCACGCATGTACGTTGAACTCCCTTTCGGCCGCGCTAATCAGAGGCGGCGTCTCTCCCCTGCCTCGCCGATGGTCGCGCAGAGAGCTACGTGCGTGGCGTGCTGGGCCCCAACACGGAGCGCGTGACGGCCGATCAGGTGGCCGTGCTGCTCGTGGGCAAGGTCAACGAGCGCGCCCGCCACCGTGAGTGTCATCGTCCGCGCCGCCACCACCACCAAAGATAAAGACAAAGATCTGCCGGATAATTCTAGATTTGAAGCTTTCGTGACTGCAATGATTCATATTCTTAGGTTTTTTCGGTAAAGCCACGTAGGTAAAACATTTAAATTAAAATTAATAAAAGTTAAATTAAAATAAAATCACGACGTTTCGGAGGCAACACAAGCTTCCGTCTTCAGGTGGAACCTCTCACTTGATACAGCAATCGTGCTGTGACGGTTCCACCTGAAGACGGAAGCTTGTGTTGCCTCCGAAACGTCGTGATTTTATTTTTTATCTACGTGACTTTACCGAAAAAACCTAAGAATATCTGCCGGATAGCCTGAATAGACCGTTGGGGCAAGTGCTTTGAGCGAGCGCCTATGAAAGCGGGGCAAGGCACATGAAGGTGGTGGGTGGCCAACACCACGCCCGGCCAACTTTGTCTCCCTAGTGGCGATGTTTACTACACACCACACCAGGTACTTGTTTCAGGCCGAGTCGAATTAGGGGGAGGCCCAAGACCGGTTCAGATAATCGTCAATCGTCACTTTGTGTTGGCCGTGAGCGGGAATCGAACTCGGGTCGCCGGGTTCGTAGTGCAGCAAGGTCAACGGCCGGGCCCGCCAGCGTGAGTGTGACTCCGCTAGCAAGCGTGCCGGGCTTGCCACGGCGCCGCCACCACCACCACCGCTCTTGCTAGCTTACGACTGCCGCTAGGATCGGTAACGCGCCGCTGCCCGCCGCACAGAACTCGCTCGCTCTCGGAGGGGAGGAGGAATCGCGGTCGAGCGGGAAGGCAGCAGTCAGGCGGCGAGCCGGTGCTGCCAACAATTGCCCGAGTTCTGCGGTCCTCCACACGTCAAGATTGTTTCACCCAATTGATCCGGGTCTTTTTACGTGTGGGTGGAAACCCGGAGCGCTCTCTGCAATACAATGGGGACTCATAATAAAACAATAAAATAAAACATTCTATGTGACTTTACCGAAAGAACCAAGAAGATGAATCCCTGCAGTCACGAAAGCTTTAAATCGAAATACAATGGGGACATGATATTAATCCGCACTTTGCTGGACCGCCTTCTCCTGGCTAGCCAATGGGGTCCAGCACCTCTTCCTCGACGTCAACGGGAAGGGAGTCTCGCACAACATCTGTGCGGTGATCGCAGGCAGTCCATGCACAGCAGCCGTAAAAACCGCGGGGTGGGCTCGGTGCGCCGGGTGATGGTGGGTGGGGGTGTTAACGGACTCGGCTAACAAGGGGATTGGTAGGGTCGGGGTTGGTGACACGCCATTGCTCCGGAGACTCGCGCTGACTGGTACCGCCCCCCCCGCCCCCCCACCGCAGAACCCCCCTTCACCACGTTCAAGGAGCGGCGGGCGTGGCGGCCCGTGGCCGTGAGGAAGACGAACGCGGCGGGGACGGCCGGTGGGAGCGACAGCGAGAGCGGCGACGACGGCGTTGACCGCGGGGCGCTCCCCGGGCCCGGCAAGCGTGAGAGATTGAGCGCGGACACACACGGTGACGCGCAGGCACACGGTGACGCGCAGACACACGGTGACGCGCAGGCACACGGTGACGCGCAGGCACACGGCGACTCGCAGGCACACGGTGACTCGCAGGCACACGGTGACTCGCAGGCACACGGCGACTCGCAGACACACGGCGACTCGCAGGCACACGGCGACTCGCAGGCACACGGCGACTCGCAGGCACACGGCGACTCGCAGGCACACGGCGACTCGCAGGCACACGGTGACGCGCAGGCACACGGTGATGCGCAGGCACACGGTGACGCGCAGGCACACGGTGACGCACAGACACACGGTGACGCGCAGACACGGTGACACGCAGACACATGGTGACGTGCGGACACCACCGCTAGTCGACACCAACATGATGACGCTGTGACGTGCAGACACGGCGACGCGCAGACACACGGTGACGCGCGGACACATGGTGACGTGCGGACACCACCGCTAGTCGACACCAACATGATGACGCTGTGACGCGCAGACACGGCGACGCGCAGACACACGGTGACGCACAGACACGCGGCGACGCGCAGACACGGTCGCTAGTGAACAAAGTGACACCCAATCACTTGGCGCTCGTCAAACGCAGATCATGCGGGTGTGGGAATACTCTCCGGGCTACCGACCTGGACAGTCCGGGCTGATGTGAGTCTACCCCACTCCCCCCCCCTTACCCCCCCCCCTCTCACCACGTGCCCGTGTAGCCGGTCCAGCCGTGGCACGGCAGGTCGAGGCGGCGGCGTCGGCGGCGTGCAGCGAGCGCTACTTCAGCGCCGGCTCGGATGACGCCGCGCGGCTCGAGGAGGCCGTGGAGCGGAGCCCCGGCGACATCCAGCTGTGGATCAAGCTGTCCGAGAAGTACCTCCACCAGCCCGAGTGGTACGGACCCCCCCGCACGCACGCCGGTAGTACGGCACTGCTGCGTCAGGCAGCTTTCTTTGAGACTAGGCTCAAAGATGTGGACCAATCGGTTTAAAAGACGATGCATAGACTATCGCAGCATGTTATGTTTTTTTTCACCACAAGTATATGTGGTTATTGCAGACATGATTCCTTGCAAAAGGTTTCAGTTTGGTGTGTTAACATCTTAACACAACTGTTTTAGTGCCAGAAAAGGGAAAACCCTATTATCATAATTGAATACTGGCTTCAGTTTGGTGTTTTAACATCTTAACACAACTGTTTTAGTGCCAGAAAGGGTAAAACCTATGCTTATATTTCGATACTGGCAAGGGAGGTCCCATGATGTGTGCATTTACTTTGAAGCTGATTTGGCCTTCACCAGAGGCGACGGCCCCCTTAATGACCTTGTCTCACCACCGGTGTTGCAGCAGAGAACGACGCCAAAAGGTGGACGGCACAAAGGCGATGCGAATATCGCATCATCCGTAGCTCGGGTTGAGCAGTTAGATGCAAATGTAAATGACACATGAATAATTTGTTCATCAAAGTGCCCCCAACTCTGTCCCGCCCCTCCACTCCCGTCCCACCGCCCCCACCCCCCTGTCCCTCTGCGACCTTCGCCCCCCCCCCCACCCTAGCGACCCCACGGAGGCGCTCAACGCAGCCCTCAACTGCCTGTCGCGGGCGCTGGAGGCGAACCGCGGCAGCGGCGAGGTGTGGGGTCGCTACCTGGCGCTGTTCGCCGGCTGCGTCGGCAGCCACAAGGAGCTGCAGGAGATGTGCGAAGTGGCCGTGGGCTACGCGCCCGACCACGGCCTGTGGTGGCAGGTGAGACGGGGGTGCATCGCGTGTGTGTACGTGCGCGTGTGTGTGCGCGTGTGTGTGAGCGTGTGTGTACACGTACGTGGGGAGCGGTAGTGTAGCGGTTAGCGCGCTGCGCTATGAACCTGGCGACCCGGGTTCGATTCCCGCTCACAGCTAACACCAGTGACGATTATCTGAACCGGTCCTGGGCCTCCCCTAGGTCGACTCGGCCTTAAATGAGTACCTGGTGCGGTGTGTAGTAAACATCACCACTACGGAGGCAAAGGCGGTCGGGCGCGGTGCTGTGGCCACCCACCCCCTCGTGTGCCGCGCCGGCCTTCACAGGTGCTCGCTAACAGCACTTGCCCCAACAGCCTGTTCAAGGCTATATGGGGAGGCTTTATTGTACGCGTATGTGTGTATTCGGTCAACGTACGGCACCTGGGTTTGTGACCTATCAAGCAGGCCTTTTGACACATTGCCTCGGATTGCACGTGGCCTGGCACAAGCGCCGTGGTGACCCGTACCTGGTGCGACGTGTCAATATCAGCACTGGGAAGACAAAGGTGGCCGGGCATGGCTCTGGCCACACCACCGCATTGTGCACCGTGCCGCCCTTCTTAGGCGTTCACTCACAGCACTTGCCCCAACAGTCTGTGAAAGTGTGGGGGCTCTGGGATCCTAGACAGATAAGCCTCGGCGCCAGGATCCCAGGCAACCCAGACGCTTAAGCTCCTTGGCGCCACCAACGGGGGGGGCTGTGTGTGCTCTGTGGGATATCTGGGGGCGCACACAGCCCCACCCCTCGTTGGGGACGAGGCATAAAAGGGCAGCTCCCTGGCCGATCGGGGCCAGTCGCAGCTCAAGACCCAAGACCCGCCAGCCAGCCAGCTTAGGACCCTGGACCCCCTCGTCCCGCTTGTCCTTGTAAGGGCCGGGACGCTGTGAGGGCCGGTGGTGGGACTCTGGGACTCCCGGCTCTACGTCCTTGTAAGGGCGAGTTCCGAGGAAGCCAGAGTCCAGACCCGCACCTTGGCTCGGTCGGATCAATGAGCCTCCCCTAGGGTAATTGTAGCCAGAGGACCCCAGAGCGTAGCCAGAGTAGTGTATCTAGGCTGTGTACCAATTTTTTTCGTCTTGGTTTTCACGTCTGTGTCTGTGTGCGTGCGTGCGATCACAGTACCTCTCGCTGGAGCGGACGTACGAGGGCAAGGACTACGTCTGCTCCCGTCTGCTCCAGTTCCTCGTCGCCACGGCGCCGGCGGCGGCGGCGACGGCGGCCGACCGGCGCCTGCACTCGCACCGCCTGCTCGAGGGCCTGCTCTACCGCGTGCAGCTCAACGTCTGCACGGGGCGCCTGCAGCTGGCGCTCGAAATCTTCCGGGTGCGCACGAGGCGGCAGCCGCTTGAGCTGTCGTGCCCCGCCGATTGGCGCTCGCCACGGCGCTAGCTGCAGCAGAGGTTGCAAACGGGTTTTGATTCCTTACCCGTTCCCTACCCGTACCCTACCCGAAATGAGTGACAAACGGTTACTCACCAGTGACTCACGGCCTACCCGTACCCGTACCCGGCCGCACCAGGGTCGCAAACGGGTACCCGTACCCGGCCGGGTACGGGTAGCCGGATATCTGGTAGGGTACGGGTATCGGGTACCCGGTTGCGACCTCTGAGCTGCAGTCACGACCCATCCCCCCCTTCCCTGTGTGTCTCTCTCTCTGTCATGGTTGTAGCGACGTCTCTCGGTCCGGCCGACGTCCGATTCCAACTGTGTAACGTCTCTCCTAACGCAGTGGCGAGATGTTAACCACTTCGCCTGGTGTGCAAGAGGTCATGGGTTCGATCCCGACCCTGACGCCTGCTGCTGTATATGTGGAGTTTGTACATCTCTCTCTGCCAGTGGTCGCGTGGATTTATCTCCGGGTCCTCCAGTTTTTTCCCCTCTACATTTAGAATCAATGTCAAGCGTTTTAGAGTATTCGGCCGCTATAAATTTCCACGTGATGATGATGAGCCTTGAAAAAGAGAGTGCCTTACCTGCTAAAATGTAAAATATTTGAATCTTGATTTGAAGCTTTCGTGACTGCAGGAATCCATACTTTTTGGTTCTTTCGGTAAAGTCACGTGGGTAGAAAGAATAATAGATCGCGACGTTTCGATCTAATTTTTTTGCTACCTACGTGACTTTACCGAAAGAACCAAACAGTATGTAAAATATTTTAGTTTAATACTTTAGTTTACATGCCGTGTCCTTTCGCAAAGAAGTCGGCGATCGTGCCCTGCATTTTTAAATCAAAATTGAAAACTAATTTCTATAGAACTGCTTCTTGCATTTCGTTTGTTCTCCTTCTCCCGCATTTCCGATTTGGCACGGCTGACTTTATACGGTGCGAACGAAGGGAGCGTAAAGAGGAGAGGGTCACCGTACGTACAGTGAATTTGAAACACGAGCGTCCAACTGCATAAAATCGGCGCTTCGTGGGAACAACGCAACCTGAAAAACACACCGGGATAGTGTATCGTAGATCACGGCAGCGGAAACCTCTCTCTTGCCGTGGGCCACGCACGAACGACTTCCATGCAACCTCCGTCCACGACACTTCTCAAGAGCTCGTTAATCTGCGTGCGGCGTTGGTCCACGGGAGGATGCGTGCGCGTCTCTTACACGTGGCGCCATGCGCGCGCGCCCGTCCGTCCACAGCAAGCGCTGAAAGCCGACAGCACCGCCGGGAAAGAAGAGGAGGAAGAGGCGACGCGGGAACCGTGCGTGTCGGCGCTGCTGCTCCCCACCGACCGCGCCATCGCGTGGCTCTCTTATCTCCACGCCGTCGAGTTTGGCGAGCTGCCCTCCGCCCTCGCCGACCCGGCCTGCTCGCTGCCCGGCGCCCTCGTGCGCAAGGAGCCCTTCGTGCTGCCCTGGCGCCGGCGCGGCGACCTCAAGACTCCGCCAGCCGCGCTGCTGGTGTTGCTGCAGGGTAGGGGACCTCTGGAGGGGTGGAGGGGTGGGTGGTTATCGGCATCCCTCGTGATGTTTACCGTCGGCTGGCAGGCGCGTGACGTTTTTATTACGGGCGGAGAGCTCGCCGCTTTGATTTTTGCTACAATGTTTGCGTGCACGTCAAACTTCTTTCGCGACGTACGCAGCCAACCGTGGCAATCGGAGGTGCCGACGGGTTGGATTTTGCGCGTGGATATTTCTCCGGGTCCTCTGGCTTTCTGCTCCACATTTAGAATCGACGTGAACGCGTTGGGAGTATTTGGCTGCTATGAATTTCCACGCGATGATGAACCACTTGGTTGAGCTATCATGTGACAAAGAGCTGCATAGCTCAGCGGTGGACCTTACCTGCTAAAATAAAAACTAGTTCATAGTGTAGTTTATCAGCCGGCGCTTCCCCCATCGAGCCATCCGCACGGGTGTTTGCGCACGGTACACCACGACGCGCCCGCAACTTCTCCCCCTGCCCCACCCCTCCCACCTTCTCCGCCACGCAACACAGAGGCCGTGCGAGCTTGCTCCAGTGATCCGGGCGGCGCTGACGACGATTGCGACGACGGCAGTGGTGGCGACGCCCGGGCAGAGACGTTGGCTGCGTGCCTGCCCATCCACAGGAACGCGCTGCGCGTGCACGCGCTGTGCGAGAGGTGCGTCTCCACTCTCGCGCGCCCCGCTAGCCGCTTGGTGCTGCCCCCCCCCCCTCCCCCCGTGTCTCCATGTCACCCTGCCCTACCCCCGCCGCCCCCCCCCCCCCCACGTGCCCGTCTTGCCGTATCCCACATTTTTCGATTTAAAGCGTTCTGGCCACATTTAGAATCAACGTGCGTTGAATAAGAACATTTGGCCGCTATGAATTTTCACGTGACGATAAGCTACTTCAATTTCGATTAAAGCTTTTGTGACTGCAGTGATTCGTCTTCTTGGATCTTTCGGTAAAGTCACGTAGAAGGGAAATAATATAAATAAAACATAATAAAATACAATTCTCACGACGTTTCGGCCACAACGCAAGCAGCCGTCCTCAGGTGAAGAACAGGGCTGTCGGAAAGACAGCGTCTGAATGCAGTTTTTCCGACAGCCCTGTTCTTCACCTGAGGACGGCTGCTTGCGTTGTGGCCGAAACGTCGTGAGAATTGTATTTGATTATGTTTTATTTTCATTATTTTATTATTTCCCTTCTACGTGACTTTACCGAAAGAACCAAGAAGATGTATCGCACATTGTTACTACAATGTGGGGCGTCGCGGTGGCGAGGTGTTACCTCCCTCGCCCCGACCTGTGACGCCTGTTGTATATTTAGAGTTTGCGTGTCTCTCTCTCTCTCTGTCGCTTTGTCTCCCCACATTCGGAATCGAAGTGCGTTTAGAGTATTTGGCTGCTATACATTTGCACACAAGCCACTTGGTTGAGCCGTCATTTGTGGTCAGGTCACTTCTGTAAAAAGAGCTACGTAGCTCGGGGGGCATTCCTTCGCTGGTTTCCGTGGAGCTCGACATTTTGGAGGGAGGTCTGCAAACTCGAAATGTACAACAGGTATCGGGTTCTAGATTTGAAGCTTTCGTGACTGCAAGGATTCATATTCTTTGTTTTTTTTCGGTAAAGTCACGTAGGTAAAAAATTTCAATTAATAAAAGTAAAATATTTTATTTTTATTATTTTAAAATTTTTTCGCTAAAGTCACGTAGGTAAAACAAATATAAATTAATAAAAGTAAAATATTTTATTTTTATTTTACTTTTATTAATTTTAATTTTTTTCGGTAAAGTCCCGTAGGTAAAAAAAATTTAAATTAATAAAAGTAAAATACTTTATTTTTATTTTACTTTTATTAATTTTTAATTTTTTACCTACGTGACTTTACCGAAAAAACCCAAAAATAGGTATCGGGTTCTAACCCACGACCCGCATCCCCAGCGAGGGAGAACTTCTCGCCAGCGCGTGCCCCCCCCCCCCCCCCCACTCAACATCCCGTTCGTTCCATCCTCATTCGCCCGCTTTTCCAAAACCCCGCAGCTGGGACGAGGCGCTTGCGCTGTGCGGCACGATCTGCACGGAGGCTGCCGGCACCCCGCTGGAGCTGGAGGCGTGCGCGGCGCTGGCGGAGACGCTCGTGCAGCGGGGCGACGCGGCGGAGGGCGCGAGGGCCTGGCTCGGGGCCCTGCGGCGCCGGCCGAGGGACGCGCGGCTCGCTTACCACGCCGCCAAGTTCCTCGCCGCCCACGTGAGTGGCGGAGCCGGGGTTTGCCGCTACGGCTACGGCTCCGGCGGGGGGTCCGCCCGGGTCGAGATGATTTGGTCGCGCCCCGTGAGGTGTCGTCGTGAGGTCGAGAGAGCGGCCCTCGATGTCGGTGTCGAGTTCAAGATGTGGGAGGTCGTGGGTTTTGATCCCGACCCCTTGACGCCTGTTGTAGTATATATGGAGTTTGTGTGTCTCTCTCTCTCTCTCCCTGTGGTCGTGTGGATTTATCGTCGGATCCTCGGGTTTTTCCCCTCCGCAGTTCTAAGAACGTCTGACGGTGTCTGTGTCGTGACCACGCCAGTAGCTCTGGTCGTTGCGAGGTGTGGAACGTCCGTCTGTCGTCTGTGTCCGTTCAGGCTGTGGAGGAGAAGCCGATCGCTGTGCTTGAGTCCCTCGCGGCGGCGTTCTTCGCGGAGGAAGAGGCGGCCACCACCGAGCTCCTGTTCAGGTGCTGCCCCCCCTCCCTTCCTACCCGCGAGTCACGTGCACGTGCCATGTGACCACAGCCGGCAGAAGGTATAGCAACCGGAAGGTTGTGATTTCAAGTCTGGACCGTGGGTCGACTGGTCATCTTCATCGTGGTGCGATCGATGGGTTTGCGAGGCTCGTCGACTGAACCCTGAACCCTAGCTCATTAGTCGCGCACACAGCGCGCTCGCCACAAATGAACCACCAATACCTTGCTGATCTCGTCAAGCAGCACAATCACGTGAACTCCGTTCACCCTCACGGCGACTTTTGGCTCGCCATCGAAGACTCGCCGCATCGTATGGCGCTTTCAGATGCACTTCTGCAGATGTCCGGGACGCTCTCCCCTCCGATATTAGGAAGCCGCTGGAGCGGTGCACTTTTAAATCATCAACTTGTTTGAAAACTCATTTCTTTAGAACTGCTTGTTGTGTTTAGTTTGTCCTTCCCCCGCACCTCCGATTAGCGCGGTTGGCTACGTACGGTGCGAAGGAAGCTCAACATACGTACGTGCGCGTAACACGTGTTGCGTAACACGTGTTGCGTTCATCTCCAGGTCTCTGCTCGGGTGCCCCGTGCCGTACAACTTCCGAGCCCCCGACTTTGCGGCCGGAGTCTCGCGTGAGACGCTGCAGGCCCAGCAGGGCTACCTGTGGCTCTGCTACTGGTACGTTTCCCCCCCCCCCGCCCCCCCACAATGAACTTTTTCGTGATCAATACGATGCGAATCTTCACGAGGCCTCACTCGTGCGCCGTGGTGGCTAGGAGATGTTAACTACCTCGCCTGGTGTACAGGAGGTCGTGGGTTTGATCCCGACCCTGACGCCTGCTGCTGTATATTTGGAGTTTGCGTCTCTCATCATTATCACGGTGGCTAGGAGATGTTAACTACCTCGCCTGGTGCACAGGAGGTCGTGGGTTCGATCCCGACCCTGACGCCTGCTGCTGTACATTTGGAGTTTGCGTCTCTCATCATCATCATCACGGTGGCTAGGAGATGTTAACTACCTCGCCTGGTGTACGGGAGGTCGTGGGTTCGATCCTGACCTTAATGCCTGCTGCTGTATATTTGGAGTTTGCGTGTCTCTCTCCCCGTCGTCTCGTGGATTTTTCTCCGGATCCTCTGGTTTCTTCTTCGTCCACGTTTAGAATCGGCGTTACGCGTTGAGAGTATTTGGCTGATAAAATTTACAAACAACGATGAACCACCATTGAAACCTCCTTTGCCAGTAGCAAAATATGTTAATTGTTTTTTTACCCTTTTATCTGGCAACAAAACTGACACCTTTTTTTACAAGAAGTCATGTTTGCCTTTTGGCGTCATCTGGTGCAACACCACGCGAGACTAGGCTCTAAGGAAAGCTGTCTCGGGTGTGGACCAATCAACTTCGAGGACAGTGCATACATTATCAGAGTTGTATTTTTTGTTTGCATTCCGACCGCATGTATTGTAGTCAATGCAAACATGACTCCTTGTAAAAAAGGTGTCAGTGTTGTTGCCAGATAAAAGGGTAAAAGACGATGAACAACTCTGTCGAGCTATAATTTGTGGTCAGGTTGCTTTGGATAAAGATCTATTTAGCTCACTGGGGTCTTACCTGGTAAACTAAAAATATACAAGATTAGAAGTTTTCGTGACTGAAAAAATCCATATTCTTTGGTTCTTTCGGCAAAGTCGCGTAAGTGAAAAAGAAAAGATAAAATAATTATATAAAAAAAATGAATCACGACGTTTTGATTGCAACACAAGCAATCATCATCAGGTGTGACAATCACAGCAAGAAATTTTACTGAAGTGGGAGAGAAGCCGGAGTCAAGGGGTTTATACTGGGCAGGGTGGGGGGGGGGGGAAATGGGGTCGGGCTGTAGGTGTGCGGGGGGGGAGAGCTACGCATCTACAACGAATGCCGTCAAAACAGATGATGGTACTCGCAACAAAATAGCCACACTGCTGAACGCCAAGGATGTAATTAAGTCGGTGAAATAGACTCGTATCCGATAAATAAGATGGGACAACTATGAACTATATTCTTGGTTCTTTTGGTAAAGTCACGGAGAAGGGAAATAATAAAATAATAAAAATAAAACATAATAAAATAATTCTCACGACGTTTCGGCCACAACGCAAGCACCCGTCCTCAGGTGGAGAACAGGTCTGTCGGGAAGACAAAGTCACATAGAAGGGAAATAATAAAATAAAACTATGAACTGTGAAATTTTTGTACGTTTTTTTATTATAATTGTTTTCCCCTACGTGACTTTCCCGAAAGAACCAAAGAGTATAAACTAAAAACAGTTGGTGGCGGTGTCGTTGTTGCGGCGTTGCTGTGCGTGGCGTGCGGCTTTTGACGGGACGACCTTGTGTGTGTGTGTGCGGTGGTAGCTCCTGGCAGGTGTTGGCGAGTCCCGCGGCCGGAGCGACGGACGCCCACGAAGCTGCCCTGGGGGCGGCCCAGCTGACGGAGGAGCCGCTGCGGCTGCTGTGGTTGGAGTGTGTTGCCCACGCTTGCACGAGCACCCGCGCGGCACAACCTCGCTCTGTTAGCGGTGGCTATGAGATGTTAACTACCTCGCCTGGTTCACGGGAGGTCGTGGGTTCGATCCCGACCCTGACACCCGTATGTTGAGCTTTTGCAACTACCTCGCCTGGTTCACGGGAGGTCGTGGGTTCGATCCCGACCCTGACACCCGTATGTTGAGCTTTTGCACCGTACGTAGCCATCGGCGCTTATCGTAGGTGCGTAAGAATAATAGGTTTTTTACCCTTTTTTTCTGGCAACAAAACTATGACACCTTTTTACGAGGAATCATGTTTGCATTAACCACAATACCTGTGGTCCCCCGAGCCCTCATACTCTGATGGTGCATTGTCTTGAGTTGTGCGCCTTTTGGCGTCATCTGGTCCAACACCATGTGAGACTGGGCTCTAAGAAAATCTGTCTCTGGTGTGGACCAATCAATTTCAAGGACAGTGCATACATTATCAGAGTTGTGTTTTTTGTTTTCATTCTGACCGCAGGTGTTGTGGTTAATGCAAACATGATTCCTTGTAAAAAGGTGTCAGTTTTGTTGCCAGAAAAAAGAGTAAAAAACTAATTATTATTTATTCCATGCCAGCTGCACGTTCTCCCCGTGGTCACGTGGATTTTTCTCCGGGTCCTCCCCGTCCCACGTTTAGAAAAGTGATCTTGGGAGTATTTGGCTGCTACAAATGTCCGCGTGATGATGAGCCCACTTCATTGAGCTATCGTTTGTGACGGCCAGGTCGCGTCTGAAAAAGTGTCGTGCAGCTCGGTGGGCCTTAGCTGGTTAACTAAAGCTTTCGTGCAGTCACGAAAACTTTAAATCGAAAATTAAACTCAAAATAGTACAATAAAAATAGTTTCTAATAGCTTTGTGGACCAGATCGCCAGCGCACAAGTTATCCGGAGGACTTTGTGAAGCCCGTGTTTTTAGTGGGTATTTTAGGCGTGAAATTATGCCACTGACATCGTTGAATCAGCCCTGGGCCTCGCCTAGGTTGACTAGGCCTTAAACAGCCGGTGCAGTGTGTAGACATCGGCACTGGCAGCACCACCCCTTTGTGTCGTGTGCTACCCGTTGGCCTTCGTTCGCCGACAGAACTTTCCCCAAATAGTTTAGTTGGGCTACACGGGGAATTTGTGTGTGTGTGTGTGTGCCGTGCGTGCGCGTTTCCGTGTGCACGCGTGCGCTAGCGTAGTGGTGGGCGCGCTCCCACTACGAACCGGGTGACCGGATTTCGATTCCCCGCTCACGGAATCAAAGGCGGCCGGGCACGGTGCTGGCCACCCACCCCGTCGTTTGCCGTGCCGGCCTTCATCGGTGCTGCTACTCGCTAACAGCACTTGCCCCAAACAAGTCTGTTGAATTATGCCACTGACATCAAGGATTCATACAATTAGGTTTTTTCGGTAAAGTCACGTAGGTAAAAAATAAAATGAAAAATTAATAAAAGTAATAATAGAAATAAAATAAAATAATAAATCACGACGTTTCGGAGGCAACACAAGTCTCCGTCATCAGGTGGGACCGTCACAGCTAAATTTACTGTATCTAGCTGTGACGGTCCCACCTGATGACGGAGATTTGTGTTGCCACCGAAACGTCGTGATTTATTATTTAATTTCTATTATTACTTTTATTTTATTTTTTCCTACGTGACTTTACAGAAAAAACCTAAGAAGTAAGTCTGTTGAAGGCTATATGGTGGGGGGGCAAGATCTGTGCGTGCGTGTCTCTGCGTGCGTGTCTCTGCGTGCGTGTCTCTGCGTGCGTGTCTCTGCGTGCGTGTCTGCGTGTGCGTGTCTGCGTCGTGGTGACGTCACCGCCACTTAGTGGCGAATGGCGGTTGTTTTTGTTGTTGTTGTGTCTGCGCGTGCGTGTCTGCGCCCGCGTCCGTGTGCGCAGCTACCTGACGCAGGCCAAGGCGAGGCTGCTGGCGTCGGCGAGCAAAGCGCCGGAGCTGCGGTCGTTCACGGCGCTCGTGCACCGCTGCCTCGCCACGGTGCCGGTGCGGCGCGCCCTCCCGCACGCCTCCGCCAAGTACTGGGCCGACTACACCTTCCACAACCAGGTGCCCGCGCCCGGCGCTCCCATCCGGCAAGGAGCGTTAGACCATCGCGCGAAACTCGCGCTCGTCCTCGCTCCGGCGGGCGGAGTTTTGTTGGCCGAGCCGTTGGGACGGGCACGGTGGCGGCTTCGCGTCGCGCTTTCAGATGCACCTCTGCGGCCGTCCAGAGCGCCTCGCTCTTCCCTTGGACAGTAGGAAGCCACCGGAGCTGTGCACTTTAAAAATGTGCTTTTTGTGTTTAGTTTGTTGTCCTTCCCCCACCCCTCGGCACCTCGGATTAGCATGGTTGGCTACGTACGGTCCTAAAGATGTTCTACATACATAGACTCGTGCAGAGACCCACAGACTCGTGCAGAGACCCACAGACTCACACAGAGACCCACAGACTCAAACAGAGACCCATAGACTCACACAGAGACCCACAGACTCGCACAGAGACCCACAGACTCGCACAGAGACCCACAGACTCACACAGAGACCCACAGACTCACACAGAGACCCACAGACTCACACAGAGACCCACAGACTCACACAGAGACCCACAGACTCACACAGAGACCCACAGACTCACACAGAGACCCATAGACTCACACAGAGACCTACAGACTCACACACCCACACAGAGACCCACAGACTCACACAGATGCCCACAGACTCGCGCAGAGTTTGTTGTCCTTCCCCCGCACCTCCGACTAGCACATTTGGCTACGTACGGCGCTAAAGAAGTTTTACATTCATACGTCCGCCGCTTAATGGGAACGATGCAACCCGAAAAACACACGTCTCGTAGACTACGTTTGCGGGAAACCTCTCCCTTACTTCCCGAGGGCCACGCACGAACGACTTCCAAAATATCCGGGCTGATGGGCGAGCGCGCACCGCGCTACGAACGTGGCCGCCCGGCTCTGGCTTCCAGTCACGGGCCCGCGTCGGTGGCGCGTGATATCAGAACCGGTTCCCGGGGCCTCCCCCAACGTCGATTCCACCTTACACGAGTTCTCGGTGCGGCGTGTCAACATCGGCGCTGCGGAGACGAAGGCAGCCGGCCGTGGTGCCGTGACGGCAACACCACCTCCTCGTTCGCCGTGCCGGCCTTCGTAGGTGCTCCCCTCAACGAGCGGGCTACGAGTTATAGCTCTTTTTGAGAGACGACCTGGCCGCAAATGAGAGCTCCATGAAGTGGCTTATCACGTGGAAATTTATAGCGGTCAAATACTCTAAAACACGTGATGTCAATTCTAAATGTGGAGGGTAAAACCAGAGGACCCGGAGAAAAATCCACGCGACCACGGGGAGAACATGCAAACTCGGGCACCGTCAGGGTCGGGATCGAACCCACGACCTCCTGTACACCAGGTGAGGTAGTTAACATCTTCTAGCCACCGTGATGATGATGAGAGACGCAAACTCCAAATATACAGCAGCAGCAGGCGTCAGGGTCGGGATCGAACCCACGACCTCCTGTATAACAGTCGAGGTAGTTAACATCTCCTAGCCACCGTGATGATGATGATGATGAGAGACGCAAATTCCAAATATACAGCAGCAGGCGTCAGGGTCGAACCCACGACCTCCTGTACACCAGGCGAGGTAGTTAACATCTCACATCGGTCGGTTACGCCGTGAGGTCACCGCGTCGTCTGCGCTTATCTCCGCTTGTATCGTTCTGCGCGACGCTCGGCGGCACGGCTCCGCTCCCGCAGCCGGGATAAAATCGAGCCGTCCCGGTCGCGAGCCCGGCGCGGCTCTGCTGTGCTGTGGGAAAAAAAAAAGAGGCGCCAACGTCTTTGTGTCGGTCGGCTGACGGCCGCGTGCAGGTTGTGGACGTGTACGTGGGCTGCCTGCCGCCCTGCCAACGCTCGGCGGCGCTGGAGAGGCTGCACGCGCTGGCGCCCACCAACGCCGCGCTGGCGTTACGGTAATGCCACGCAAGGGGCGTCTCCGTCCGCCAACGGGGGGGCACGCTCCTCTATGCCGGCACGAGCCTCTCGCCCGCCACATCGCACTGCGCTCGCCCGGCCGTGATGTCTTATTACCGTCACTGACCTCATCGAGGGGCAATAAACCGTCATCCTCACAACGGCGGATTTTGGTTCGCAGTCGAACGAAGACGGTCACCGCATCGCGCGTGTTCATGTGCGCTTGTGCGGCCGTCTGGAACGCTCCTCCTTCCGATATTAGGAAGGTGCTGGAGCTGTGCACTTTTAAATCTAGATTTTCAAAAACTAATTTTTTTCCCACTGCGTTTTGTGTTTAGTTTGTTGTCCGCCCCCCCCCCCCCCCTGTACCTCCGATATGCACGGTTGGCTACGTTCGGTGCAAGAGGAGTTCAACATTCGTACGTCCATGATGCACAGCTCCAGCAAGCGACATCACACTGCCGTAGCCCCAGCAGGGCTCCTATACAGCCATGGCACACGCTGCGCTAACCCGCGCACTGCACCAACCTGCAATCGCATAACCCTCACGTGGTGGTGCGGTTTTTAAGGATGGAGGGACAGGACGACGACGATGATGATGATGGTGGTGGGAACAATGTTGGTGTCAACGTTAGTGTTGGTGGTAGCTGGAACCATGACGGTGATGATGAGTCGCAACAAGTGATATTGGTTGTGGCGACGGTGCTGATGATTGCGTTGCTAGAAATTGGACTGACGACGATCGTTGACGACGATGATGATGATAACGTTGATATTGGCCTTTGACGTTGGGTTGCGATGATAGCGTAGCCGGAATGATGATCGATGTTGGGTTGTGACGACGACGATGATGACCAGGGGATGAGTGATGTTGAAGTGGGGGAGGGGGTGGGTCGGTGGCGCTCATGACGATGAAGAAGATGGAAGGTGGGCTGCCCTTTGTGCTGCCCCTTCCTACCTCTACCCCTCCCTCCCTCCCCCATCCCCCCCCCCCTCCCCAACCCAACCCAGGTTGCTGGTGGCGGAGGCGGAGGAGGGAAACGTCCACAGCGTTGCTCTACAGGCCAAGCTGCTGATCCAGAGGCTGCCCTCCTGTCTTTTCATCTGGAAAATGTACTGTTGGGCCTCGACGCTCGGTGCCTTTAATGAACGCCGAGACAAAAAATCCCGCGGCCGGAATGTCATCCCCAGTTTTGAAGCTTTCGTGACTGCAAGGATTCATACTCTTAGTTCTTTCGTTAAAGTCACGTAGGTAAAAAATGAAATTAAAATTAATAAAAATAAAATAATAAAATCACGACGTTTCGGAGGCAACACAAGTCTCCGTCATCAGGTGGGACCGTCACAGCCAGATTTGCTGCATCAAGTGAGGCAGGGATTCAAGATGCAAGTTCTTAAATACAAGTTCAGGGGGAGGAGAAGGGGGGGGGGGAGCTTATCAGAATGTGGTAGCCAATGAATGGAACGTATCGGGAGGGGGGGGGCGGGGCTAAAAGAGAGCACGAGGTGCTCGTAGGCATCGACGTGGACGTTTTATTAATTTTAATTTCATTTTTTACCTACGTGACTTTACCGAAAGAACTAAGAGTATGTCATCCCCAGTGCCCTGTGCTTCACCACCACCACCATTATCATCAATGCTCATCGCTGCCATCATCATTACCATCATCGCCGAGACCGCCACTGTCATCGTGTGCACGTTGAATTTCTTTCACGCCGTACGTAGCGAAACCGTGCGATTCGGAGGTACGGGGGGGAGGGGAGAAAAACAACAAACGAATTATCATCACTATCATCATCCTTACCATTATCACCGTCACTACCATCATCATCAACAGCGGGTGGTAGTACCACCACCATCACTGTCATCATCAACATAACCACCACGACCATCGTTTATCAACGCTTTCATCACCACAATTGTTATCATCACGACTCCGGATCAGGATTCGCTTGATGAATCAAATGTGTAGTGGTCTCTAATGGCTGCCCGCGGGTCAATGTGCGCACGCAGTAGGTGCGAATTTAAATTGATTGATGATTTTTTTTATTGTTACTTACGCCCGCAAGATTCGACGAACGGTCTCGTGAACATTTAAGCCACCGATGCCGTTGTCCGCCGAGGCTTCGACCGGCATCGTACAAAACCCCCCCCTTTCCGTTAACCGCCGTCTCGCCACCGTCACCGCCCCCCTCGCCTGCCTGTTGGTTTTCTGGGTGGGCGTCTGCTCACAGGTGTGACATGCAGTGTCACCCCCGATGGCGGTGGTCACGTTGGCGTGCGGTTATAAAAATAAAGAAAGCCGCTACCCTCGTTCAAACGCCCCCCCCCAGGTGCCATCCGGCAGCTTTTGGCCATGGTGGCGACGGTGATCCCAACCACTCGCTCGGCACGTAACGATTCGCAGTCGGCGCTTTAACAATCGGCTCTTCCTTCGCTTCGCGGTACCCGTCTTGTGTCGTGCCGCGTGATTTCCTCCGTCGGCCCACAATGTTGGCGACCGGTAACGCGCGGTGGTTTTGCTCGAACCTTTAACGAACCGATTTCTTTAACCGCCGAAACGCGCGTACACGCGAGCGTAAGAACAGAGCCGTCGACTAATATCGGTGTTTGCCCCCGGCAGGAATTGTGCCTGCGGGGGAAACGCGCGCCGCGCGAAAAAATTGCGACGCAAAAACAACGCTAGAGTTCTCTCCAACTCTAGACGCAAAACATTTGGACCCGCAAGCAAAAATGTGATCCTCAAATTCGGAGAGTAAAACACGAGTTTGAGAGAACTCGATAAATGTAGAGCCATTGGTTTGATAAAAGAACTTGACGCTTTTGTCCAACGCTGGCCTTCGACGTAAAAAAAAAACTATGAAATGGTCGACGTTTCAAGCAACGGTCCTTCTTCGCAGCACGTAAGATGCCGGGGAGGTAGAGTGGAACATGCGGCGTCTCTGTGCTGTGAAGAACCATTGTCCCAAACTACCCCCCCCCGCCCCACGCTGTATACTTTTAAAAATATTTTAAAGCCGAAGTCTTCATGACGAATGCTAGTAGTTGTGTTATCCCCGCTGCTGCGCCGCTGCCCAAATGCTTTAAGTGTCACCGAGTAATGGATCCTTGAACAGAGTTGGGACACCGTAAATCGTTTTCCAGGCCTAATGCGCTGGCGCTTAGCGCGCAGGAGCTGAGCGACAATGTTGGATGTGTACCCCTGTTGTCGCCGTCACATCTGGGCCGGCGCGGTGGTTAGGAGATGTTAACTACCTCGCCCGGTATACAAGAGGGTCGTGGGTTCGATCCCGACCCTGACGCCTGTTGTATATTTGGAGTTTGCGTGTTTTCCCTGTGGTCGCGTGGATTTTTCTCCGGGTCCTCCGTTTTTTTCCCTCCCAATATAGAAACGTGTTTCAGAGTATTTGGCCGCTATAAAATTCCACGGCATAGCTCGGCGAGCCTTGCCTGGTAAAATAAAATAGTTTCTAGTTTAGTTTACCGCTCCTCTACTGCTTATGCTGTTGCCAATTGTTGCCACCGCTGCTGTAGCTGCTGTGTCTCCGTCGCCGCTTTAAAAGCAGCTTCCTCTTCCCGATTGCAGAGTCATCGCTGCCACGAGAAAACTTCACGGCCCGTCGGAGGTGAGGACCGACGCACCGATATATATATATACCGCCTTTGTGATTGGAGCGCGGCCTCGGTTGCCTGCAACACGCGTCGTCATCGTCGCCGCCGCCGCCAAATTTATTGTCGCAAACCGTTGAGTTACAGGTTACAGGTTGAACACGCTTTAATAGGGCGAGAGAAATTCGACACGCGACCGGGTCACTCCTGTTTACAGGAGTGACCTGCGGTTTCTGCCGGTCGTGGCCGATTTATTGCCGTGTATAATTCGGATTCAATAATTTGTGGTGTAAGTATCGAAATGTGGCAAATTTGGATCCCCCCCGAGGCTGACGCGTAGTGGCCTACTAAGCTTGCGAATGACGTCGGAGGGGGATCTTTAATGGGCAATGTGAAGCAGATGGCGCGTAGTGTAATAGTTTTAACACGTAGGCTTTCGCGACCAATATTATCCATGAGGTTTTGTTGGGTTCGGTCGCGTGAGTATAAATGTGTCGTTAAAGCCTGCCACCACCCCCGACACAGCCATTTAGCAACGTTTCTCACTTAAACAAAACATGCCAATTACCAGCTCAGCACAACGATGTGTTGGAGAGCAAACCCACAACATTACATGGGTGGAAAAAACCCCATTTTTCCAGCGGCAGGCATCGGGTTTTTTCTTTAATACAATTAAACCCGATTTCGGGGAATTAGAACCTGGTTTATTGAATACGAAACTCTGATCCAAGGCTTGGGCTGCTTCCTCGTCTGTGCTGCTATCGTACTCGGGGGGGCCGTCGGGCACGGGGTAGTCGTAGAATGCGGCGGGCAGGTTGGTCTTGATGAACACGAGCTTCTCGTCCACAATCGTGGGCGCCAGTGAGTTCCTTAGCTTGGAATGGATGAAGCCCATCGTTGAGAAGTGCGGTTCTGCAATTAGAACCAATTAAACCGGATTTCTCCCAATCTCAGATGATCGGGTTTAATATAAAAAGACAAACAACCGGAAGCAACAGGAGAGCTTCGCCATTCTTGCCCGATGAAGCTGATTGTAATTACCAGCGAAATGTCGTACTGCTCAAATTTTAAAATGCTGTTGATTCTCTCTTCAACACACCGGTGGGCTAAAGAAGTGAATTATTTTGTCCTTTGAAAGACGTGACACGTTTTTGACTGTTTGGCCGTGTCGGATGGTGGAGTGTTATGACACATAAATAACGCGATCTGATCCAAAAACTTATGAATTCGAGTACGGATTTCCGTCGGTAATTACAACCAAGCCTCATCAGCCGACAGCCAGATTTGCATAACAGTTATTGCAGTGGTTATCCAGGTCGGCCTGCCGAATTCAAACCACAAACGTCTGAAACGAATGCGCGATCGCTCGGCAACTCCCCCCACCCGCCCTCGGCGACGTGGAGAAAACATCGCGTTGCCCGAGCCCTAGCCGTGTGTGCTCCGTGTCTTCCCCCAGCTGCGGCGCCTGTTCGTCCGAGCTCTGCACTGCCTTCCGCTCTCCGCGTCGCTCTGGAAAGATGTAACCGACCGCACCTGCACCGCACGAGTGCTCGCGACACACACGGGGTGGCGGCGGTGGTTGCTAGATTTATTTGCTCTGCAGGTTTTCGGGGATGCGTTTGGGAAGGTCGGGACCGAGTTATCACTCCCCCGGCAGACGCTGCTGTGGTGTCGTGGTTAACACGCTAGACTTGCAATCCAGAGGGAGCCGGTTTGATTCCATCTCCCGGCGGGCAGGTTTCTTAAATCTGCCCACCCGCATTGCTGCACCCAGCAGCATAAATGGGCTTCACCAGTCGGATCGGGAGGTCATTTGTGGCGAGGTAAAGTGTGGTTACATCTCGGTTTTGGGTAAAGACCTCCCGACAGCCGATGCCCATCCCTCTTGTGATGCAGAAATCCATCTCTTGCACGTGAGCCGATTTCATCGCTCCATTTCCGGGGCCGGCCATCTGTTCCCGGGCGTTTCTCTGCGTTGACCGACAATCCGTCAGCGGTCTCAGGCATTGGCCATGCCCAAGCGCGCACTTAACTTTGCTTAACAGGCGACGTCCTGCAATTTCTCCGATGCGTTCTTCCGTCTGTCACTTAGGTGCAATTCGAATCGCACATCTCATCACGCGCTTTGCACGCTTTTCGTTCCATTTTCTTTTGTCCGCGTGCCATGCCCTCTGATCGTATCATCGCGGGTAATTTAAACTCGATGATGCCTGAGGATGTTGTTTTGCATTACACAAAGTTTTTTTCAAAAAGCACTCCACAACCTGCTGTCCGCTCGCCCATATTTCATCGTCTAGATCCCGGTCTGCTTTCTGATGTGCTTTCGAATCGTGTCCCTCGCAACAGATATTAACTTACAATAATAACAGTAAAATGTGGAGACTAACACACCATGGCAAGCACCGAGAAAAGTGTAATCTTCTCTGCCAAAAGCCCCCCACCCCCCCCCCCCCACTATTGCTTGGGGATCAGCTGTTTGGATACTGCTATTCTGTGCCTTCTTCTCTAGCTGCATCCTTCCCTCTCGCCCTCGGGTCTCCCTCTTACTCCTTGCGCAGTGCACCGGTGGCATCCCCATCGTCTCGATTTAAAACTTTCGTGACTGCAGGGATTCATCTTCTTGGTTCTTTCGGTAAAGTCACGTAGAAGGGAAATAAAAATCTTTCCGACAGCCCTGTTCTTCACCTGAGGACGGCTGCTTGCGTTGTGGCCGAAACGTCATGAGAATTATTTTATTATGTTTTATTTTTATTATTTTATTATTTCCCTTCTACGTGACTTTACCGAAAGAACCAAGAAGGTTAATCCCCATCGTCGTTCTAATTGCATCGTCTCTGTCTCTGGTCCAACACGTGCTCGATCCGTCCAAGTCTTGCCTCAAGAATAATAGTAGCAACCACCACCACCTCGCCGCCAAAGCACCAGTCTTCATTCCGTCTCCTTTCTCTCGGAAGATAATTTTCATCGTGGAATTCTCATCTCTGCCCGCTCGAGCACCCTCCTACTTTGGTGCCCCACGTGTATTGTGTGTGCACCGTGGCACCGGTGGGCCCAAAGCGTGTCGCGACGATCGGCTCGCCAGCTAGAAGAAAAACGCTCCCAACGCCATCGTCGCCGCTAACCCGTCGCCCCAACGCGTCGTCTCACCACCGTATGCACCGCGTGCAGTTTGTGCTCGCGGAAGCGGAGGCTGCGGCGTCGGCGTCGTCTTCGGCGTGCGGCGGCAAAGGGGGAGCGCCCGTGCAGCGTGCGCTGGCTCTGTGCCGCGAGGCCGGGGTCAGCCTTGCGGAGCTACTGCCCTCCTCCGTCACGCTCTCGCCAGGCCACGCCACCTCGTAAGTCCCCCCCGGCCTGGCGGTCGCCGGTGCCCGCCGGTGCCCGCCGCCACCCACCAGGGCGGAGGGGGGTGGCGGCGGGGGGGCGCGTGGGGGTGGCAACCACCGCCTCCTCCTGCCCAACTGTCCCAAGCCGCTGCGCTGTAAGTAAGCCCCGTCCCCCCCCTCCCTCCTGTGCCTGACACCACGTGACTCGTTCTGGGACCCCGAAGGCAGTATTATTAAAGTTTCCTCGCATTTACTTTTTAATGTCTGTCGAAACTGCGGTTGGGGGGGAGCGGAACGATCGATTTGAGTTTTTGCACCGCAGTTCGGTGCGGGCCTCGTTGGGTTTTAGTTGGGGCCCCCGTGCGTCTTCGCCGCACGTCTTTCACTGTGACGGGTGCAATCTCGTGAAACTTAAAAAAAAAACCCGGAAAAAATGCAAAACGGAGGAGAAATGCCGTGAACTCGCAGTATTTGCTACAGACGGTAACCATGGCTCCACTTTACCTGTTGTGTTAAAAGTTGCTCTGGAGGGCTCGGTTTTTGCAGGACTGCTGCGACAGATGAATAGTCCCCCACCCCATCACCAAGGCAAGGACCACCACCAGCAAGCGCTAGCACTTTGCCAAGAGTGGCCGTTTCTCTCTCTCTCGCGCGATGGGACTGTGAAGCCGGATCGGTTTACAAGAAACGAGAGGTCGGCTGGCAAGTTTGCGCTACTTTTGCGCTCGCAATGGCTGGTTCGCTCCGATCACCGTAGGCTGCAAGTGTGCAGGAGAACACCCTTCCGCCCGCCCGCCTCGCCCACGTCATGCCACGGATGAGCAGGGATTATAAAGCGTTCCTGAAGCGTTGACTTACCGTATAGATATTACCAATTGTTCATTTAAATATGTGTACAAAAAAATTTATGACGAAAGTGCCAGTTGATAATAAAAAAAAACATTTATTAATTTCAAGGGTCCCAGTTTGAGTTTTTTTGTTGTTGTTGATCTAAGTGTGTCCACGGTTGTATAAGAACCGGGAATAAAAACAAAAAAGCTCCCAGATGTGTACTGCCTTGTCCTCTCCGATGCCAAAATGTCGGACATCGTATCCAAGGACACACGGTACGAACCCCCGAAAACACAAGGGGGCGGTCACATGGAACAACCCGCACCAGAATAAGTTGCTGATCATTTGTTGAAGTCTCATTATATTAGTCACATCATCAAGCTACCACTAACGGTTGTTTGGCAAAATGGTAAAAAAAACTCTTCTCGAGATTTTTTGATTGGCCAAAAGTAACTTTTAAACATTCTGCACAAGAGAAAAATACAATTCCTTAAGTTAAAATAGAAGTGCCATTTCAGGCATTTCAATCCCTCGGTATCTTACATTGGGAATGTGGCAACATTTTATGAACGAATGGCTGAACAAGACTTTTTGAGATACAGTCAGGGGTCAACGACAGATGAATATCGTTTGCAGTCTTGTGTCAGTGGTCGGCCTCATATAGCCGCGCCATATCCAATAAAGTTGCAGGCTGGAGGTGTAGGCCCATCTGTGTTGTGCGTATTATGTATGTTGAACATCTTTTGCATCGCGTGTAGCCAACCGTGCTAATCGATGTTAAGTGCAAATCAACAGTCCCGCGCCCCTCCACGGAAATTCAATGAATTGCCACGATTTGATATTCGAAACGATTTTGAACATTGTAGTGTTTGTAAAAGAACCCACAAGTCGTACACACCCACCCCACAACCAGCACACACGCACAGACTGTCATTCGACGCATGTATCGCGAGCTTAAGAATGGATACGAATTGATGCACCTCTTTGCCGCACACCACCACAATGAGTGCGCTTGGGTCTGTCTCAATAGTCACTCCCCTTTGACGGCGAGGGGTGGCAGCTACTGTGGGCATCGTCGCTGTTCAAACAACCCTCCAAAGTGGGTGTGTGGCCAAAACAAACACCACACTTTGAGTCCAGGTGGTTTTCCTTCCCTTCGGCAAGGTAACATGCCGCTTTGTGCTGATGGAACTTTTACGTGCACGACTAAGGGTCGGTCAGTACTGGGTTGCGTAGAATTAACAATTATATGACAATCTTGTGGTTTAGTTAAACATGATAAACTAGGGTTTTTCGGTACTGCACGTAGTATGGCAACAGGGATAAATGAGAACATAAGGAAATTCCATCTGTAATCTCAGCTATAGCCCATAGGGGTCCGCAACCAAATTAAAGGACTTTTTTTTTTCTTCGAATTTGGTTTAAAAAAAATTGTGCAATTGCACTGTGTGGTGAAACCGAGACTGTGCTTCTCACAATGTCACGAAGCAGTCCCTGGAAGAGCCACATGCAGCGCTGGAGCAGCAGGTCGCCCACCCTGCTCTCGAAAGGACATCTCTAACTCCCAGAGCGGGGCCGTGCCCCCTGACTCACCACAACAGCTTACAGGGTGAGTACAATGCACCTGGGTGGCGAGATGTTAACCACCTCGCCTGGTATACAGGTAATCGTGGGTTCGATCCTGATGCTTGTATGTTTGGAGTGTGCATGTCTCCCTACGGTCGCATGGATTTCTTTCCGGGGCCTTTGGTTTTCCCCTCATTTAGAATCGACGTGTTGTAGAGTATTTAGCTGCTATACATTTACACGTGATGAGCCACTTTTAGCTTTCATCCGTGGCCCGCTCCCATCTGAAAAAGCGCTATATAGCTCAATGGGGCCTTATCGGGTAAAATAAATAGTTTTAGTTTCACGCTACAGGGCCAGGCTGTCGGTCGACGGGTGGGAATCGGCGTTCTAGGACCTTAGTCTGGCGGCGCCGGGTCTGCCCGCAGCGGTGGGTGCGCCGCGCCTGGCGGCGGGCGCGCTGGCGCACCGCGCCTTCTTCCCCTTGGCCGACTTGGGGCAGACGGCGTCTTGGGGAGGTGTGGGGATCGGCTTCCAGGGGACGGGGTTGTAGAAGCTGGGCGCCGGGTAGCCTGCGTTGCTGTAGGTGCCTGTGGGTGGGGAGAGCGTGTGGGGAGGGGGGGGGTGCATGTTAAAAAACACAACTTGGTTTTCAATAGAGGCCGACCGAAACAAGTTATAGTTTCGGCCAAAACCGAAAGTAAAAAATTGACTTTCGGCCAAAACCGAAAGTATGCCGAAAGAGGCCATTTGCCAACTTTCGGTGCCGAAACCGAATTGTCCCAGATAAGGCCTTGAGCTGCTATAGAGCTCTTTGACAGAAGCGACCTGACTATCACAAATGTTAGCTCAATGAAGTGTGCTTATAACGTGGAAATTTATAGCAGCCAAACCAAAAAAACCAGGAGTAATATCCACACCACCAAAGGGAAAACACGCAAAGTCCAAATATATTCAGGTATCAGGGTTGGGATTGAAGCCACGAAACTCCCGTCTACCAGGCGAGGCAGTTAACAGCTCGCCACTGTGGCACCCCAGCGATAGTTAACATCACGCGGCTACAACGCAAACACAACGAAGAGCGGTACGTTTTAATTAACATCGAAAATATGAATGCACCAAGGGAAAAAAAAAACCCCACACAGGGTTTTTGCCCTGCATTGTAACTCCTCGAAACAGCTCGTGCCCCCCCGGGGACTTGAATGACTGAAGCTACGATGGTTAACTGACACCCTCTCAAACCTCGGGTGCTGGTTGTGTCGCCGACTCAGGCGTTCGGCGTGACTGCGCGTGAGGTCACCACCACCCCCGTCCACGCCCCCACCCCCCTCACCGTTTCCTTTGCCCAGCGGCCACTCGCGTTTGGGCCGAGGTCTCGTCTTCGCTTTTTCCAGCCACTCCCGAAACTCCCTCTCCGCCCTCTCCCTCCTCTCGCGTTTTTCTGCCGCCAGCCGCTCCATCTCCTCCTGGATGGGGGGGGGGGGGGGGTTTCGACTCGATGCTTTAATTTTCGTGAAGTAAAAGTTACAAAATCACCATGACTGGCGCCCTGTTCTCTTCAGATCTCGGTAGACTGGAGGTGATGGGGTGGGGGGGGTCTGTGTTGCTGAGTGGAGAACACGTGAAGGGGAGTTCAGAGTTAACAGGGTGGTCTGTGTTGTGGACGGAGTGGAGGGTGAACAGGGTGGTCTGTGTTGTGGATGGAGTGGAAAGGTAACGGGGTGGTTTGTTGTGAAGGGAGTGGAGATGTAATGGGGTGATACTCTTAGGGTTTTTCGGTAAAGTCACGTAGGTAATAAAATAAAATAAAAATTTATAAAAGTAATACTAGAAATAAAATAAAATATTTCTATTATTACTTTTATAAATTTAAATTTTCTTTTTTTACCTACGTGACTTTACCTAAAAAAAACCTAAGAGCATGAATCCTTGCAGTCACGAAAGCTTCAAATCAAGAATGTAATGGGGTGGTCTGTGTTGTGGATGGAGTGGAGAGTTAACAGGGCGGTCTGTGTTGTGGAGGGAGTTGAAAGGTAACGGGGTGGTCTGTTGTAAAGGGAGTGGAGGTGTAATGGGGTGGTCTGTGTTGTGGATGGAGTGGAGAGTTAACAGGGTGGTCGGTGTTGTGAAGAGGTAACGAGGTGGTCTGTGTTGCGGGCGGAGTGGAGAGGTAACGAGGTGTTCTGTGTTGCGGATGGAGTGGAGAGTTAACAGGGTGGTCGGTGTTGTGGAAAGGTAACGAGGTGGTCTGTGTTGTGGAGATGGAACGGGGCGGGGTGGGGCTGCGTTGCGGAGGGAGTGCGCGAGTGTGCCGCACCTGCTGCCTCTGCTTCTTCTCCTTCTCGGCCGCGGCCTTGTGCTGCAGCCACTGCTGGTAGCTCTCGTGCGCCTTCTCCAAGATCCTCTGCCTCTCCTGCTCTCTCTCCTCCATCTTCGTGCGCTCCTTGCGCTCCGCCTGCTCTTCCTCGAGCTGCAACTGAGCACACCGCGGGGGGTGGCTGACGTGACGTTGCAGCCCGCGAATTCGTAGCCCGCCCACCCGGCCCGCCCGCACAGGACCCACATGATTCCAGTGCCACGGTGGCAAAAATGTTAACTACCTCGCCTGTTATACAGGAGGTCGTAAGTTCGATCCCGACCCTGACGCCTGCTGCATATTTGGAGTTTGCATGTTCACTCTCCCCGTGGTCGCGTGGATTTTTCTCCGGGTACTCCGGTTTTTCACTGCACATTTAGAATCAACGTCATGCGTTTTGAGTATTTGGCTGCTATAAATTTCCACGTTGAGCTATCAAACGTGGCCAGGTCGATTTTGAAAAAGAGCTGTATAGCTCAGTTGGGCCTTATCCAGTACAAATAAAAATAGATTAGTTTTATTTTTCGATTTAAAGCTTTCATGACTGCAGGGATTCATCTTCTTGGTTCTTTCGGTAAAGTCACGTAGAATTGAAATAATAAAATAATAAAAATAAAACATAATAAAATAATTCTCACGACGTGGCCGAAACGTCGTGAGAATTATTTAAGTGTTTTATTTTTATTATTTTATTATTTCAATTCTACGTGACTTTACCGAAAGAACCAAGAAGAGATTAGTTTTAGTTTTGCTGTTTCCCGTGCCGTATCCCACCTGCTCCAATTTATTCCTCATCCACTCGTGCACGCGCTCCGCTGTCTTCCTGCTCTTCTCCGATTTGATCTCCTCTTCAGTTCGTTGCTGCTCTTCGCGGTGCCGCTCCTGCGAAGGAAGAGAGGTGGGCGGTGTTGGTGGTGTTAAGACAGGATTTCTTGTACGACGCTTGGACAATGCAGCACTCGTGCATTCACACGAGTCAGCGTAGCTATCAAGTGTTCAGACAATGCAAATGCACCAGGTCACGTATTGAATTGCATAAGAATCTATTTGTATTTAAATTTCGATTTAAAGCTTTCGTGACTGCAGGGATTCATCTTCTTGGTTCTTTCGGTAAAGTCACGTAGAAGGGAAATAATAAAATAATAAAAATAAAACATAATAATCTGAATGACACTGTCTCCCCGACAGACCTGGTCTTCACCTGGGGACGGCTGCTTGCGTTGTGGCCGAAACGTCGTGAGAATTATTTTATTTTTATTATTTCCCTTCAACGTGACTTTACCGAAAGAACCAAGAAGATGAATCTATTTGTATTTACGCAAATGGTATACAAATTATGTGCTCCTGTTACATTTCTGCTAATGGGACAAACTGTACAAACGAGGCAAACTCGAAGACAATACAAATAAATCTACGCAAAAAATAACAAATGTCTTGATTAAAATCACAAACTCTTAATTGTTCTGCTTCACCGAGGCGAGTGAATTAATTAGATGCCCACTGTCTGCCCCCGTGGCACACTCCCAGATTTAATTTCCAGCACCACCACCAATGGCACCCCCCCCCTCCCCGCGCCTACGCTTCGTGCACGCTGCTCCAGCTGTCGCCGCTCCTCCACAGTCTTCCTCACGAGCCAATCCTCCCAGGCCGACAGTCCAGCAGGCGGGGGGCCGCCACCCTCTCTACGAGGTCCCCGCGGGGAGGATTTGCGCTTGGGGAAGTTCCGATCCCGGCTGTGGGTCGTCGCCACCGCCTGCACCCGACGGGAGCTGCACGCGCCCCCCGCCGCCGACCGCACCGTACAGAATCGGAATCTTTATCCTGGAGAAATCCAATGGGTTACAGAGCACTTTTTTCACAGAAGTCCAGTAGGGGCGTGTCAGAATGCTACAAAAGCAAACTATGCAAATCACGATAGTGCTCTGGCTGGTGCTTGGTGGATTAAGAATATGTAGACTCAAAAAAGCCGTGACCTAACCACAACAGAAAACACGGTGAGATGAAATCATACAGATTTGCCAATACTGGACAGGAACAAACTCAGCGAAGGAATGAAAGGAAATGGGGGAGGCCTTTGCCAGGGCAGTGGGAAGCTAAAGAGAGACGACAACTACTTTAAATACAACAACAACAACCATACCTTGGCTCCCGGCCACACCGTGCCAAACGGGGCTTTCGCCCGTCCTCCTCCACATCTTCGTCCTGGCTTGCGTAGCTGCTGTGGTAGATGGCGGAGAGCAGCGAGTCCGTGGAGTCTGCCCCATCACCGGCGGTGCCGGTGGCATCGCCGGCACCGGCAGCACAGCCGCTCAGCAGAGACGCCGTGTCGCCCCTGCCAGCCCCAGCGCCGTCCGCGGAGCAGGTTGGCATTGCCCCGAGCGTCTGCAGTGTGGGCAAGGTGGGGGAATGTGGTTGGTTTCACTGAACAGAGGTTTGACCACTGTGCCCGCAGACAACGGGTTAGAAAAAAAGGAGAGGTCCTAACAACTCTGACCCTTTACTTCTAATCCTGAACCTTAACCCAGAACCATTCAAGGACCTTGTAGTAATCATCATTAGTCACCCCGTGGTGCCCTTACTAAACTCAACGTTTAACCTACTCACGCCGGCTTGTGCCCGCCCTCAGTCGGCCATATTTGCGGAATACACCACGCCGCCGTTGACCCTGGCCATTGACCGAGCAAGCCAACGTTCCTACCAGTTCCCTCCGCAGGAATGTGTTTACAGGCCACTTCAAACCTTAATGGTCACCCCGTGCCCTTATAAATCTCAACGTTCATCTTACAAAGTTCCATCACAAGGGAGAAACACAAACAAATAGACCACCACCACCACTACACTCACCACTAGTACACTCACCACTAGTACACTCACTACTACACTCACCACTAGTACACTCACTACTACACTCACCACTAGTACACTCACTACTACACTCATCACTACAACACTCACCACTAGTACACTCACTACTCCACTCACCACTAGTACACTCACCACTACACACCTGTCAACTCCTTATCAGTGCCCGACTTTATTATAGGCCACTTCAGACCTTATTGGTCACCTCGTGCCTCTTATAAATCTCAACGTTCATCCTACAAAATCCCCATCACAAGGGAGAAACACAAATAGACAAATACATTTTCTGTGCCCGTATTGAAACGCTTGTGCGCCGTATGGACTTGAAAACTCAATTCCCCTGTACAAGAATACGGGATAAACCGTGCGAGTTGACAGGTATGTGATGAAGATGATACGAATGAACTTAAGACTTTAAGAACCAAAGAGTTTATAAAAGTACACAACCCGTAAACATACACAAATAGTAAAATAAAGTGTTGAAACTATTAAGCTTAAGAGGATCTCCGTGGTGGGTAAATGAGTATTATCGATGTATATAACCACAAGTGTCATTTAAAACATTATCCGAGATACGCTGAAATCGAGAAGAAAACAAAGATGCTTTCTACGTGACTTTACCGAAAGAACCAAGAAGATGAAAGATGCTATCGTTGGAAAAAAGAGCGTACGGGTTTAACATAGTATTAACAAATTACAATGCATTTATTATCAGAGCATGTTTTTTGTTTGCATGTTCACAAGTGCTGTGTGTAGGTTCATGCAGTACTTGATTCTATTTGGTGTTTGAACATCTTAACACCTGTTTTATTGACAGAAAGAATAAGACCTATTCTTATTTTCCCGTAATTTAACACGTAGGAGGCTTTCTCGACCAATATCATCCATTATATAGGTTTTTTGGGGGGTTAGATCTTATAAATATAAATGTGTCGTTAAACCCGCCACCACCCGACACAGCCAATTAGTTAAGGTTTGTCACGTAAACAGAACGTGGCCATACTCTGGTTATTTCTTTCGGTAAAGTCACGTAGATAAAAAAGTAAAATCAATTAAATCACCACGTTTCGGAGGCAACATAAGCTTCCGTCTACAGGTGGAACCATCACAGCAAAATTTCTGTATCAAGTGATGTATCAATTGATGATGTAATTTATTTTCCTTGCTTCCGAAACGTCGTGATTTAGTTTAGTTTTCATTTTTATTTTGTTTTTCACCTACGTGACTTACCGAAAACTTCAAATCTAGACATAACGTGGCCAATTCGTCACTAATAGAGCACCACCGATATGTAGGAGAGCAAATCCACAACATTTACAACTAGTGCTGTACTAGTAACACATTGGCACGTTCTGTTGACGTGATAAACCTTACTAATTGTCTGTGTCTCGGGTGGTGGCGGGTTTAACGACACGTTTTATATTTACGCGAACTCACCCGAAACAAAACCACCCCTATTATGAACAATAAAAATGTTAAAATTTTGGCTTAAACGAAACGCGGCCTAGTTATCACCACGCAGCCTTCATTCAACGCCGCGCTCTCACCGTTGTCGATTCGCAGCCGGCGGACGCCTTCTTGAGAGTCTTCAACAATAACGAAATAGCGATCGATAGTTTCTACGTCGTTTAGTGTTTTAAATTCACTTTAAAATGTAAACAACGACTGCTTAGAGGCTGAGCGCCGTCCCCACACAGAGGGCCCCGCTCGCTTGAGGCTTCGCGTTGCCTGGCAACCGCTGGGGGGGGAAGGGGGGGTGGTTTCTTCCCGACTCGCACCGCGCGCAGGGTGACGGTTGGCGGTCGCGTGTGGCGGGAAAATTCTAACGGCGCGCGGGAGGAAGAGGGGAGGGAGGGGGAAGAGGGGAGGGGGAAGAGGGGAGGGGGTAGAGGGGAGGGAGGGGCAAGAGGGGAGGGGGGGGAAGAGGGGAGGGAGGGGGAAGAGGGGAGGGGGAAGAGGGGAGGGGGTAGAGGGGAGGGAGGGGCAAGAGGGGAGGGGGGGGAAGAGGGGAGGGAGGGGGAAGAGGGGAGGGGGAAGAGGGGAGGGGGTAGAGGGGAGGGAGGGGCAAGAGGGGAGGGGGGGGAAGAGGGGAGGGAGGGGGAAGAGGGGAGGGGGAAGAGGGGAGGGGGTAGAGGGGAGGGAGGGGCAAGAGGGGAGGGGGGGGGAAGAGGGGAGGGAGGGGGAAGAGGGGAGGGGGTAAAGGGGAGGGAGGGGCAAGAGGGGAGGGGGTAGAGGGGAGGGAGGGGCAAGAGGGGAGGGGGGGGAAGAGGGGAGGGAGGGGCAAGAGGGGAGGGGGGGAAAGGGGGGGGGAGGGGAGCGGGGGGGGGGGAAGAGGGGAGGGAGGGGCAAGAGGGGAGGGGGGGGAAAGGGGGGGGGGGAGGGGCAAGAGGGGAGGGGGGGGGAAAGGGGAGGGAGGGGGGGGGAAGGGAGGGAGGGGAGCGGGGGGAGGGGCAAGAGGGGGGGGGGGAGAAGGGGAGGGAGGGGAGCGGGGGGAGGGGGAAGAGGGGAGGGAGGGGCAAGAGGGGAGGGGGGGGAAAGGGGAGGGAGGCGAGCGGGGGGGGGAGGGGAAGGGGAGGGAGGGGAGCGGGGGGAGGGGGAAGAGGGGAGGGAGGGGCAAGAGGGGAGGGAGGGGCAAGAGGGGAGGGGGGGGGGAAAGGGGAGGGAGGGGAGCGGGGGGGGAGGGGAAGGGGAGGGAGGGGAGCGGGGGGAGGGGGAAAAAGGGAGGGAGGGGCAAGAGGGGAGGGGGGGGAAGGGGAGGGGAGCGGGGGGAGGGGGGGTAGAGGGGAGGGAGGGGCAAGAGGGGAGCGGGGGGAGGGGGAAGAGGGGAGGGGGGGGGGGAAAGGGGAGGGAGGGAGCGGGGGGGGAGAAGAGGGGAGGGAGGGGCAAGAGGGGAGGGGGGGGAAGAGGGGAGGGAGGGGAGCGGGGGGAGGGGAGCGGGGGGAGGGGGAAGAGGGGAGGGGGGGGGGGAAAGGGGAGGGAGGGGAGCGGGGGGGGGGAAGAGGGGAGGGAGGGGCAAGAGGGGAGGGGGGAAGGGGGAAGAGGGGAGGGGGGGGAAAGGGGAGGGAGGGGAGCGAGGGGGGGAAGAGGGGAGGGAGGGGCAAGAGGGGAGGGGGGGGAAGAGGGGAGGGAGGGGAGCGGGGGGAGGGGGAAGAGGGGAGGGGGGGGGAAAGGGGAGGGAGGGGAGCGGGGGGGGGGGAAGAGGGGAGGGAGGGGCAAGAGGGGAGGGGGGAAGGGGGAAGAGGGGAGGGGGGGGAAAGGGGAGGGAGGGGAGCGGGGGGGGGAAGAGGGGAGGGAGGGGCAAGAGGAGAGGGGGGGGGAAGAGGGGAGCGGGGGGAGGGGGAAGAGGGGAGGGAGGGGCAAGAGGGGAGGGGGGAAGGGGAGGGAGGGGAGCGGGGGGAGGGGGAAGAGGGGAGGGAGGGGGGGATGGAGAGAAACGTAGGCACGGGCCGAAATCCGGAGTGGTAGCTCTTGCAATCTCTCATTAACTTGATACACTTACTTGATACAGCTGTCGTGGCTGTGACGGTTCCACCTGAAGACGGAAGCTTGTGTTGCCTCCGAAACGTCGTGATTTTTATTTTATTTTTATTAATTTTAATGTTTTACCTAAGTGACTTTACCGAAAAAAAACCTAAGAATATGAATCCTTGCAGTCACGAAAGCTTCAAATCTAGATTTGAAGTTTTCGTTACTGAAAGGATTCATACTCTTTGGGTTTTTTCGGTAAAGTCACGTAGGTGAAAAATTACATAAACAAAATAAAATAGAATGAAAACTGAAATAAAATAAAATCTTAATATTTATTTAGCTACTAATCTCTTAAATCTTGACTTAGTTTTCGTGACTGCATGAATTAATATTCTTTGGGTCTTTTGGTAAAGTCACGTAGATAGGTTAAAAAAAATACATTTTAAAAAACTACGACGTTTCGATCGCAACACAAGCGTGTGACTTTACCTAAAGACCCAAAGAATACTAAGCTCTTTTTCCACAGATCAGATTATTTAAACTGGAGGAATCCGATGAGCTACAAAGCTCCTTTTCCACAGATCACAAACGAAATATTTATACTGAAGGAATGCGACGAGTTTTACAGCTCTTTTTCCACAGATTACAATCAGAATATGTATCTACACTGGAGGAATCCGATAAGATATACACGCTCTTTTCCCACATATGTCCAGTAGGGACAGGTCAGAAAGTTACAACAACACACATACGTTGGGTTGCTCGGTCAATGGCCAGGGTCAACGGCGGCGTGGTGTATTCCGCAAATGACTGTGAGGGCGGGCACAAGCCGGCGTGATTAAGCTAAACGTTGAGTTTTATAAAGGCACCACGGGGTGACCAGCCCCTCCCCACCCCTCCCATTTTTGGATGCACGGCAGACGGACACAATAATCCCCTATGGGCTGGTGTAACCAGGAGGTTCCTACCAGTAACATTGACTTAAAACACAAACTCTCACTTGTCAATTGAACCGTGGCACTATTTTGTCCAGCGGAGCGATCCTCCGCAAGATAGTCAGCCTTGTGCTGGCAATGTTGGTGTGGGCATTTAAATACAGTAAATTACTGTGTTCAGACTTACAAACCGTCCTACTTAAGAAGGGGTCTCAGAAACGAATTGTGTTCATAATTCGAGGGCTGTCCGTACACAACTAGTGCATTGCATATCCAAGCTCACCATGAACCAAGGAAAAGTTGCAAATGTGAACTGCGATATAGAAATTGAGTTACACCATGCACAAATACTGCACTGAGTGCGTTAGTTTGGTTCATTGGTCAGGTTGGATATGAAATGTAAGTTTATCACAAAAAACACAAAAGTCAATACGTAACTCAAGCTATAATTTTATTAACTTCTACGAATCGATAAACAGTAAGACGATTAAAAGAAAGTTACACATGGGATTATTTAATATTAAAAACACATACAACACTTTATACACACTGCATTCGTACAACTTATTGCCGAGGGTTAGCATAAGGCGATCTCATTTCACACGCAACCACGCTGACATGGTCCCGCACACACACCTGTCAACCCATACGGTTTACCTGTATTCTTGTACAGGGAAATTGAGTAAAAAATACATGTTTTTGTCTATTTGTGTTTCTCCCTTGTGATGGGACTCTTCAGGATGAACGTTGAGATTTATAAGTGCACGGGGCGACCAATAAGGTCTGAATTGGTCTGTAATAAGGAAGGGTTGACAGGTATGCGCAAATTATATTTAGACATCACCGCAAGTATTTTAGCCACACTAATCAGACTGGAAGAGGACGCTGCGACCTGCCAGGTGTTTATTTTTAAATCCTTTATATTAAGTTCACTTGCTTGCGCGCTTACGACCATGCAAATCTTTCGGTCGTTTTTTAACCCACTTCCCGTGATCCAATCGAGCTGATATTTTGCACACAGACTCGTTGTGCGTGACAATTTATTTTCGTGAATTTTTTTTCCAAAAATTTTACACTTTTTAGGAAAAAAGAAATTATATTGAATTACCAATTGCTTAATGGTGGCAGGCAATCATCTGACCCATAGGTGGCAGCCATCTCAAGCCAGAGGACGAACGGACTCTAGCCGCCACGCATATAAAGGATTCAGCACGTTTCGGATTTCTGGTGGTAACATTATGACCACAGGATTGATGCCACTGCTTGCTGCATGCAGCTGCAATAACACAATTGCAATATAAACACAAATTCTGCAAATTCTTAATCCGCTCGTGGATGAAGGCATCTCAATATTATGTCCGTCATGGCTTTTTGTTTTTAACCATACTTCACCACGCTGGTCAGTGTGATTGTGAAGGTGGTTAGAGGGAGATGGTGTTGGGGCAGGGGAGCGTACAACACGTTCCGATAGGTTTTCTATTTCGCTGTTTTTTATATTTTCCTTTGCCATATTGGCGACGCAGATCACGCTCACAAATTAGACCTCTCTCTGGTCTGGAGTTCTCACCCTGGCTAAACTAGAAACTGTTAATTGGTAATTGCACTAAGGTTCATAGCGCAGCAGCAGTACACCAATCACTCTATAGGCTGCTCCATCCCCCATTGGAATGTGATGACAAAAAAATAACACGCGAATAAAAAAAGATAACGCTCAGGTTTTTGCAGCCATGCTCCTGTGTAGCTCTCCGATGGGTTGTTGAGTTGTTGTTCGGCGTTCTGTCCAACATGCGCTGGAAGCTTCTTCATTTGCAGTCCCTGAAGAAGCTCCCAGCCCATTGCAGCGAAACGTCGGACATTATGCTTAACAACACGCTGGCACGAGCAACAAAACATATCAGAGAGCTAAAAAAATACAACCAATCTTTCATAAAAATCCAAATAAGGGCACGATTTTGGTGACTAGGATTCCTTTACAATTGTGCACCGAGCCAGGCGGCCACGGTGATCGGGCTCACAGCCGCACTCTTTTGGCTTCGTGATGTCCAGCCTCGTCTTCGGAGGGCTGCTTCTTGTCGTCCCTCAACAAAGGTACGGCCTCCTGAGGTGTCCCAGTCGATGTCTCCTCCCGTGGCCTTCTCAACCTTCTCACCACAACAACAGTGCGTGAATGTTAATGAGCGCATCGGCCATCACTGGTGTCATTAGGACCAAATATGGGGCGCCGCGGTGGCGAGATATTAATTCTCTTGCCTGGCATACAGGTCGTGCGTTCGATGTCAATCCTGATGCCTTTACATTTGGAGTTTGCAGGTCTCTATTCCCAACACACTTTTTCTGGCATAAGGTATTTCAATGGTTGTAAGGTAATTTTGGGGTGCCGATTCCAAATCTGGCATCAGTTTTTGTCTATCACATCAGGTTTTTGAGATATCAAATATTGCATTTTGAATAAAAACTGCGGAAGAAAAATATTAATAAATTGTGGATATCTGCATAAAATTATATTATAAACACACTATCCTAAAAATATAGCACCACATTTTAACACAATAAAGCAGTCACTGACTCGCAACAACTTGCAATCATAAGTGACAGAGTTAATTTCGGGTAAAATCAATGAAAAGCGGGTATGCCGATAGCATAAAATGAGATGTGATAGAGCAAATCTGAGATCAGATTTGGAATCAGCACCCTGAAATTAGTCTAAAACAGCTGCAAAAGTCCAGGCCAGAGAAAAATGTGCTTTTTTGTTGACCAGTGTTTTTCTCCGGTTCCACGGAGTTGTCAGCGACTAAACTAGTGCTCTTCATACATTTTCAGAGGGGGGGTGGGGGGGGGGGGCGCTTTTCACCAATAAGACACCATCCGTGCGAGGGCCACCACGCATTTGAAACCATAGTGGTTTGACAGCACGATGATGATGGGAGGTGTTTTCACATATGTGCATGTCGGGGGGCAACAAGTCAGGGGCCGCACTAAAGGCCACCAGGCGGCCACCAGTGACCCGTGGGCCTTGCAATGATGAACACTGGCCTAGACTAAAGTATGAAACTTCCGACTACATTAACACAGAACTGCTTTTTGTGTTGTTTGTCGTCATTCACCCCCCAACCCGCACTTCCGATGAGCGCGGTTGGCTACGTGCGGTGAAAAAGTTGAACATGCATACATACATCAGGGCCCACCTTCTCCGCCATGGCATGCTTCCGTGTCCAGCTTTTGGCCGTGCTGACAAAAGCTGGCTTGTTGTACTTAAACTCGGCCGACTGGAAGAGGTGCACGGGAGGAGACAGAACGCACCATCAGAAGGTTTCTCTTTCAGACTACACCAACATCAGCCATGATGCCACAATCCATCTCGCTCCTCCGCATGAGCTGATCTCATCGATCTATCTCCACGCTAGTCGTTCTTTCGGGCGCGTTTTCCTCCTTTGGCTGCAATTCCACCATCATTCGTGTCCATCGATTGTCAACCCTCCTAGTCATGTCGGTCCTGCCCAAACCCACTTTTCTTAACAGTCAATATTAAGTCTCTAATATTTCTCATCTCTAATCATTTGGTTAACTGCTGATAATCGACTATTTCAATATTAATTTCAAGCTTTCATTACTGCAGGAATCCATACTCTCTGGTTCTTTCTTTCACGTAGATAGAAAAAATAATAAAATAAAACACGACGTTTCGGTCGCAACACAAGCGTCTGTCTTCAGGTGAGCCATTGTATTAGAGATTACAATGACTACTTCAGCACCGTAGTCGTGATGGGGTTACATTAACAGATTAACATGCTAATCTCTAGCAATGGAATGGCCGAGGAATATTACTTGTAAATTCCATCTCTAGCCCCGCCCACTTACCCTTGGGTTGTACCCATCTCAAACCAATACGACCTCTTGCTGCAGTAGTTCTCTCGCTATATGTCTCCTGCCTCAGAAGTTCGCCTGCTGTATTTTTTCACCTGAAGACGATTGCTTGTGTTGCGATCGAAACGTCGTGATTTAAAAAAAATATTTTTCTATCTACGTGACTTTACCGTAAGACCCAAAGAGTACAGTTATACACTGTTATTCTTGACATGTTTATTACAAGTCACGTGCTTAAACCGAACAAATATGTGCTCCTGGTTAATCCGAAATCCACGTTATCGCCTATACAGGACAGTGCTTGCGTATCTTTACAACAGTGGGCAGTTTGATTTTGTTTGGCGTGGCTCTGCTATCCACTTAGTGGGCAAAGTCCTCTGTGCGCTGGGAGCAGGAAAGTGTTGTCACCGAGCACGCGCATTATCGATCGGTCAATAGTTCGTTTTTGGCATAGAGATCCGCGGAAAATGAATATTTTTGGATTATCCGTGATTTTTTATTATCTCAACAGTCGTTCCTCCCCGTCATTAGCACGGATAATCGAGAGTCTACTGCAGTTTAGTTTTGAGTACAGGGCCACCCGGCACCAGAGGTCGCAAACGGGTTTTGATTCCTTACCCGTACCCGGCCGCACCAGGGTCGCAATCGGGTACCCGTACCTGTACCCTACCCGATACCCGGCTACCCGTACCCGGCCTGGTATCGGGTAGGGTACGGGTACCCGATTGCGACCTCTGGGAGGAAGCCATGTTGCAGGCGCGGGTGTGTTGATTCTAGGAACTTCAATTGTGAGAAGAGACAAGACGTTGGGAAATGAGTGACAAACGGTGACTCACCAGTGACTCACGGCCTACCCGTACCCGTACCCGGCCGCACCAGGGTCGCAATACGGGTACCCATACCCGGCCGAGTACGGGTAGCCAGGTATCGGGTAGGGTACGGGTATCGGGTACCCGGTTGCGACCTCTGCCCGGCACCCCCCCCCAACTTAATCGTTGAGGAGGGCTCCGGGAAAGGCGCTGGACGGACAGGCGTACGTACGATGTCGGGCATGAGCGGGTCATCCGGGTTAGGTTCCCCCATCAGCTGCTGCACGGATGTGAGGACTGTGGACACGTTCAGTGAGGGCCTCCACGCGCCCTAGCAGAAAAACAGACGAACCCCCCCCCCCCCGCTCAAGCCATTTAGCCCGTTGGAGCAAGTGCCGTTCGCGAGCAACTGTGGGAGGCCAGCACACGGCACACGAGAGGGTGGCGTGGACCCCAACACGCTTGGCCACCTATGGGCTGCCCAGTGCTGATGTTTACACACTGACAACGGTACTCATACTGGTAGGAACCTCCTGGTTACACCAGCTCACAGGGGATTATTGTGTCCGTCCGTCGTGCAGGGAGGGGCTGGGTGGGGAGGGAGGGGCTGGGTGGGGAGGGAGGGGCTGGGTGGGGAGGGGCTGGGTGGGGAGGGTGGGGCTGGGTGGGATGGGGCTGGTCACCCCGTGGTGCCCTTATAAAACTCAACGTTTAACCTACTTACGCCGGCTTGTGCCCGCCCTCACAGTCGGGCATATTTGCGGAATACACCACGCCGTCGTTGACCCTGGCCATTGACCGAGCAACCCAACGTTCCTACCAGCTCCCTCCGCAGGAATGTGTTTTAGGGCTGAGTCGAACTAGGGAAGGGGGTCATGACAAATTCAGATGTCACTCGCCATCGATGTTAGCCAAGGCTAGAGAGGTATCGAAATCTCGCCTTTTATTTCTTTTGACATATATTCTTTGAATATCCAGTAGAACCCCTTTAAACAACCACCGGTTAACGACTAATCGCTTGACGACAGGCCTTCATGGAGCCCAATGTGTTCGCTTACCGACCATTCATCGGTGTATATTAATGAATGCATTGATTAACCATGTTTCGTTTTATATGTTTATAATGTTGTCAGTATTTTTATGTATTAATGTCAATTGTTTTTAATATTATAAAGTACGTTTTTTGGGTGAAAAAGGTAACCTTCGATGCTATCGGAACGCATTAAGCCTTTAACATGTATTTCCTATACTCGCTTAACTACCAAATCACTTAACGACCGGTTTCATGGAACCAATTACCGTCGTTAAGAGGGCTTTTCTATTTTTTTCCTTCTAAGGCCGTTTTGTTGACAAATGCGTTTAATCTTTCACTGCACGCACAACCGCTGTACAATCTTTTAAATGTTCTTATTTTTTATTGGGTCTATGGTGGGCCACAACAATAACACATAAACCTCAGCGTTATAGAATAAATGCGTTAAAATTAATACGCCTCGCGTGACCGCGGATCGTGCCAAATTAAAATCGCGAACCTTATTTGGCCTGTAGGCCATAAGTTCCCCAAATCTACACGAGGATATGCAGCACCAAGGACACTTTCCGAAATACATTCTTTCGTTTAATTAGCGAGCCAGGCGAGTGTGAAGGCACCTTGGGGGAAATAAGCACCTTAGGTGGCATCTTGAGAATGTCGAGGCATATTCGGCCGGCCGTGTCGATGTTTGGGTGATAGATGGGCGTCAGGAACGTCACCTTTGGGGGCTCAAATGGATACCTGCACACAGATGAGAAGAAACAAAAAAAAACAGCGCATTATTCACGTACACCAACTGACGATACAAAATAATTATGTGTGTTTAACTTCTTTTGCACCGTACGTAGCCAACCGTGCTAATCGGACAACAAGCTATCACAAAAAGCATTCTAGTATGGCCCTCTTGCATGCACTGCTGGGTGATGGGCTCCCCACCGTTGGTTGTGGAGGTTGTTTGACAATGCTACTCCACCATGCTGGTGTAATAAGAGCCATGTTTGGCTCACGTGGCGATTGGCTTGCCGGTCCCGCTTTGTAGCCAATAAGGGGAGAGCCAGGGAGCATGGCCTCGGCATGATCACGGCATGTTAGCTAGGGTCATTGGCTTGGCCAAGTTGAGCCTCAGCTAATGGGAAGCCGGATCAGAGGCGTGGTCCCGGGATTGACGGGGAATGATCTGGAACGGACTGGGCGGACTACGGAGGATTGGCTGGGGGGTACCACGTGACGGAGGGATGAAGAGGGAGAGAGACGAGGGAGTCGGGAGCAGATCTGGGAACGAAGAGAGCAGGAGCCACGCGCGTACGGGGCTCTGAGTGCCACGTGCGTGGGTGACTGAGCGGATTGTCTGCCCACTTCCCGTTGCCTGTCAGCAACGGGGAGTGCGTGTACTGTGGAAGTGAAAAATAAAGAACTGATTCCAAGAGCCGTCTCGAGAAGGTTTATTACACTGGTACTGGTAGGAACCTCCTGGTTACACCAGCCCACAGGGAGGGGCTGGGTGGGGAGGAGAGGGTGGGGAGGGGCTAGGTGGGGCTGGGTGGGGAGGGGCTGGTTACCCCGTGGTGCCCTTATAAAACTCAACGTTTAACCTACTCACGCCGGCTTGTGCCCGCCCTCACAGTCGGGCATATTTGCGGAATACAGCATGCCGCCGTTGACCCTGGCCATTGACCGAGCAACCCAACGTTCCTACCAGCTCCCTACACAGAAATGTGTTTATTGCAGGTTGATCTTTGAGGACCCAGAACTGGTTCAGTTCTCATTTGCCAATGATGTTAGCCAGAGCCGGGAAATCAAACTCAGGTAGCCAGGTTTATAGCGCATGGGGCTAACCATTGCAACAACCACACACTCCCCATTATTGTCCATAACACTCCATAATAGTGAATATAATGGAGGAGGGGTGGGGGTCAGGGGTTAATATAAAACAATGTATTTTTTTCAGATTAGTTTTGTGATGGAGTTAAGTGCCCCTTTGTTATATACCTCCTCCCAGCATGTCCTTTACCTGTCAGGTATCTGCACTTCCAAGCTGAATATGCCTTCCTCGTAGGGAGTGCCCGCACCTCCCAGGATCTCTAGATGGAGACAAGATGCGAATCCAAGCTGAGACAATCCACGTGATGCAATCACGTCAAAGGGGCACTCGTGTCAGCCAGGGCATGGGTGTGGAACGTATGGCCCCCCTTGGGGCAAGACACGGCCCACAACTTCCATTAAATAAAAAACTAAACTATTTTAAATTTTACCAGGCAGAAGCGACTTGGCCACAAATGATAGCTGAACGAAGTAGCTGATCTTCTTGGTTCTTTCGGTAAAGTCACGTAGAATGGAAATAATAAAATAATAAAATAATAAAACATAATAAAATAAAATTCTCACGACGTTTCGGCCACAACGCAAGCGACCGTCCTCAGGTGAAGAACAGACTTGTTCTTCACCTGAGGACCTGTTCTTCACCTGAGGACGGCTGCTTGCGTTGTGGCCGAAACGTCGTGAGAATTGTATTTTATTATGCTTTATTATTATTTCCCTTCTACGTGACTTTACCGAAAGAACCAAGAAGATGAATCCCTGCAGTCACGAAAGCTTTAAATCGAAATTGAAGTAGCTTATCGTCACGTGGAAATTCATAGCGGCCAAATGTTTTTATTCAATGCACGTTGATTCTAAATGTGGGCAAAAAACCTGGAGGACACGGAGAAAAATCCACGCGACCACGGGGAGAACACGCAAACTCCAAATATACAGGTGTCAGGGTCGGGATTGAACCCACGACCTCCTGCATATCATGCAAGGTAGTTAACATCTCGCCACCGTGGCGGCCCACAGCCGCAATAAGCCTACCACTTCAAAATGGCCCTCGAATTATATTCGTTTTCTTCAAATTATATGACACTCAAATAAGACGGGTCCCCAAGTTTGAGCCCTATGTAGTTACAATAATCTGGTGTCAGACTCGGCTACTTGATTATAAGATAAAGCCACATTTTTGGCATTTAAATACAGGGAAAAAAAGTGGCTTATGAACCAGAGAATACAATAAAACCTGTCATTGTAGCTTAGCTGCACTAATCGGACACTAGATGTGAACATTTTCAACTTGCCAATATGGTTTCGAATTTTATTGCGCGTTAAAGTTACCTGTTGTTTTTCAAGTAGCACTGAGCACACAGCCAATGCCTATACTTCTAGCGTGGTCAAAGTTATGCACTTTGATAGCATTCTCCCACATGAGTAATGTCCATCAATTCTCAAGAGCTGGAATTTATCCAAATTAAGTTCTGAACCAAATTTAACGCAATGGGTTTTGTACATTTACCGATGACCAGGCCGAGACCATCAACTCGGCGAATTTGGCGAAACTTGTTTAAACCGCAGGCCGCTACAAGCTGGCTTCAATGCCACCACCTTCAGCGGGTTGCCAGTTGTCACAGCGCTCAGACCGACCCTCCGAGCCACAACACTCTCTGCATGACAGCGATGATTACAATCGGCGCGGTACAACGTGTAGTGGGGACGTGACGGGTACTTACGAGCACGCAGCTCCCCGGACGCCTCGTCGCAGAGCCAGCACGACACGCCGGGCGGAGGCTCGCTCGCCAGACGCTCCACCTCCCGCGCCAGGCGGGACACTCGCTGCATCATCCTTGTGTGGACGAGTAGTGGATGACGGGATGTCACTCTGGGAGACAGAGTGATGACGTCATGTTACGCGGGGATATATAAAGGGGGGACCCGTGACGCAAGGGGGGTCTTTTTTTACCCTTTTATCTGGCAACAAAACTGACACCTTTTTTTTTTACAAGGAGTCATGTTTTGTTTTTTTCTTCTTGGTGGCCGAAACGTCGTGATAATTATTTTATTATGTTTTATTTTTATTATTTTATTACTTCCCTTCTACGTGACTTTACCGAAAGAACCAAGAAGATGAATCCCTGCAGTCACGAAAGCTTTAAATCGAAATTTGAGTCATGTTTGCATAGACCACAATACCTGCAGTCATAATGCAAACAAAACACACAACTCTGATAATGTATACACTGTCCTTGAAGTTGATTGGTCCACACCCGAGACAGCTTTCCTTAGAGCCTAGTCTCACATGGTGTCAACTTCAAGGACAGTGCATACATTATCAGAGTTATGTTTTTTGTTTGCATTACGACTGCAGGTATTGTGGTCTATGCAAACATGACTCCTTGTAAAAAAAGGTGTCAGTTTTGTTGCCAGATAGAAGGGTAAAAAAACAATTATCGTAAGGGGGGTCGTCGAGAGGGGCCAGGATCGGAGAGAGTTGAGGGAGTCGGACCCCCGGGGTAGGGAGAATTAGTACCAGGGGTACGGGGGGCTACTTCACCCGGCTAACCGAGTTGGATGACCCCTCGGCAAAGGTCGCAAACGAGTTTTGATTCCTTACCCGTACCCGGCCGCACCAGGGTCGCAAATGGGTACCCGGTACCAGGCCGGGTACGGGTACCCGTTCCCTACCCGTACCTGTACCCTACCCGAAATGAGTGACAAACGGTTACTCACCATTGACTCACGGCCTACCCGTACCTGGCCGCACCAGAGTCGCAAACGGCTACCTGTACCCGGCCGGGTACGGGTAGCCGGGTATCGGGTAGGGTACAGGTATCGGGTACCCGGTTGCGACCTCTGCCCCTCGGTTGGTGCTGAGGGAAGAGCACGAATAGCCTGGGAAGCGCTAGGTACCTCCCAGTACCTTTTCCCCTGGGGAGAGATTCTACGTTGCAAACTGTTAGGCATAAGCCCTTATAAGTTCCCGGCATTAGCCCTTAATAAATGCTGGCATTCCACTCCTACTAAAGAACTGCGTCTTCTGTTGCACCTCAACACTTGCACCCCGGATCGCCTGCTGCTGCTGCTCTTGCTGCTGCTGCTGGTGCTGTTGATGCTCCAGCTGCTTCTTCAGCTACTGTTGCTCCTGCTGCTGTGCCAGTTGCTACTTCTGTTGATGCTCCCAGCTGCTGCTGCAGCTTCTCTCCAACTGTTCAGCAAACTGCAATGAAACGTTTCGATTTAAAGCTTTCGTGACTGCAGGGATTCATCTTCTTGGTTCTTTCGGTAAAGTCACGTAGAATGGAAATAATAAAATAATAAAAATAAAACAAATAAATTCTCACGACGTTTCGGCCACGACGCAAATAGCCGTCCTCAGGTGGAGAACAGGTCTGTCGAGGAGACAGTCAGACTCTGTCTCCTCGACAGACCTGTCCTCCACCTGAGGACGGCTGCGTGCGTTGTGGCCGAAACGTCGTGAGAATTATTTTATTATGTTTTATTTTTATTACTTTATTACTTCCCTTCTACGTGACTTTACCGAAAGAACCAAGAAGATTTAAATGAAACGTTCAAGGCAATTGCGTTACCACACCTCGGGGTACAAATCAATATACCCCTGGCCACCATGAACAGATGCTCCATTCCCCGACTCTCCGACTCGAACTCGTACCTAGTGGCAACACTGCTTCCGCGAACTTTATAACCCCACGCGGACCAGCGTGGTGAAGTATGGCCAAACAAGACCCCGCGTGGCGCGGGTTGCCTGTACACGCACTGTATAACAACACGTGTGGTAGTAGAGGGGCGTCCAACACACACACACACACAGATCCTCACGTGTAGCATTTTAACAGGCTGTCAGGGCAAGTGCTGTTAGCAAGTAGCACCTATGAAGGCTGGCACAGCACACGAGGGGGTGGGTGGCCTGCACCAATCCCGGCTGTCTTTGTCTCCCTCGTGACGATGTTTACACAGCACCAAGGCACACAAAGATCCCCGTGTAGCCTTAACATACTGTAGGGGCAAGTGCTGTTAGTGAGTAGCACCTATGAAGGCCGGCACGGTGACAAACGAGGGGGGGGGTGGCCAGCACCAATCCCGGCCGCCTTTGTCTCCCTCGTGACGATGTTGACACACAGCACCAAGGTACACACATATCCCCTATAGCCTTAACATACTGTAGGGGCAAGTGTTGTTAGCGAGTAGCACCTATGAAGGCCGGCACGGTGACAAACGAGGGGGGGTGGGTGGCCTGCACCAATCCCGGCCGTATTTGTATCCCTCGTGACGATGTTTACACGCAGCACCAAGGCACACAAAGACAAAGATCCCCCCTATAGCCTTAACATACTGTAGGGGCAAGTGTTGTTAGCGAGTAGCACCTATGAAGGCCGGCACTGTGGCACACGAGGTGGGTGGGTGGCCTGCACCTCTCCCGGCCGTCTTTGTATCCCTAGTGACGATGTTTACACACAGCACTAAGGCACACAAAGACAAATATCTCCCATATAGTTTGTAACAGACTGTAGGGGCAAGTGTTGTTAGCAAGTAGCACCTATGAAGGCCGGCACTGTGGCACACGAGGGGGTGGGTGGCCAATACCACGCCCGGCCGCCTTTGTCTCCCCAGAGGCGATGTTTACACAACAGCACGAGGGTACAGTACATTCGAGGCCTAAAATGTTAACATTCCAACCCGTAACCCCTTCGCATATTCATTTTTTAAATCAACCTTAATCGTACTTACCACAAAAAAATATGAAGTTTATAGAATTAAATGGAGGGGAGGGTGGTGGTGGTCACACAAGACGTCCAGTACCTGTAACACTCCGTTAAAGCGAAGCGAGCGAGCTGAAGCAGTCGTACGAGTCGGTCACTTACTCAACGTTGAGCGTGAGGAGGTCACGGGCATCAGGAGGAGGTCACGGGGGTCAGGAAGAGGTCACGGTCGTGGTGAGGAGGTCACGGGCGCCGTTGCGCGAGAGGGAGCAGCAGCAGTCTGGATTTGGCGCGCTTTTGCACTCGTCCAAGTCTCGCGAGATCTCGTTGATAATCCCACGGGCGGGATCTGGGCGGGAGGCAAGGCTGGAGAGGGGGCGGGGCTGAGTGCATATGACGTCACGAATTAATTAACATAATTACAATCTAAATCTGTGCTATGATGTTGGTTTAACAGATAGGGGGCCTTTTGATTTAAAGCTTTCGTGACTGCAGGGATTCATATTCTTGGTTCTTTCGGTAAAGTCACGTAGAAGGGAAATAATAAAATAATAATAATAAAATAATTCTCACGACGTTTCGGCCACAACGCAAGCAGCCGTCCTCAGGTGAAGAACAGGTCTGTCGGAAAGACAGCGTCTGAATGACAGACCTGTTCTTCACCTGAGGACGGCTGCTTGCGTTGTGGCCGAAACGTCGTGAGAGTTATTTTATTATGTTTTATTTTTATTATTTCCCTTCTACGTGACTTCACCGAAAGAACCAATAAGATGAACCCCTGCAGTCACGAAAGCTTTAAATCGAAAAATGCATATGCTCATCATGGCTTGACTTGGCTTCACGAACGAAGATCTAGGAAGGACATCCACGTCCTTTGCAGGCACGCTGGTGGCTGAAGAGGCCTATGCCGGACAGGCAGGTCCTGCCACAACGGCTGCAAGTATAGGTCTGATCTGGGATGGGTGCTGAGTGGTCACGGTTCTTCCTCCTCATTTTGTCCTCCATACGGGCCCTGCGGGTATCTTCGAAGAAGGAGGTGGCCTGGTCGACTGTGTGCCGCCAGGAGTTGCGATCAGCCGCTTGTGTTGCCCACTGACGGTGATCGATGCAGCAAGCAGTGAGGGACTTCTTCAGGGAATCTTTGTGTAGTGGGTTCGAATTAGGAGCACACATACACAGCTTGGAGGCAACACTATTATTAAACGGTAAGTAATATAACACCGTAGATGAGGTGGTGACCACCTTCCTCAACTCACTACCACTCTGGAACACGACACGGAGTGGACCAGGCAGGCGACGGGCTGCCTGGTCCAGAACGACGACCCGGGACTTGAGGACATATGATGTCGTCTTCACTTCGGAGTTCAAAAGCCTTGCTCTGCGTTCACACCCCGCTTATATACCCTTCCCAGGCCACGCCTCCCTTCCCAGGCCACGCCTCCCTGCCCAGGCCACGCCTCCCTTCCCAGGCCACGCCTCCCTTCACAAGCCACGCCTCTTTCACAGGCCACGCCTCCCTGCCCAGGCCACGCCTCCCTTCCCAGGCCACGCCTCCCTTCACAGGCCACGCCTCCCTTCTCAGGCCACGCCTCCCTTCACAGGCCACGCCTCCTTTCCCAGGCCACGCCTCCTTTCCCAGGCCACGCCTCCCTTCCCAGGCCACGCCTCCCTTCCCAGGCCACGCCTCCCTTCACAGGCCACGCCTCCCTTCCCAGGCCACGCCTCCCTTCCCAGGCCACGCCTCCCTTCACAGGCCACGCCTCCCTTCCCAGGCCACGCCTCCCTTCACAGGCCACGCCTCCTTTCCCAGGCCACGCCTCCCTTCCCAGGCCACGCCTCCCTTCCCAGGCCACGCCTCCCTTCACAGGCCACGCCTCCCTTCACAGGCCACGCCTCCCTTCACAGGCCACGCCTCCCTTCCCAGGCCATGCCTCCCTTCCCAGGCCACGCCTCCCTGCACAGGCCACGCCTCCCTTCCCAGGCCACGCCTCCTTTCCCAGACCACGCCTCCTTTCCCAGGCCACGCCTCCCTTCCCAGGCCACGCCTCCCTTCCCAGGCCACGCCTCCCTTCCCAGGCCACGCCTACCTTCCAGGCCACGCCTCCCTTCCCAGGCCACGCCTCCCTTCCCAGACCACGCCTCCCTTCCCAGGCCACGCCTCCTTTCCCAGGCCACGCCTCCCTTCCCAGGCCACGCCTCCCTTCCCAGGCCACGCCTCCCTTCCCAGGCCACGCCTCCCTACCCAGACCACGCCTCCCTTCCCAGGCCACGCCTCCCTTCACAGGCCACGCCTCCCTTCCCAGGCCACGCCTCCCTGCCCAGGCCACGCCTCCCTGCCCAGGCCACGCCTCCCTTCCCAGGCCACGCCTCCCTGCCCAGGCCACGCCTCCCTGCCCAGGCCACGCCTCCCTTCCCAGGCCACGCCTCCCTTCCCAGGCCACGCCTCCCTTCCCAGGCCACGCCTCCCTTCCCAGGCCACGCCTCCCTTCCCAGGCCACGCTTCCCTTCCCAGGCCACGCCTACCTTCACAGGCCACGCCTACCTTCCCCCACCTCAAGGGAAGGTCCGGGTCCCTCCACCACGTGACCCCCCAGGCACCCCCTTGGGGCCCCCAGCCCTCGTACGGGCCGACACAGAAGTGACGGCATATGTCACTACATTTGTATCGCTTTCGTGGTGCCAATATGTAACTAACTCAGCTTGTCTTCCCATATCTGAGGATGTGCTGACTCAGCCACAGGCGGTGAATCATTTGCACGCCTACACAAGCTTGCTACTCCCACTCACTTCCCTTCCAAAACAAATAATGTACACCCCAAGACATTTCAAAGGGGGGGGGGGGGATGAGTGAGGGGGGGGGATACGCAGGAAACCTACGTGACTTTACCGAAAGAACCAAAGCGTAAGGAAACCATGTGTTTTAGTTGTGTGTTTCATGTTGGCTGCCACCGCCTTCAGCCAGGGCAATCGATCGGGAGCCAGACGTCTCGCGGACTTGGTTACCGGAGAAGACACTCACACAATAGCTGTCAACCCACACGGTTTACCCCGTATTCTTGTACAGGGTTAATTGAGGTTTCAGGTCCATACGGCGTACAGACGTTTCAATGCGGGCAAATATTTTGTTTGTCTATTTGTATTTCTCCCTTGTGATGGGACTTTGAAGGATGAACGTTGAGATTTATAAGAGGCACGGGGGTACGGAGAATCGGGGTGACCGCCCTGGGACCCGCATTTTGGGGGGTGGGGGTGGGAAGCGATTCGACTTCACGGTGTCCGATGTAATATTACCGGTTTAGTTTGAAAGATACGGTCTGCTGGACATCTGTGAATAAAAAAGCTTTATAGCGCATCGGATTCCTCCTCCGGAATAAATACAGATTGTGATTTAAATGATACGTATCGTGATCTCCGCAACGATTCGAGTTTGCATGTTGCGTAATATTAGTGTGGGAAAAATTTGCAGGAATGTATGTACTTATGCAATTTATACTTAAAGTCTTTTTTTATATTTTTAGTGACTTTTGTTCATTTCTCTATCTTGCACGACTATCGTGTGTTTTGTACTGTTTGTTGTTGTAACGATCTTACCCCGTGCCACTCTACTGGAAATATGTGAAAAAGAGCATTAAAGCTCATCGGATTCCTCCTGCAGTATAAATAAACTAATGTCCATTATATTAGTTTTTGGAAGTTACGAGTTCAGCACACACCGCTTGTGTGTTAGAGAGTAAACCCACTACAACATTCACAATCACCGCTTGTGTGTTGGAGAGTAAACCCACTACAACATTCACAATCACCGCTTGTGTGTTGGAGAGTAAACCCACTACAACATTCACAATCACCGCTTGTGTGTTAGAGAGTAAACTCACTACAACATTCACAATCACCGCTTGTGTGTTAGAGAATAAACCCACTACAACATTCACAATCACCGCTTGTGTGTTAGAGAGTAAACCCACTACAACATTCACAATCACCGCTTGTGTGTTAGAGAGTAAACCCACTACAACATTCACAATCACCGCTTGTGTGTTAGAGAGTAAACCCACTACAACATTCACAATCATCGCTTGTGCGTTAGAGAGTAAACCCACTACAACATTCACAATCACCGCTTGTGTGTTAGAGAGTAAACCCACTACAACATTCACAATCACCGCTTGTGTGTTAGAGAGTAAACCCACCACAACATTCACAATCACCGCTTGTGTGTTAGAGAGTAAACCCACTACAACATTCACAATCATCGCTTGTGCGTTAGAGAGTAAACCCACTACAACATTCACAATCACCGCTTGTGTGTTAGAGAGTAAACCCACTACAACATTCACAATCACCGCTTGTGTGTTAGAGAGTAAACCCACCACAACATTCACAATCACCGCTTGTGTGTTGGAGAGTAAACCCACTACAACATTCACAATCACCGCTTGTGTGTTAGAGAGTAAACCCACTACAACATTCACAATCACCGCTTGTGTGTTGGAGAGTAAACCCACTACAACACTCACAATCACCGCTTGTGTGTTAGAGAGTAAACCCACTACAACATTCACAATCACCGCGTGCTGAAATAGTTCATAGTTTACCGGTGACAAAATGTAATAAAAAACAGTATCCAAAAGAAAGCGTATAAGTATCCAAAAGCAAGCGTATGAAACCCGTTCGTATCGTTTCATAGTTTATCGGTCATCCGTCGACAGAGGGGGCACGCGCAGCATCTGAGAAGCCCTCTCGCGTCTTGGGCAGTGGGGGAGCCGTGCCGAGTAGAATCTACAGGACCCTGGCTTGCTATATTTAGTGTGGGAACCGAGGAAACGTGCACGAGTTCACAATGGGCGTGCTCGCTTGCCAAGGAGGGAGGGGGGGAGGGGATGGATGGGAAAGCCTGCCTCGGTCGCTTCAATCATGAGCGGAATGCCGCAGGGGGAGGGGGACCATTTCCCCCTTCCTCTGTGCCACTGCCTTCGTCGAGAAAGGCGAATGTCCAACGTGAACCACGAATGCGGACCGCTTGGGGAGCGGTGGGGGGTGGTGGGGGGGTGTCGCTTTCATGTAGCCGGCCACGGTGAGACTGCAGTTGCCATCGGGTCGATTGGGATGTTGGTGAAGGTGAGGCACAAGCAGGGGGCCTCTGAGCTCTGGAGAATCACACCCCCCCCTCCTGCTGTACAGGTGGCGTCATGTGACACCTGCTGTACAGGTGACGTCATGTGACACCTGCTGTACAGGTGACTACCTGTGACATCTGCTGTACAGGTGACGTCATGTGACACCTGTTGACCAGGTGA